GGATGAACAAATTCCTATGCCCCACAAATAAACCAGAGATGCATTTTAAATAAAAGGACACCTTCTACTCATGTAAAAACACCAGGCAGGCCCCACAAATAACCCAGAGGTGCATTTTAAATAAAAGGACACATTCTACTCATGTAAAAACATGCTGATTCCCGGACTGTCCGCGGGCCGGATTTAGAAGGCGGTTGGGCCGGATCCAGCCCCCGGGCCTTAGTTTGCCTACCCATGCCCAAGAGGCTCTCCGCATGGCTTTTGAAAGATTTCCACAATAACAGAAAAGTCCCTATGGTGAGTGATGGGACCCTTCAGGTAACAATTCCTATCCTCACCTGACTTGGTTTTGCCCTTCAGCCTCCACCTCCTAGGCAGCAGGCCCTTCTGGTGTCCTTTGAGGGAAGGGCATGAGGCTCAACAGCCTGATCCTGCTCAGCCTTTCATTGCTGCTAGTGGCCAGGCAATAGTTCGCAATGGTCTGCTCAGAGGTGAAGGGAGCAGCTGAAACTCACCCAGCGCAGGGTGGGTGTTGTTTTCAATCAGTCATGTGGCTTTAGAAGAAGCATTCCTTTCTATATGAAAGTGAAGCCTTTTAAGATGATGCCTGGCATCTTCTGGGATTTTTTGAATGAATGAATGAATGAATGAATGAATGAATTTTCAAAATAATGGGCCATATCACCTACAGGGAACATAGTCAGACCCCTAGCCCAATATTTGTCTACTCTGACCAGCAGCGGCTCTACGGAGCATCAGGTAGGGGATGCTCCTAGCACTGACTGAAGATGATGCCAAAGGGGACTGAACATGGGACCACCTGCCCGCAGAGCATTTCTCTATTCACTAGTGCAAGGGCTCTCGCGCTAGTGGACAGGTGAGCTTCACTGTTGCACAAAAGAGGAATCCCAACACCACAACTGTGCTAGCAGAAACCTGTGCAACAGATTCACAATATATTGTGCAACAAGGCGACCACCAGCAACTTGTTTATGCAACAACGTTCCACTGGTGCAACAGATTTTGCCAGCAGAACAAGTATTTTAAGGGGCTTTAACTTAACACTGGGATGCGGGTGGCGCTGCGGGTTAAACCACAGAGCCTAGGACTTGCCGATCAGAAGGTCGGCGGTTCGAATCCCCGTAGTGGGGTGAGCTCCTGTTGCTCGGTCCCTGCTCCTGCCAACCTAGCAGTTCAAAAGCACGTCAAAGTGCAAGTAGATAAATAGGTACTGCTCCGGCCGGAAGGTAAATGGCATTTCCGTGCGCTGCTCTGGTTCGCCAGAAGCGGCTTAGTCATGTTGGCCACTTGACCCGGAAGCTGTACACTGGCTCCCTCGGCCAATAAAGCGAGATGAGCACCGCAACCCCAGAGTCGGTCACGACTGGACCTAATGGTCAGGGTTCCCTTTACATTTACCTTTAACTTAACACTACATGGGATACAACCCAAAGTCTTTATCACAAAAAAAAGGGTGTCAGGAATGTTTTTTAGCCCATTAAAAAAGGCTTCTAACCAGTTAAATGTCACACCCCCAATTATTACTGTTTACATTTTTTAGAAGATCAAGGCAGCACACACATATTGTCCCCTTTTATCCTTGCAACAGCCCTGAAGGAGAGGTTAGGCTGAGAATGGGAGTGACTAGCCACAGCTATGCTTTGAGCTTTGTGGTGAAGCAAGGATTTGTACTGAGGTCTTCCCCTCTCAGACGTGATCCTTAGGTTAGCTAGCTAGTTAGCTATTTCTTACCTGCTCTTCACCATGAAGTCTGAGGATGGGTTACGACAACATAATCCTACAGTTATAAGCACAAGTAAAACAATTAAGCTGCTCCACTCAAAACAGATTTGACATAAGAGGCTGGGTCCCACAAAACAAAATACTTCAGCTGTCAAAGGCCAGCGTAAAGAGGTTACACCCCACTGGCCCTTGTAACTGATTCACAAACAGTCGGGTCAGAGATCAGTGGCAAGGCAGCCAAGATGTATTTAGCCAGGGTACAGTACTTCTATCCCAACTTCGAATCTTACAAGTAGATTCCCAAGGGAGCATCCACAATGGAAAAGAATTCATACACATCATCATATAAAAAGTACACACACACCCAAAAAACCTCTAAACTATAACTAAAATAAAAGCGCGAAATGCAGCCAAAAATCAGATTAATAACTAACAAGGGGTAGGATGAGCTTCTTTCACTTCCAGAAGTCAGTCAAATATAGCAGATTCCTGCTCTAGGAGCTGTTCACTCTCATGGGCAGGAAAAGGAGCAGGTTGGGGTTTTTTTTGTTTTTTGTTTTGCAAATTCCCTCTTCCCTTCCTGCACCCCCCCCAATCCTGGTGCCACCCCCCACCCTGTTCTGGAGGGTCTCTTTTTGAAGATAAAGTAAGCCCTCAACTTACTTTCATTTAACTTGTGCACATTCATTTTCACACTCTTGGTAAAAAGAAAATTAAAAAGGGCGGAGCAGGCATCCAGGGGGAAAAGGCAATCACATCCACCACTGAATCCAATGTGATTTTGGCTCTAGGTGTGATCTCCGGAACGTAACTCTGCGTAAGTTGCAGTCTTAAAGGTAAAGGTAAAGGTACCCCTGCCCGTACGGGCCAGTCGTGTCCGACTCTAGGGTTGCGCGCTCATCTCGCTTAAGAGGCCGGGAGCCGGCGCCATCCGAAGACACTTCCGGGTCACGTGGCCAGCGTGACGAAGCTGCAGCTGGCAAGCCAGCACCAGCGCAGCACATGGAAAAGCCGTTTACCTTCCCGCTAGAAAGTGGTCCCTATTTATCTACTTGCACTTGGGGTGCTTTCGAACTGCTAGGTGGGCAAGAGCTGAGACCGAACCACGGGAGCTCACCCCGCCGCGGGGATTTGAACCGCCGACCTTACGATCAGCAAGTCCTAGGCACTGAGGTTTTACCCACAGCGCCACCTGCGTCCCCCCCAAGTTGCAGTCTTACCGTATGTCAAAGGAAGTGCTTGAGCAAAATGGAATCTGTCTGGTGTCTACTGAGAGCTGTTTCTTAAAGACGCGCTTTGTATCATGTGATATCAGTTGCAACAGTGTGCACACATATAGATAAATCATGGCTATCCGACTCAAAACATGTATATTTTGAAATGGAAAAGCATTTTAAAAAGAAAAAAAAGGTTTGTACCAATAATAAATGCATCAAAAAAAACCTTGGCTATTGGATCATGAGTACAAAACATTCTGCAAGAAATGGGCCTGATACCACAACATTATCCAGCTGGACCACAGAACAAGAATGGTTTTGAAGGCCCCAAGTGAGCACCAAGGTAGGAAGGCTGTATTGGCAAAAGATCTCTCACCTGTTCATCCTCATGTGAACCTGGCAGTAGCTGGACTGTAAGCAGGGTCTCCCAATATCCTAAATCTCGGTGGAGAAAACAAACACAATCCTTACTGTCTACAAATCCTCCATAAACGAGATTGAATTTACATTCAAGATGGTTAACTAAACAAGGTGAAGAGGTGGGAGTTCCAGGCAGTGGTTAGCTGAACTATTCTGTTTAACAGGTGATCATCATCTCAAAGCCCAGCACACAGGATGCTGTAGGTGCCCCCAATCTGTTTATCAGGGGTGGGTGGGGCCTGCAAATCCCTTTTTAGACTAGTCACTCCTTTACCTACCACACACCTAGCATGATAAATATTGGATGTCATTCTCTGAGTGTGCCTCTCTATGTAGCCGAAATAGCATGACCCATCATCAGTTTGGGAGGAGCCCCAAGGTTTGCAGAGATTTGTAGGCAAGTTTGGAGGAGGTGGTGGAAATCCCTTAAAAAAAACCAATTAGGACTGAGCACGCTTAGGGGCTACTGAATGCTGAGTACCTTATGGGGTGGCAGGAGACATAGAAGACGAGGGGAATGGAACGGAGTACGGTTGTACCTTGGTTCTCGAACAGAATGCGTTTCGGGAATCCGTTCAACTCCCGGAACTGTTCGAAAACCAAGGCATGGCCAAGGAGTGTCCTGCAGCCAATTGGAAGCCACACCGAATGCTCAGCTTCTGAAAATTGTTGAAAATCCAGAACACTCACTTCCAGTTTTCGATCGTTCAGGAGCCGAAACATGCGAGTTCCAAGGCGTTCGGCAACCTTGCTGTATTAAGCGATGGCTGGCTGGCACTCTGAGCAAAAGCATTGCAGTTTTTTGTTACAGGTTCAACTGAAGGCAGCAAAATGCCAGGCTCTGAGGCCTGAACTAAAAGGCAACTGGACTGTGAAGAACATAAGAAGCAACAACAACAAAAAGAGGGGGGGAGCTGTCTTTCTGTTTTGAGAGCTGGAACAAAGACACTTGGATTGGTGCGTGCAATTTGTGGTACGTGTCTGTATACTGAATAAATACCTAATTTCTGTTTCTTGTGGTAAACTACCATGGGAGACATGACGGATAAAAGCCAGCCTCTGACTGCAGTAAATGAAAGATCTGACTGCTCCAGTCTCACAGGACGAGAATGCCTGGCTTAGACGGTGTCTCATCTCTGTGTGTGTGATGTGTAGCTCATTAAATCTGTGGCAGACGCAGCCTTAATGGAAAATTGACTTTTTTAAAGCTATCAAGTGGAGAGAAAAGGAGCAAGGTTACTTTTCTTCATAAGCTGCAGGGGCTTCCCAGCAGAAATAGCCTCTCTAATCATTAATTCCACTTGCATAATTAACTTTGTTTTACATCTTGAGCTGTAGTGAAGATGTTGGCAGTTGCTCTTTATCATGATTCATCTTTAATCTCAAGTGGTGTCAGTGACTCTGAGATTTTTTTTTTGCTCTTTAAAGTCCAATTAACCACTTGAACAAATCAGTAGTTTAAGCGCATACAGCACTGCAAATCTACTGGGGCTTTTTCATACATTTGTATTGATTTCAGTACAACTGAAGGACTTGCAGGCTCACCACTCTGTATTACATGCCTTTAATATTCATTGTTCTCTCTGAGGACACGGCCTGACACTGACAGCTATGCAACTTCCCATCCTTTAAAATAAAACAATGCTTTATTGCTACAAATTTAATGCTGGGGGGGGGGGGATACATATTTGACAAACAAGCAAAGGCCTTGATAGTACACAGCCAAGGTAATAGAGTACTTATAAAATTGAACATTTATCCAAATGTTGACATATAAAAAACAATTAAAAAGTGGTTAGGAGAGAGGGGGGCTGCAAGTTTAAAGGCAGAAAGCCAAACCATTTATCCATTTTGGCATCTTGCTATGATTCAAGTGCATAAATTTCTATGGCCTGAAATGCACACTTGTATGTATAGTAACATGTCTCTCCCACTCAATATTACCAAGTCTCTATTTTACCCTAATATGCAAAATGTGCAGCCATTGTCAAAGACCTAAATGAAACAAGAACCCACAGCATTATTTATTTGGTTACTACACATTGGCACATGTGTGGGAAGAGCTTAAGGCCATTTGGGGTTCATCTTAAACACACTCATGTCAGAGTTATTTCTGAGTAGCCATGCATAGGATTGTGCTGTCAATGCTGCAAACTATCTATTTTTGTGTGACAGATGTTAAGGCAGTATCCACAAGCGATATGAAGATGTTCTGAAAATGGTGCCCTGGTTTCACAACTTTCTGCAGCAAGGAGTTAACCAGATGAGGTCCTGGCATGTGGGCTAATGATTTAGTGTTAACACTCTCTCTTACAAGGCGCTCCATATAAAACATGATTAGAAGGGAACATACAAGCCAGATATAAGGGCAAACTATGGTGTGCAGAAAAGAGGAAGCAGGTACCTGAACCAGCATGAGACAGAACGTGAACACAAGCACCAATGGATGTATACCATTTATAGGGGTGGTATTTAACTAAGTTAAATAGTCCCACTGAAAATTTACATGACCAAGTTAGGTCAGAATTTGTCACTTGCACTTGCAGCTTGTATATGTAAGGCACAGTTAAACATCTGTTTGTGGCCTGTTGGAAAATAGGGATTGAGTTCTCAAAGACAGCAGCAAGCTCCAAGATGCTTGTGAGAATGACCAGGCAAAAAGCCAAAGAATCAAACTAAACTCTTGGGAAATGGCGTTCCGTCCCATTTGACCAATGTAAGACCACAGCCAATGCCATTGGATCATACATCATACTGAGTGCTGATTTAAAAATGCTTTAGGGGTGACAATTATCCAAAAGGGAAATACAGTGGTACCTCGGGTTAAGAACTTAATTTGTTCTGTAGATCCATTCTTAACCTGAAACTGTTCTTAACCTGCAGCACCACTTTAGCTAATGGGGCCTCCCACTGCCTCAGCGCCGCTGCTACGCAATTTCTGTTCTCATCCTGAAGCAAAGTTCTTAACCTGAGGTACTATTTCTGGGTTAGTGGAGTATGTAACCTGAAACGTCTGTAACATGAAGCGTCTGTAACCCGAGGTACCACTGTATAAGATTGGGGGGGGGGCTGTAACTTCAGAAATTGAAGGTTGTGCTGTCTGTCCGGGGGTGGGGGACGAGATCCAAAAGCAGCTGTAGTTTCAAGAGCTTTTATTAGAACCAACTAAAATATAACTAGGACTAGGCGATTAGCAAGATAGTTTTTTTAAAAAAAAATCTCTCTCCCTGGTTCTAGGATAACTCTCCAGATAATACTGCTGTTTTAGGATATCATAGTTCGGGACCTTTCATATAAAACCATTCAAATGTATACATAAAAGCCAAACTCTGAGTTCTATGTTGGTTGTGTAGTGGCCTGTTTTTGTAAGAATGAAGGACAAATGCTTTAGACTAATTGGATGAAATGACATTCCCATAAAAAGGCTTCTAAATAAGCAAAATCTAGTTTAATTTATTGAAATGATAATGTTCACCAACCTCTCAGTCTTAAGGAGGATGGTTGCATATGAAATTGATCATTTGTCAGGGCAAAACCCCTGGCCGGACCTTCCTGCGCTCTTTGGAGTTTGGCAGCATCAATTATTGTCTTCTAAGACCTAAAGGCAGAGTTAGGAATCTCCAGACTGTCTCATTCCTTTTCATTCCTTTTCCTCTTCTTGGGTGGGTTTGTTACCTTACCAACTACCCAAGCGACCAATAATGTTGTGTACATCTAGTAGGATTAGTCAGTACTTTATGTTCTGCTACATAAACTGTTAGGGCTGCGGGTGGCACTGTGGTCTAAACCACTGAGCCTTGCTTGGGCTTGCCGATCAAAAGGTCCGCAGTTCGGGTCCAGCTCCTGCCAACCTAGCAGTTTGAAAGCACGCCAAAAAGTGCAAGTAGATTAATAGGTACTGCTCCGGTGGGAAGGTAAACGGTGTTTCCATGCACTGCTCTGGTGTCAGTATTCTGTTGCGCCAGAAGTGGCTTAGTCATGCTGGCCACATGACCCGGAAAAACTGTCTGCTTGATTATAGGCAATATACCATGTAACCGAAAATCTCTAAACAATCTCCTAAACAGTAGTGGATTGATAAAATCTGGGAGAAAATTGATATGTATGAACCCACTCAGCAAGCAAAGAATTCCAATTTTTAAAATGATGTACTGGTCCCAAGTTTGTCTTTCCTTTATTGAAGCCCTTCAGGCTTCTGACCACAACTACTGATGCACATAATTTCTCTGATGTATCAGGCATTGCAAGTTGCACATTCAAAACCTCAACAGTGATTCTTTCATCAAGGTTGGGTTTACTATAACTGTCTCACAAGCTCTTCCAAGATATGCTAAGGTCGGGATGGGCAACTTGTGGCCCTCCAGATGTTGATGGACTCAAACTCCCATCAGCCCCAGCCGACAGAATCAATGGTCTCAATGAGGGAGTTGGACTCCAACAACATACAGGTTCCATCCCTGTATTAAGGACCCTTAAAGAGTTTCATTGTGAGAATATTCTTGTTAATTCTTTTCTCCTAATTATTGATTGTGTGGTGTTTAGCTTTTTATTTCAAAAGAAAATTTCATATAGAAAAGAAAAAAGACATCACAAGCCAAGTCTCCCACTTTGTCTCCAGCTGCACTGAGAGACGGCCTCACACTACTAGAAATTCGGTTAAGCTCTTTGATAAAAGGATTAGGTGTTAAAATGGGTGAGTCACTCTCTTTTCCTTTTCTCCCTACCTTTATATAAGCTTGGCTAAATCAGGCCCAGGCCGGCAATAATGGCTCCCAATTCCAAGTTTAGTGCAAACAGCTCTAAGCAGCAGCTTGGGCTGCATTCTGGTTTAATTTGGTTTGAATAGCTAGATGGCTTATTGGCAAAAAGGCTGATTTCAAGTTTCTATTTAAAAAAACCCCAAACATTGCAGCTTATAGCAGTGTGACCAGTATTTAAAAATGCAAATTCTGTGAATATAAAAGAACGCAAATTTAAAAAAGAATTTGCATTCTTTTATTTCAACTGCATGGCCTTTTCAGGATATAGAGAGCTTTTTAATTATTATTATTATTCGGTCACAAACTGGGAAGAAAGTGGTGGAAATGAGATATATTGGGCTGCTTGCATCTGGTGAATTATAGTGCGGTGGGGGGAGGCAGTGGTCTTGCTGCTGCAAGTGCAAACAGACCAGAGAGATCAGTGGAGGCAACACAAGAACAGTGATGTTCTTGCTACTTAGCAGATCTCCCACAGAGGACTTATCCCTCCCATTTCCTTTTAACTGTTAACATCACTGGCAATGCAATACTAAGTATGTTCACTTGGAAGCATGCCAATCTGTACTCAGCGAGGCTTATTTCCAAGGCAGGGTTCATAGTATTGAAGCCTGGGAGAAAAAGTCCCCAACATTCCAATAGAGATAGCGGATAACATTTAAGCTGTAGGAATATCTGCCCCATCCTCATAATTAGGAGCCCCACGGGAACACATTTTCCTTTCTTAGGGTATTTCCAGATGAACACCTCCCTCCTTAGATGACTCAGTCATCTGATCTTCCACTATGAGGTACACATGAAATTGTACTGACTTCCCACGTGGCAAAGGATACCACACTTTTTGTGTATGAGCATCCTGTTAGGAGGCATTATATTGCTGCATGTGCAGGGAAGAGGGTACGATTCACCTAACCATCATCAACTTAAGAAACTCTGCCCCCCATAATTCTTTTAAAAATCATGCTTCTGTCTCTGCCTAATGACATCATAATGTGGGTGCTTTAAAAAACTTAAATGCACGAGCAGTACCAATTCCACAACGAACTCCCATCTGCAAGCACTTTTAGTATCTAGCAGAAAGTGTCAAAATGTGTTTGGTCCTTTTTTTAATTTTTGCAACTGTTAAGAGCTAGAAACATTTGGATTTTGAAGAATCTACCGGCCATATTTCTATGGTACAATACAAATCCCTGCCATGATGATTTCTAAAAGCCCAGAATAGTACCAAAGGGGAATATCAGCTTCTTTTGAAAGATCAACTTGAACACAATGCCGACTGTATTCTGATTAAACTGCTTTGGTCTTCATGTTTGTTTCTTTCAGACCTATTCTCCTCTGAAAAAGGAAGGAGTGTCTGTGTTCTTAACATGCAGGTTCCTGTTGACTCTGAGTTTTCGCAGGCAAGAGAAGCTCCACATCACAGTAGCTAAAACCGTACCCAGCCAGCAGGTCTTTCTGAGAAATGTCAGCTAAATCTGATTCATAAACTTTGACAGGACTCTGTGTGTTCCTCTTCTCTAGAGATTTATGCAAGAGTTCCTTCATCCTCCTGTTTTCTTTGGTGGTTGATTCCCAAATTATTTCAAGTTCACTTTCCACTTCCCTAGGAAGAAAAATGAAAATGGATTTGCAAGTTTCAGATGCTTTGCCTTTTTTGAGAGTATTTTTAAGGTGAACTACCCAGCCAGTACAGAAAGAACAATTAAATTTATTTTTGTACCTGGAATGTTGTCTAGAGAACACCATGTGCACAGAACAGAAAGAGTAATCAGAGGATCTCTGGCATATAATTCAATCAAATGTACTTGTTTAACCAGTTTTTATGGGTGTCTAGTTCTGAAAGCATCACAAAAAATAACCCTAATATCCTGGGTCCCTTATTGGTGATGTCATGGTTCAAAACAGGACTACAAATTCTCCTCTAAGGCTGTTGTAAGTAGATCTGGCTGCCTGAGTCACACACAGTGGATTGGGACAGAGGATCTTTTCAGTTTCAGCCATTTTCACACCGCATTGTCCTTTCCACTACTGACCCAATGTCCCAACAATGTTGTGTTGGGAAAGTCCCCTGCCGAAAATCTTGGACACCTGTGGCCAGTCAGAGTGGACAATGGTCTGGCTCGATATAAGGCTGCTCCAGATGTCTGAACTATTTCATAGCTGCTTTATATTGTTGATGAAAAGCCTCTTTGCTACAAAATACTGAGATGGAGTCATGTTTAGATAAGGTTAAGCTCAGTTTGAGGATGGCAGTGCCCCCTGTAAGAGTGCTGGGGCTATTCAGATGGCCCACCCTCGTGGATGGATAGAACTGGATGTGTTCCTAAATGCGCTTGGGGATTTTCCAATGGAGATTGTGGTATATCACCTGTATAATTTGTATGTAAAAGCATTATGACACCAGTGGCTGCATTTACAATCCCTTTCCTAACAATACCTAGCATGGGATTTGCCCTTTTATTTATGACACATTTTGTCAGCCGCTGCCTTGAATTTCTCCTCTTACCCTTAATATTTTCTCATCCTGCTGCTGGACATTCACAGCTTTATTTTTAACCTGTTAAACTCAGAGGAATTTAGGACTGTTTTCCAATTGAAAATAACTGGTATCCGCAGTGGTACCTCATAGCATATTTCTGCAAATTTCATTGTGTTTCACACTTTGTACTGAATTTTCCCCCCTGTGAAATACGTAACCAAAGTTGTGAATGTGGCTGAAGGGTGAGATATCAGGTCAAAAGCAACCGGTCAAAACAATCCTGTTTCCTGTGAAGGTTTTCTAGGTCACATTGCATTTCTTTTGACAGGAATCCCATCAGAAGGAGCTCAGCATGTGGCAATTTTTAGGGGTTGGTCTGGTCTCAAGAGTATTGCAATAATGTCCTTTGCAAGAACAACAAAAATCCTCAGCAACAGAAAATCTGAATCACAATAATAACATATGCCTATATGTTGCTCCCATAACTGAATATAGCAGAGATACAGCCCATGAAACCTCGAAGAGGTAGTTTTTTGCTGCAGAGCTTAGTAGACACCTCTCTGTTCTGGTGCCATGGTGTCCAGTCAGCTTAGAGATGGTCAGGTCAACAAATGAGGCATGAATGACAGCCTTTATTTGTATCTCAAAAAGCCGCTCTACTTCAAAGTATATTCCTTGATCAATCAGGGCAGGTTCCAGAACCTGTTAAGTGATTTGGTGCCATCTCCCTTCCTGCTGGCACCTGCACTTCCTGTGATTTTATCAGATCTAATTTTTAGTGGATCATCTTATGGTTAAAGAGAAAACATGTTCAATGCTCTTTTGGTCTTCAAATCTGTCTCTGCTCCATAAATCATTCAAGCAAACTTTCCCGCAAAGCAGTCAGAAATCTGCTTATGTCCTTTCCCAGCTTGTAAATCTTGCATTCGCTTGTCCTGGTTCAACCTCTTGGCCAAGGAATGTCCTAAGAGGGCAAGAGGGACCCATTTCAGCCTGTCTACCTTGTGGTTTTTGACATCATGATAAAGGGAGGAAGATGGCAGAAAAGTAAGTTGTGCAAATTAAGTATACAATTTATTCTGGGCACAGATTTTTAAGTTTTCTTGGCAAAAAAAAGTTCTACACAAGCTGCACCACTGTTGCATTTGCTCCATGTCCTGCTCAAGCTCTATATGTCAGAAACCAAATACACCATCAACAGCTTCACGGGACATTACTCTAATGCTGATCCAAACCACCTTGAGGTTTTTTCTACAATCAAGTGGCATATACTCCCTGCTGCCTTGCCTGCCCTTCCTAGTAAGTAACAGCGACCCACCTGCCAAGAAGCAAGAGCAGCAGCAGCTCTGCCTCACCTGGCATGCCACCTCTGGATGGGACACGGAGAAAGGTTTCACCTCAAAGGTCTCAAACTGTATATGGTTTTAAAGATGATAACCAATACTTCCCATCAAGCTTGGAAGTGGATTGGGAGCCAATTATTCTGGGTGCAGGGCTGAGCGCACATGATCAAAAAGGCCAGCTCCAGTTAGGATGCCTTCCCTGCCATATTTTGCACCAGCTGCAGCTTTCAAAAGGCAGCCCCACAAAGGGTGTGCTGAAGCAGGAGACCAATCTGGCTGTGACTAAGGTAGGTGGGCCAGTAGCCAGAGCTGGCTTCTCCAGGAAGAAGTGCAGATGATAATCCAGGAGGGACACTGGATCCAGGAAATCTCTATGAACCTGATTCTTCAAGGGGACTGCAACCCCATTCAAAACACACCTGCCTTTGCTTTTGTATTGGCCAAAGGACTTCCATCTTGAACTGAGTCTCAGTTTATTCTCCCACAGCCACGCTGATCCTGATCTTAGGCACTGGTTCAGTCATTAAGTGGGCATTGGTACTGCCATTTAGGAAAGGGAGCAAATAAGGCTTCATCTGAGGGAGCACTTTATCAAAAATGGTGGTGTATGGAGCTGTGAAATTTTACATCACTCGAAGGATGAGCCTAAAAGTCTAAAAGCTTCCCTCACCGAGGCCCCCAGAATTTGACATGTTTATTTCAAAGCTGCTTAACACAGTGGGTTTTGGTTTTGTTGTTGTTGTTTTGGTCTTTCTACTGCATTTGCAGTGATGACTGCAAAAGGCTGCTCTTTTCCTCACTCATTACATGTGTACTGAGCAAAACCCAAATGCTGCTCCCGATGGAGTGAAGGGCAAATGGGGGAGGCAGAGCAGGCAAGGAAGAAGGGGCGGGGAGAGAAGAGACATGAATCGAGTTTTCCCATGTCCAAAACCATGCTATCACTCAGGATTTAAGGTGCTATTTTCCCCTTATTTTTTCACAGAAGAAATGAGATTTAATGATCATGCTGTAGCATTTCTCAGATTGCTTCACTGCGAGTGGAGACAAAATGAGATTCCCCTAGTAGAAGCTCAAAACAAGAATGCCAGCTTTCAGGTGCCCCACGTGCTCTTTGGAATAGAAAAGACACAGTCGTGTGCCTTAGGTATTCTTGAGTCTGCTTGTACAAGTGATATTCTGGAGAGTTGCTATAAAGCAAAAAATAATATCCTCAACATCCAAAAGTAAACACTGCCTCCTGAGCATTTCAAGGGTTCCTGCTAAAGCTCACTATCTTTCAGCTTTTTGGGAATCCACCTTTCAGTGTCAACCTCTGACCTGCAAATGATTAGCTGTCATTCCTGCACTGCAGGAAGTTGGACTAGATGACCGTTGAACTCTACCATTCAATGATTCTAAGTTCAGCCTCTCTTGGTTTTTGTGCTCCATGACTTCACCTGCCATTGTTCCCCAAGGAAGTCCTGGTATTACGTATAAAAGAAAGGAAATACTGCAAGACTCCCTCTGCAAAGTGGGTGATTCATATTGAAAACTGGATGGCTGGCTTCATCAGTTGTCGTGGCGAAATCTTACGCGCAACACTTTAAGGGTTTTAATAAAATAAACATGCCATTCACACAGCCTATTACTTTCAGTTGGGTATAGTGCTGAGATTAAATGTGTCAGTGAAATTTCTATCTACTGGGAACAATTTTGCAGGCCACAAATTTTCTCCTTGAGCGGCGCTGGTGGAAATGAATCTGCATCAGGACATTATTTGCCCAGCACTGCCGATTCTGGTTGCCAAGCTACAGAAGATTAGTGACAAGAAGCCCACCCCTAAGTCCTTGGTCTGTTTTTCTTCTGACCGGGGTGGGGGGTAGAGTGGGAGGAGGAGGAGAGAGATCCAGAACAACCTTTCAAATGACAGCTTTGTTCAGGGACTGGCTGCACTACAAGACAAAATTATATTTACTCCTTAAAGCACTTCCAGATTTTGAGAGAACTGAAAGCAGAATGCAACCAGAATGGAAGGAATCTGGCTAAACTAAAGGAGCCCAGCATTCAGGAAGCGTAGGGAAAACATATGCGAAGCATTTTAGCTTCCTGAACTGTAACACTGCTTGTCTGCATAGCTAAGCTGACGTCCCATGGTCACTGGCCAGAATGATTAACCCAGCTATACATCTGTCCCATCCAATCCAGATGTTTGTTAAAACTGACCTAGAATAAGAGAGACATCACAGCAGGAAAGCATCTCTTTGAGGGCAAGGCAAAAGCTGCATTTGCCTTTCACCAGCTACAAGCACTGCTCATCTTCCAGAATGTCAGTAAAAACTTTCTGACAGTAAGAGCTGTTCGACAGACTCCCTCGGGGAGTGGACTCTCCTTCCTTGGAGGTTTTTAAGCAGAGGTTGGATGGCCACCTGTCATGTATGATTTAGCTGAGATACCTGCATTGCAGGGGGTTGGACTAGATGGCCCTCGGGGTCTCTTCCAACTCTACAATTATATGATTCAATGATTCTAAGACTTGGCAACCAACTGCAAAACACTCAGCAACTCTGCTGCTGTTGGTGACAATAACAAGGGACAAAGTGCTGCTGTTTAGAACTACTTCCCACAACTGCATTTTCCTCTGCCGCAGTGGACTGCTAAATCAAAGTGTGGGCAATTATTTTAGCTTTATGGAGTTGTATCCAACTGACTAAAAGCAGCCCCACTGAAGTAAAGGGACTCAAGTGAGTCATGTCCATTCATTTCAATGTGTCTCCTCTGAGCAGAACGAATACTGGATACAACCCATTGTGATGGCAGTGCTTCATAAAGCTTGGACTAGTATATTAATAGCCTTTGCTGTTTGAGGTGGGAAGCGTGAGGGGTGGGTGGGTGTGACAGGTAAGAGAAGAGAAATGGTTCTAAGGGGTTGACATGTCTAACACTGCTCTAAGGGGGTGACATGTTGGGGAATACCAGGACTAGAAATAAAATTGAGGATTATTTTATTAACGTATTTATTATTTACAATTATACCCCACCTTTAGTCCAAGGAACTCAAGGTGGTATGCAAAATTTCCCCCTCCTTCCATTTATCCTCATAACAACAATGGGAGACTGAGAGGCAAGGGCTGGCCCACAAGGCTTCATGACCAAGTGGGGGATTTGAACCCTCCCAGGTCCAACACTCTAACTGCTATACCACACTGCCTCTCACATTGGAGGACAGGTGTTCTCCCCTCCTAGATACATACATATTGTCAAGCTGTATGAAGCAACACAGGCTATATGCACAATAGAATGTTTATGTTAGATCAAAACTATGGTTTGGAACATGGTGGCAGCAGGACCTTCCCTTCCACACACCTGAACCACAGGGAAACCTGGCTGTATTCACCACATCTTTAGTTCTCCAGATATGCAAGCAGTCCCAGGTTAGAGTATCTGGTTCTGTAGCATTGTTTGATGCTAAGCTGGTGCTTACAAAACACATTTATTCAATCATTTATATGCTACCTTTTAGCCTTCAAAGGGACTCCTAAAGTGGCTTAGGTCATTACTAAAAGGAAATGTTTTTTAAAGCAAAAGAAGAAGCACAGTCCGCCTGGAAGTTATTCCCAAGAGGAAGTTTTCCTTGCACCCTTTCTAAATAGACAGCTGGTTGGAGGATGCCGTGTGGATTTCCTGCCTACGGAAGCAATCCTGTGCCCAAGAATCTGCTGTAAAGTTACACCAGACCCAAGCCCTGTTCAGCAGCAGGCTTTTGCAGAAAGAACTCAATCGCACAATGGCAAATTTAGCTGCACAACAAACCCACTTAAAAAAAGAAGACTTTTTACAGCAAGGAAAGTGATAGTTAAGAACCAATTGATGGGGAGTCCTATATCCTCTGCAGAAACAAATCAGGATGAATGCTCAATAAAGAGAGGGCATTGTATAACCTCCGTCCAAGCTTTCTGCAATCTGGAGGTGCTCTAAGACATGTCGCATGTGAATTGCTACACCAGTCACTGCAGCACGGGGACTATGCACAGAGAGTACATACACACTTTGCCAAAAAATTCAGAAGTTATCTGACCACGCTACTTATCCTCTACTGGGAGTTGATAACTGACACAGATGGCATACAGCTTGAGTTCCAGGCTGGATTATTTTATCTCACAATGGCTGAGATGATCTGCAAAATAACTGCCTAATTATCTGTCTCCTGTGTTGTTTCAGTGCTGGTACTAGCAACCATCCCTGAAGCCTTCCCATCGCTAACACGAGAAGTAAGAAGCAGGACTCTTTATAGGTTCTCTCGACACGGAGAATCATCTTCCAGCCAAAACCTATTCAGCTGTTTACTCCCTTTTTTGTGATTAGAAACCTCCAGATCCACGAAATATTCATTTTGCCAAGTGCTCTTAACTGACTGCCCTCATTTCCTGTCTGTCAGAAAAATGTCAGCCTGGGACTTCATCAGTCCTCACTGGAAGATGTTATTAAATCAATGAGCATGTGACCAGTGATTCACTTTGGAGAGAATTACTGAAAGCTCAATTCAAGTCAATAGCTTCTGCATGTTTGCTTTCCTTCAGCAAAAGGCAGTACAGCTGCCAGGAGGATTTTTAAGGCTGGCTGTCAGAGCTAGCAGGCAACGATTTCTTTCAAGGATTTGTAGGTCGGGGGCTTAGAGAGGAAGGAGGGAGAGGGGGATGGGGGAGCTGACAGAGTCAGTTGAGAGGAGGAGATTTTCAACCCAGCAGCTAGGCAGGGAAGTGAATACAGCCACAGCACGCCAGAGGGGGCTCTTAGGCAGAGCATCTGCTCCTTTACCAGTCGGGGCTAATGGGTTTGTTTAAGGCTTTGGCTGACTTACCTTTTCTGCTGCAGCGCTTCGTCCAGGGTTTCCTGCTTCTCTTGCAGCAGCCGCTGGAGGTGCCTCATCTCACGCTGGTACTGAGCAGCCTTCCCGGCAAATTCCTTCTCTTGCTCCGATGCTTTCAGGCTGATGTCTCCGAGCTTTCCGGCAGCCGTCTTTTTATACACCTGTGAGAGTTGGAGCACAGCCCAATTAGAATCAGCACCGGGGTTGCGAGCCAGCTGACGGGAACTCAACTGGCGGGAAGATGGTTTTCTCCCACAGGGGCTTCATCCTGAAACCAGGGGTGCTTTGTTCAAAGAACAAATCGGGTAGGTTGGAAATGACCTGGTCCTTCCTTCAAGCATTTCTACTGCATGCACTTTCTACAGCATATAGCTAAAGGTGTCACTGCATAGGTCTACTGTGCTATTTTAATGCCTCCCTTTGGAGAAAGGTCTTTATAAAACAGGTCTTAAATCCAAATATGTTTGACTCATCAGGAAGCCAAGTTGGACTTTAAGCACATGTTGCTTATAGACAAGTTTAATAATTTGATTTTAATTGTTAACGTATCACTGTAAGGCTGGGAAGAGATGCTACTGGGTGGCATGTATGTTCATTAATCCTTTCATCTTGGAAAAACAACTCAGCTGCCTTATAATTGCTTTGGGTGCCTTGAAGCTGTGTATCCTTTCACTGAAGCACTGGAATGCAACACGTTTCTCCCTGCTTTTGCTGAGAAAATGCATTGTTTAGAAAAGCAAGGCATTATTTAGAAAGCATTAGTTCTTTTTTGAAACAGTGAATTTTACTTCTGAATCGCAAAATGGCTAAGCATGCAAAAAGCAATGCTAAGTGAACATGAAGGAGGAAAAAATATTTCATCTTAGATAAAAAGTTTCATTCTGATTATTACTTTACATGAAACCTCTTATCCGCCTATATGTAAAAGATCTCAGCTTTGGGGGATACCTTAACCTTTTCTTCTGGATGAGCCTGATGTTAATGCTAGCCAATTTCAGATTTATTAGTTTGAAGATCAAAACTACACCCTTGCCACAGGTCTTCAAGGTCTGAAAATTTATCCAGCAGACTTGGAAAAGCACCATTTCCAATTCAAGTCTGTGTACTCATGTCTAAAAGTAGAGCAGGAATTAAAAGGAAAACAAGTTGCCTGGGGAAAGAATTAAGCTAGGGTGATGTGGGAGTCCATCCTATAAAAATTCAAGCATGTTCAATTGCATCAATATTTAAATGGATGGCAATGGTATATGGAAGCTTGTCTACTTGTGTTAAAGATAATGGTTTAGCACAAACAGGGTGCAGTACTGCAGAGGTACCCAACTTGTTGTCTCCAGATATTGCTGTACTACAACTCCCACCATCCCTGACCACTAGGCATGTTGTTGGGGACTGATAGGATTTGGAGTCCAACAGCACCTGAAGGGACATTGGCTGTCCTGCAGAGTTGAGCACTGGGTGCTTGCCTGTCGGATGAACTCAGAAAACTGTCACCTGAGATTTTAGGAAGACTGAACTTTATGGGAGGGACCACAGCTCAGGGGTAGAGCACATGCACTGTATCTACAGAAGGTCTCAGGTTCAAGCTCTGGGGGCCCCAGTTTCAAAACACAGGGAAGCAGGCGGAAGAAAAGGCTTCTGCCTGAGACTCTAGAGAGTTGTTGTCAGTCAGAGTAGGCAGTACTGGACTAGATAGGTGAGTAGCAGGGCCTGGTAACTGACAGCTCCCTGTGTTCTTACTTAATGGCAGTAAACATTTGGAAATCAGGTTGTGACTCTGAACCAGTGTGCCACACTTTATATAAAGGACAACGCTTTCCTTTTCACAGGATGTATCTAAAATAGCAAAAAAAAAAAGTTTGAATTTTTACGTATAAATTCTTCCATTTATTTTAAACTCATCCATTCTGAGAGCAACAAACAACAAACTTACCTACCCGATGGATATGTTTTGGTTATAGTTTACACTGCAGTTGTATTGTTTTATTGGTTTGGGTTTTTTTAGTGTGTTTTCTTTCTTTATTACTTTATCAGCTGCCAATCTTACGCTGTGTCAGTTTGCTTCTTTGAAGTGTATAATATGGTTTTGACAGCTGTAATTTTTTTCTTTTTTTTTAATGGTATAAAGGGCGGGGGGAGAAAAGGCACTAATGAAGAAATAAAAAGAGAGAAGAACCCGAAAGGTGCACTAAAATATAGTTTATCCAGTCCAGCAAATTTCACTTCCAATCTTTCCTCAAGGGAACTGGTAAAATCCTACATATTTGCTATGTGCTCTACTGCAAAGTGATTCCAGTCCATATAATTTGTTTGTTCCTATTATCATTACATTTATATCTTGCTTTTGCTTCAAGGACCTGGTTTTCCCCCTTCCCAATTTTACCATTGCTACAATCCTGTGAGGCAGGTTAAGCTAAGAGGCAGTGGCCAGAACAACCCAATAAAATTCATGGCTGAGTGGGGATTTGAACCCTCATCTTCCATGTCCTAGTCCAACACTATAACTACTACACCACACTGTAGGTAATCCTATAGGTAACTGATCTCCCCTTCCCAAAGTAAAATTTTATGAAACAGAACAAAGCTTTTATCTCTTGGCTTAGGTTTCTCTTGCAGGTGAGAATGGAACTGAAGAAAACAAGGAATGCAGCCATTTTTACTACATCTACATATGGTCTTGACATTTTAAATATTGATGCATTTATCTAAATGGGGATCTCACTTTCTTCAAAGTGCTCCCTAGGCTGAGGCTCTTTGGAGTCTTCCATCCCCCTCAGTTATGTTGTCTTTATAAAGCAGCAACTGCTCTAAAACTTTTAAAGGGGGGAAATGGATAAGCATGGGGAGTTTTGTCTAAAACTGTGTGTACAACTGGAGAACTCCAAAGCACACAATTCTGAACAGGGGAACTGCTTCAATCATACCTCTGGATCAGGTGGTTGCCTGGTTTCCTCCCTCCCAGACCTGCTTTCAACTGTCAAGCTTGACAAATATACCTAGACCTTCACAGAGTTGAAAGGTGCATCACAAGTGTAGGCAGGATGGCACTCCCTAAAGGAAACCCGTTATATTGGGGGGTGGGGGTGGGGGATTATCGGAGGAAGGTATTAGAACTGGAGATGGTCTCTTCTGACAATCTGAACACAAAGGGGACTGGAAGATAAGGGAGAAGGCATTCTTCTTTCAGATAATTAGGAACATGACAGCAGAAGACTTTAAAAGGTCAATACCTGCAGTCTGAATTGTGTCTGGAAACTGACTGGTAATAAATGCCGTTGTTTCAAGACTAGCGTAGTATGAGACCTCAGTCTTGGAAAGTATTCCAGCTGCTGCATTTTGGAGCACCTGAAGTTTATGGGAAGTCTTCAAGAAAGTGTCACAGAGCATACTGCAGCAAATTAATCAAGAGGTCACCGTGGCATCTTCTTGACCATTCAGCGAGGCACACCTCCCACATCCAGATCTAGATCTGAGGGATATAGCCTTCAGCCAAGGACCCCAAAGTGCAAACATGAAGGTGGTACATGGCAGGGGGGGGGGGGAAGGCCAGGTTGGTAGCATGATTTAGTGCCATTCATTTCAATGGGTCTACTCGGAATAGAACAAGATGGGATAGACTAGTTCTACCCAATCCAGACCCTCAGTCTTAATATTGCTTGCCAATCTCAGAGGCTGATGCTGCATAGCTCTGTTGCCTTTTGTGCCTGATGAGGACTTTGGGGTCTGAACACACCTTGTGGTTCCCAATTTAAATGCAGGAGATCTCCGATAATAACTTTGCATTTGGTACTCTGTGTGGTGTGTGTGTGCTTGTGTGTGCACACACATGAGCATCTGCGGTGGGGGCTATAGTCATAAAGGAAAAGTAGCAGGTAGGTAAAGGGCTCAGCACATTCCTCATGCCTATTGCTTCTTCCTGTGCATCGCACCCTCAGGATGCCACTCTGATTTATTCCATATGTTTTTAAACGGCTCTTCAGCAGATAAGTGTCCTAGGGAGACTTACATAAAACCAAGGAAAGCACTAAAAATGTGTGTCAATAAACAGAACAGCGCCAAGCAAGTCACTGCTACTGTGAAGAGCACCATGGCTACGAACTAAGTAATTGCTTGTAAATTCAGCATGAAACTCACAGAGTTTCAGCGTTGGAAGGGTCCCAAAGGGTCATCTAATTCAACTCCCCCTGCAATGCATTTTGGAAAATGACTGTCCAAGCAGTATACTACACAAGGTAGTATTAAACACAAGACGGTACTTGTAGTGGTTGCTAGACTGGTTTACGCTTGTCCCTGGAAATGGTGCCTTCCCCTGCCCAATACTGTGAGGAGGATGCAATGAACTAGGTATGGGGCTATTTAAATGCACCACTGGCCTTGCCTCCAGTTCAAAAGGTCTTTTCAGGCAACACATCAGACTTTTTCTAAGTAACGAAGAAAACATTTTCCTAAACTCTCCTGCCATTTCCCCCACTACTCCTCCATGCCTCTCCAAGGAATGTCTTACGACATCGCTTTAAAAGAACAAAACAAAAAACCCTCTTGTTATAATTAACACAGGCAGGTTTGTCAACCTGAACATTTCGTCTGCTTGCGACGGCTGTCTATTCCTTTCATGTTTCATGTCTGCAACAGGAAAGGGACAAAATGAATTAGAGCATGCACAAGGGTCAGAGAGGGGGTGGGTGAGAGAGAATATTTGTTGGGAGGAATAGGGGAATAATACTTGAGCATACCTGCTTCAGTGGGCAGAGGTGGCCCAGCTCTAGCATACTACTTATCTAGAAGCATTTCAGTCTGTTTTTTTGCCTGGTCTTGGTTGTTCTAACAGAAGACCCACACCAGAAGGTGGACAGGGAAAGTCCAGCCCTCTTAATCAGCAGTGTTCAACATCACCCATCATAGCATCCTTCTGGAGCTGTCTTGCTGGGATGGGACATCTAACTGCAGTGGTTTGAATTGTTCCTGAAGGGCCAATCTCAGAAGGCGGTGCTGGGAGACTGCTGCTCCACCCATTGGTCTCTAACTTGTGGGTGACTGCAAGCGTCTCCTATGCTATTTAGCGTCTACATGAATCACTGGGTGAGGTTGTCCAGAGAGGAGGAGGATACCGTCAGTATGCTAGTGATGCACAAGTCTCTTTCCTTTCCATCTAAACCCAGGGTGGCTGAGGTTCTGACCCAGTACCTGAAATCAGCAATGAATTGGATGTAGGTAAGCAAACTGAAATTAATCCAGGTAAGACAGAGGTGGGAGAAGAGCTGATCTAGGATTAAGTGTAGTGCTTAATTTGGATGGAGTTGCAACCCCACCCCAACCCAGTTAAGGATCAGGTTTGTAGCTTGGAAGAGCTGCCGTATGCCAAAGTGTGATGGCGGCCATGAAGACTTTTGAGTAATGTAGGCTAGTACCCTAGCTATGCCCTATTATGATGGACAAGACCTGGCAGCTGATCACACAAACCAAGATTTATGGGGGGGGGGGCTGGTTTTGAAAGAAGTCTTCTTCATCGCTGCTACATTGGAGGGAGTCAGCCTAGGCCAACCCTACAATTCTATGACGGCTTATTTTTCAACTTCCAATGAAAAACTTGTTATTTTGAGGGTGCTCTTGAGTTAAGCAATAATGGAATAACATTCTGAGATGTTTGTTGGTTATCTTTCATATGATGAGATTACTTTCCTGTTCTCTGGCTTCTTGAATATTTGGTTTGGGCTTTTAATGTTTGTAAAGCTCAGCAGCAGCAACCACCACAACCACCAAACAATGTGTTTTAATATTGTTGAAGGCCTCCTTGGGGAGTCCCTGAGGGAAAGAGAGACTGAATACAAATATTTTACCTAATTAACTGCTTACTTTGTTGACATGGAATTCAATCTACTTAAAAAGCATTCCCACCTGCCATTCAGGTGAATATGTTAAAGTATTTCACAGCAGACAGAGAGAATTTGGTAACTGAGGAACTTAATGCCTGCTATTTAGACTCTTATGAATGCTTTCCAAGGAGCAATACTTAAAGAGAAATTGTGTTTGGACATGCTGCTATCATAACTATTTTTTGGAAGAATCACATGCAAAATGCATACTCTCTGTTTCTAGTGTTAGACCCTGCTCTGCTCCACCATGCTTGTGAAAGAGTGCACAGGGTGGACCCACCAGAGAATAAGTCAGAAACCGAGACCATTTAGCAGACCTGATGGTTAAGACAAAGATGCAAATGAAAACGTCTCCTAATAAAAATGCCGTTGTTGTTGTAATCCTTGCCTGTTCCCATTAAAATTCCATCACTGCTGCATGGCAACGTGAGGGTGATGAGCCAAGACTGAGCCAGCTCTGCTTATTAGGAAACGTGAACAGAAACAAATCCCCTTTTCCGGCAAAACAGACAAAACTGTGAAATGTACTGTCGCACTTTTTTACCCATCAAATCCTTAAGAGTTTCACAACCACACATTCTTATTAATCAAAGAAATGCCATGGGAAACCTACATTCAATGGTATTGTTTTTCCCCTAAAGGTTAAGTAATACCTTTGCTCAATAATTTCAAATGCACAGCACCACCAAATGAGCTACTATTAAGTTTCCCTCCCTCTGCAACATTACAAGAGCATCCGTGCATGATAAGAAGATTCGTCTCCAATGCAAATCAAACTCTAAATGCTTGTCAAGGTTGGATTGTAGCAACTGTTATACAAGTTTCTGAGTTACATCCTCAACTGAAAGCCAAACATTTTCCAGCCAACTTGCTTTTTTCCCATGTTGATAAGCTGCAGTAACTAAATATTCCAGATGAGTAATTGCTCCTTAATGTTAACAGATCGACCGTATGTAAGTTTGCACAGAAGCACTACTGAATTTAATGAGACTTACTCCCAATAGCACACAGGATCTGAGTGTAGTGCAGACACTTTTTCCCACAGGTGCCATCCCAAGGCAGTTCAGAAAAGGAAATAGAGAAGGGGAAGAGGGAGAACTAATCTTCAAGAGGGGAAGTAAATTTAGAGCAGAGAAATGGGGGCTGCTGGGTATACTTGCCCCAGGCCTTGGAATCATATCTAGGCCCTGATGGGGAAGATGGCATGATGCAGTGGACAGAGTGCTTCACAGCATGCAGACACATCGGTTCAAATCCTATAAGACCCCAAAGCTCAATGGGTAATATTGGGCTCCCTCAATTTAACTATGTGAGGTAGTTCTGTTCAGATATTCAAGAAAATGTCTAATACATTCTACAGTCTATGGGGTGGTGAAACAATCTCCTCTAGGATGGAAAGTAGGATATAAAACAAAACAGATTCAGTGAATATTTGGGGAAATTATACGAAACTGAAAACCAGAAACTTCTAATCAGAAGAGGTAATTACATTTAACTACTGCTACCAGTTTTAACTTGTTACCGTATTTGCTTTTTTCTGTCGGTAAAGAATATACTCTATGATAGGCTTCCCCAACCTGATGCCCTCAAAATGGTTTGGACTACAGGTCCCAATAACTCCAACCAACATGGTCAAATGTTGGGGAAGATGGGAGTTTTTGACCAGGTTGGGAAAGGCTGCTCTAGGAACAACTACCAAAAGGGCATAATTTAAAGTTGAAACTCACTGCTATTATCTTTTACAGCCTGCCTAATTTAAAGATGAATCATTCTCAAACAGAGGGAGAAGAAAAAGTACCGAACGATGAGCTGGAATGCAAAATCTGTTACCAGAAGTTTAACGTCCAGAGCCGCAAACCCAAAATCTTGGACTGCCTTCACAGAGTGTGTGCGAAATGCCTGACAAAAATCCTCCATGTGGGAGATGGGTCCCATTGCATTTGCTGCCCCTTCTGCCGCCACAAGACAGAGCTGCAGGAAGAGGAAGTGGAGGGCCTTCCTGATGACGCAAATATCATGTCCAAACTCATGACAAAAGACAAAACAGCATGGAGCTCGGACTGCAAAGAAGTTGTCTTGACGCCAAAGAACTTGGCTTCCTCCAGTCCTTCTCATGGGTCATCAAACTGTTTGGTGATTACCATCATGGAAGTACAGAGAGACTCCACAAGGACGCCAAGCCAGAACACCCTCTCGGATTACTACACAGATCACAGCCTTGACTCGGCATCTGTGAACTCTCACAGCCACCTGGATCAAGATCTTTTCTCTAAGCTCTGTAACCATGTCCCTAGAATACTGGTGTGGCTGCTTGGATTTTTCTATTTTGGTTCTTTGCCACTTGGAATCTATTTATTGGTGATTCAGAAAGTGACCCTTGGAATTGTCTGTGTCAGTCTCGTGCCATCCAGTCTAACTGTGTGTCTTGTCTATGGCTTCTGTCAATGCCTTTGCCAAGGAATGTGCGACTGTTCCTCAAGAAACTAACATTTTTTTAAAACGGAATTTTGGATATTGGCACTATAGACCTTCAAATGTATAGGCTATTTAAAGCCTACTGTGGATTTTTTCTTTTTAAAAAAAATATCAGTAGGCAAAAATGAGACATCTATATTTAGATGTTCCTAACATTCCATCCCACTCTCCCAACAGGTAGCCACACTTTAGTGTGCCCAACGAACAAAACCCAGAGGGGTTAATGGCTTTGACAGAGTTCTCCAGGGCAAAGTTGTAGGATCCCATAAGGGATACATCCGACAGAAGGCAAAATTCTTTATCTCACTAGGGGCTATTTAGCTTCCATCGCAAAGTCCACAATCCTGACAGGGCCAAGCATCACTGAGGCCCCCAGGAGAATAGTGTCCCTCCCTACACCTCCTAGAGGTTCTGGAGGCAAAAGAGTATTCCACCCCCAGCACTTTTTCCATCCCAGTTTTTGAGGGAAAAGAGAGGAAGGTATTTCTTTTTTGCTTCCTTGGATGCTGGAGACTAAATTTGGCTTATGAAAGAGGGGACAGCATTTGGAAGGAGAGATATGGCCTTGCTTCTTGTTCTGCTTCAACAAGGGCTTCAACAATGGACAGGAAGCGGAGGAAGAGGAAAGTGAAGGAGAATAGCAGGACTGGGAAAGGACCGGCACTATCATGCTATCTCCTCTGTCATACTAGATGATCCTGTAGCTAGGATGAAATAAAAATGCAGATCTGAAGAACAGACTAGGTGAAATGGTATTGCAAATCTATTCTTCAACCTGTCTAGAATTTGTGTTTTTTGAGACAGGGATGCAAAATCAAAAATGATGGAACTAGGGTATGTATACTTACATAAAAGCCTATGAAGCTGGCATGGTCTGAAATGAGATGTGTTTTATTGCATGGATTCTCCTGTTCTGGAATAATGTTCCTCTATTTTAAGCAGAGATTTGGCAACTTTTCTGCTAGAACATACTGTTACATTTTTTTTTAAGCTATTGTAATTACAGGTCGTGATTACACAATTACAGGTGGGAAAGTAAAATGCTTTATTTTCTGAAACACTTGAGGAAAACTTTCATATTTAAGGCAATGTCAAGCTTTCGGTCTTTGGCACCAGCAACCTGTTACTTATTTTATGTGAAAGTAACCTCCACTAAGATCGGTGTGCATGATTCAGCAGTTGGAGGGCAAGCTTTAGACCCAAGGACCCAATGCTACCAGCAACTTAATCTGGCCCCAGGAGCTGTGTACATCTGGAACGCCTCCTCCCTAAACCAGCAGCCTATGAAGGACCATGGGAGACTTCAGACTAGGGTCTACTGAAGAACACAGGTTTCTCCTGATGGAAATGCATGCAAGATCTGGGTGGGTGCAGGCTGCTGCTCAGGGCTGTCAGCATGTTGCTGGCTTTATAGGAGAAAGACACAGCTAGCTATGGCCGGGGGGCTTTGTAAAGGATGGGATAAGGAAACAGCAAACACCAGCACTCCTGAAACTGTGCACTTGTTATTTGGGCCAAATAGTTACTGTACTACCAAGTTTCTCCACCACTATCCCAGCCTCCTCAAAACCTCCAGGACAGGACCTGCTGGATCTATGACTTCCATAAGGCTCACAATCTCATTCATATCTACCATCCCAAGATGCTCCTTTCTCCACAGAGCAGAGGTGCAGGTATGCTCCTGGATTGACCAATACCTGGCATATGTAAGGACTGCATCAGGTAATGTAGTATGTACTTGGTAGCAAATAGGCTTTTAACCAAGAAATAATCATAGCCAGTCATTAAGTTAGAGATCACTATTTTGTCAAACAAATAACCTGCCCACTTTTAACTCTGGCCCTGCCCAGCACTTGGAAGGTTGGCCACAAAAAATGTGGCCCATAGGCTGGTGTATATGCCAAATAAAATACCCCAAAGGATTTGGGGGCACTAATACAAGAAAAAACAAAAGAGCCAGCCATGATCACAATAAAATAGCTTCCTCTTTCACACCTTAGATAAAGGCTAACTTTTTTAAAGGTTTTCCTGACTTCTCAGCTCAAGGCAGTTTAATATACTCCAAACATTAGAAAACAATAAAAACTCGACAGTTCTGCAGCAACAGATAATTTAATAAAACTGTGAAACCATAACAACACAGCAGCAAGAGCATAATGTTGTTTTTAGCTGGACTACCTCATGCTGCAAGCTGCCTTGTGCTGGTAGGGAAAGGAGGACCAAAATCCCAATTGAATTTTAAATGTTCAAGAGGCTTCCAGCTGGTGCAGGCTGAACACCTGTAAGTGTAGCTGCCCAAAGGACAGGCAGGAAGGATAATGCTTTTCATCCTCTCTGCAAAAAGAGACATAAAGGGATCAAGTGAGCACTGTGTGTGGTGGCACTCCAAAGCCTCAGGGCTCCTCCCAACTGTCTCACTTCCTGGAGTGAAGGCACATGCAGCCCAACCTGTCTGGCCTTGTGTTGGGAGAGGCAGTCTCTAAGCTGCCCATAAAAGGCTAGATTTAGAGCAGGACTGCCACAGTGAAATATGGGACTGATATGTCACAGGAACTGAACTTCATCCTATTACAAGTTGTACTTATGTGACTCTAATTCCCAGGGACTGGAATATTTGCTAGGGAGCCAACCATTTATTTAGTACACAGCTTTTCCACAGGACTAAATCATTTAGTTCCTTTATCTATACAGTATTGCTATGGCATCTGGGAACATGGGAAATTGCCTTACACCTAGCCATAATATTTGCCCCTGTAGCCCACTACTGTCTACTCTGGCAGCAGCTCTCCAGGGTTTCAGGAAGAGCATGCTGTTTCCCACCACCTGCTACTGACACCAGGAACTGAAGTAGAGATTTCCTTGCATGCAAAGCATGTGCAAAACCAATGAACCATCTTATCATACTGCCACTTACCTGAAAGTAAGCCCCCCATAGCATTGTGGCATTTGCTTTTGAGTAAATCGTACAGGGGATTGGGTTGTAAATTACCAAAATTTAAGGTGTGGCCACCTCACAGCTGTGGATCTTCCTCCTCCCCTTCCTAAGCATAAGCCTTTTCTGAAAGCATCACAGGGCCTTTATATGCAGTCTTGCTTTCAGGTGGCCTGAGTCAAGTTCCCAGGTGCTGTTCTTCTGCACTGCACATTACAACAACATCTTTGGCCTTGCTCACACATAATGTTAAGCCAGGGGAGGTAAACCTCCAGCTACCAGACCTAACAAGTCCCCCTGCCTGTCCCAGGCATCCCCACTTAGCCTGCAGCATAGGTTGACTCAGACTATGCCATCTGTCCCACTCCCGATGTTAGGCACAGGCAGGTAAACCTATGGGGCCAAACTGGGGCCAGAGTGGTAGTGGGGCAACAATGAGGGAGAAGACGGGAAAGAGGAGGAGTCGGAAGCCGAAGAGGTAACAGGGCTGAGTGAGAGAGTGTGTGGCAGAGAGAAGTCCATAATCAGACGCAGAAGCTGAAGCAGGCGAGGAGGAAGAGGGAGGCCAAGAGGCAGAGATGAGTCAGGTTGGTAAAGAGTCATGGGTGTGTCCCCATCCTATTGAGAGAATATCCCCTCCCCCCCATCTCCCCAAAACAGAAGAGGGCTGAAACAGCTGCAGGAGAGACAGGCTACACGCAGGCACCATCTCTGAGAGGGAAAAGCCCTGGACCTAAGATGGCTGAGGGAAACTGGGGACTTTCAGTCTTGGCAACTGATTTGTGGGGTAAGACCTACCGGGGATGAGCTACTGTGCTCATTAGGCCTGACACTCAGCCAAATCTGGGAAGACTGTGGTTTTGCTAATGAAGAGTTGACCAACTTTGAACAGTGTGATTTACTGCCGGCTCGCTCTGTGACATTTATTTAGGGAAACAGTCTCAATAATGTTGAAAGGCAGGGTATTAAACCAATTCTCCTTTTTCTTTAAATGAAACGATTCTGCAAATTATAATGCAGTTCATGCCTTTAATATTGGATGTGGGGCAAGTGTATTTTGTTCAGGATAGGCTGCAGCAGGATCAGCCACATCCTTAGGCATCTAACAGATGAGTCTGCTGTGATGAACTCCATGAAGTATAATGGAGAGAAATGTGTCCCAAGCAACTCGAGGGCATTTGCTGTGGCAGTGCAAATGCCTGCCACTCCCTTCCACTCATCTACCACACCTCAGTAGATATTGTATCCCCATTATTCCCTTCACAGTTTTCATTGCAGCAAACACCAGATAGGACGTCAGCAGCAGCAACTGTCACCTGGTCCCAGGATGTCAGATCTTGTCCACTATAAACGAACACCCAGAGTAAACGTACACAACACTGCACAAGCAGATTGGGCCTTCACTGTTTTTCTCAAAAATAAATACTTAACTGGAGACACTTAGAAGTTGCAACAGCTCATCCATATTTATGAAGAATTACAGTATTTTGATTAGTGGAAAGCTACCCTCAGCTAGCATTTTTCTTCTAAGACTAAAAAAGAGAGAAACAAAAATTAGGCCAACTGCCAATTTCACTCCAGGGTGCTTGCTTTTAATCAAATATTTATCTTAAGGCTGGCTAGAAGAAAGAGAATGCAAAACAAGCCTGTGAAACCAAAAGGGCAAAAGTGCCTCAGCTTGACGCAGTTTGATGCTAAAAGGTTATGATGTTTATCATTACAGTAATTGTTCCAGAAAAATTAAACTGACATTCTTTTACAACAACATCTACAGTACAAAACAACTGTTGTAGTTCTAATATGAAAACCTATAATTATTATTCCAATGCCACTTCAAAGATGGTAACTGAAAAGACATATTTATATCTATATTTTGTGTGTGAAAGGGATTTAAGATACATGCTCTAAAAATACTTCCCAAATGAGCCTCCTACTGGCAAATACACACATGCAAAGTATCCATATAATTGTTGATACAATTAATTCTGAGCAGAACTGGAGCCCTGAAGAGAACTTAAACCAAACCCTGAAGGGTTTGGCTAGCAAATTATCACAAAACTGCTAATCATCCCTCAAATTACATGAGTTCAGGCCATTTTTAATGTTTCAGTAAGGAGGTTATTGGGGGAAAGCAACCTGAAAGGGCAAACTGTCTCTTCAACTTGTTTGTGTGATTCCCAGAAGCATCTGGTTGGTCACGGTGGGGAGCCTAATGCAGGGTGAGTCTTTGGCCTGGTCCAGCAGGGCTCCTGACAAGGCAGAAGTGCTGCGGTTCGGTGGGTGGCTCTTAAGTCCAGAAATTATATGGCTGACCTGTTCAGGGAAGGGTTGCACTTTAATCTGAAGGAGCAGGTTCAATATGGTAGTGCTCCAGGATTCCAGCCCGTCATTTGAGTCCCAAGTGGCTCATGGCTGGAGTGTGCTTATGCCCACTTTAGGCCTTCTTGCTAGCTACTGCAATTCTGGGGCCAGGATAGCCTGGCCAGAGTTGTTCGTGCTCTAGTGGCCTCCTGCCTGCAACATACCGTATGCGGAGCTCCTTTTCACATCCCTCTTTACTGCAGAACTTTAGAAAAAAGGCTAAAGAATCAGGGACGAAACACCCGGTAAAAGCAAAAATGAAACAAACCCCATTCTAACAGCATTTTACAGCTTTGTAGGTCAGATACATTTTCCCAGCACATCCTGTTACCGCAGAAATCCATGGCATGCATTAGCTAGAAGCAAAACTGCATGAAATAGCAGCTGTTGCAGCACTTTGAACCAAGCCACATATTTGTGACTGCAATTCTGAAAAAAATTGTAATATATAAGAGAAGAACTGTAGTGTGCTATAGATATATTGTCTGCAAACTCTACTCACCTTCACTTTCTCTTCTAACATCCCTAGGCGCATGTTTCCTTCTACTATTTTGTTGAGAACACCATCCTGCTGTCTTTCCAAGCAACTGGTCTGGAGGAAAAAGGAGGGGGAAGGTGAGCTGGCAAAAGATTTTGCTGTTCTGAAATGTATTCTACTGATATATTTATGTATATATCAATTACATTTCTGGACTGCCCTTTATCCCATAGGATCCCAGGGAAGTGAGCACAAGATAGAATAATTAAATAATTAAAAGGATTACATTAAAAGAGTTTGGCAACAAGCACGAGAATAACCATGCCCATTCACAGCCCCCCCAAATGTTTCCCATCACTTGCTACCAGAGACCCTTTCAGCTGAAGATGCCAGGGGGTTGAGCCAGTCATCATTGGCAGGCAAAGCAGCTGCTCTACCACAGAACTGTGGCCCTTCCCTACCACTGCCCTAGCTGAAAAACACTGTTCAGGAGGCATGTGAGCCTTAAAAGAAATGTTCAAAATGTTTTGTGCCAGACTAACTAGTAGAAACTACAGAAAACATATGAAACCCACATGCAGGAAAAATACATTACAGAATGAATACTTATCAGGTCTTATCAGCTAGACTGGTGACTGGGAGCGGCCGCAGAGACCACATAACACCAGTCTTGAAAGACCTACATTGGCTCCCAGTACGTTTCCGAGCACAATTCAAAGTGTTGGTGCTGACCTTTAAAGCCCTAAACGGCCTTGGTCCAGTATATCTGAAGGAGCGTCTCCACCCCCATCGTTCTACCCGGACACTGAGGTCCAGCACTGAGGGCCTTCTGGCGGTTCCCTCACTGTGAGAAGCCAAGTTACAGGGAACCAGGCAGAGGGCCTTCTCGGTAGTGGCGCCTTCCCTGTGGAACACCCTCCCACCAGATGTCAAAGAGAACAACAACTACCAGGCTTTTAGAAGACATCTGAAGGCAGCCCTGTTTCGGGAAGCTTTTAATGTTTGATGTATTATAGTATTTTAATATTCTTTTGGAAGCCGCCCAGAGTGGCCGGGGAAGCCCAGCCAGATGGGCGGGGTATAAATAATAAATTATTATTATTATTATTATTGGAAAACCACACACACTGAAATGCTGACTAGTTTTCCAAAATCAACCACTTTAGCAACAGATTTCAATCACAGTAATTATCTGAACAAACAAGAAGAGCTTTTGCCTACAGATCCCTCATTATTGTTCAGTGAATTAATGGAAACATTCTACCTTCAGTTCACTGGTTTCAAAAGAATCATTTATTTATCATGCTGAGGGAAGTCTAAATGCCAACGAACCACATCTGTGACTGCATTTTGCACAAAGGTCTCCTGTACTATTTTAACCTTACATAAAACCTATGAAATGAATAAATAATAAAATGGAAAACTGAGAAAAACAGGACAAGAGGCACAGAAACGTCCTATTTCTTGACTGCTCTTGTCATGAATCCATAGGTGAAGGGGATAATATATAATGGATTGTTTCAAATATAAACGATTTTTTCCAAACCAGGTGGTGGACCATCAATTGCTACAGTCTGCATTCCTCTCCTTGCTTCTCATCAATTATCTTTTTAAAAGGCACTTTTAAATAAACACAGATTTCTCAATCTAAAATTGTGAGTTCATAGGGTCTGTTTTTAAAGCACCTAGTGGTAGGCACAATAGATTAAAAAATGATTATTTAGATCCAAGCAGGCAAATGGAACCACTGCATGGATGCCAGAAGTACCAGCTTAATTTCAATGATTTGACTGTGTGTTTGTGTACTTCCCCCACCCACAATGCTCATGAGGCCTCAGTTCACCTATGACATTAAAGCGTGTTTTACACCTTTTCTGACTTCCTTGGCGATGGCTATGGGAAGCAAGGTGGTGTTTCACATATCTTTCTTGGCAGATCAGTGGAGGTCAAGTGGTTATTCAAGTCTAGACTAGCAACTTTTATGGTAAAGACATTTCAGCTTCCTGATTGGCAGGGCAATCCAAATGCCTTCTGTGCTGGGTCAATCAGGATTGGACAGATGTGTCCCTCCACCCAGTCCTTATGGCCTCTGCCAGCCTCCCCTATGCAGTGATCCCACTTTCAGCCACTGAACAGGCTGGCAGGCAGAGGTGTCATTGCCGGAATCAGCAGCAGCCAGTGATAAGATCCAAAATGGGGCATTTGAGGCTGGGGTATTATCTGAGCCAGCCTGAGATCCAATGGATCTGGAGCCAGTCTCTCTGCAGTCATTGATGGGTATTAGGCCCAACCACTGCACCAGCTCCAGGCTAGCGCTGCCATCTGCCTGCCTCACCTGCCCTCCCTGACTGGCATGTTCAGTAATCTGTGAATGTGGCAGTGGTCCTGCCACTCCCAGCTTCCACCAGGCAGAAGCTGGGATTAGGATTTCACCCTAAACCTAAACACTCTGTGGTCTGCACTCCAGTGACACTCAGTTTGGCACCTGCCAGTTTCAGGAAATTACTATGCAAAATTAGTCGGCTGCAATTCTCTGACAATCCCAAAATAAACACTTATACAAAGAATAAGTGCTACCAAGTTAAATGGTGCTTACTCTCAGGTTCAACTCTGCATAAGATTATAGCGCTATGTGTATTTCAGCCTTTAGTGCTCCAAACACTGCCCCATTCAAGATATAAACAAGGTTTTGAATTCCTTATGGTTATTTCATTTAACCAGAAGGGGGCACATATAGACAAAGGGTTTTTTAAATAAAAAAATTACCAAGTTTAAAAGAAGATTACGTTCTTGACTCATATTTTCTGTCAAGTTGACCAGGTCTGCTAGAATCCGGCGTGCTGCCATCTCCTCTTCCACTGCCTCTTCCAGCTGCTGCTTCAGAAGGCCTATTTTCTTCTGTGATCGTCTACAAGTTATTTTGTAAGGTAGAAAGAGTCTTTAGGAAGCAATTTAGGATCACTTAATATTGTGATTCAACTCTGGTGCAATTCCACACCCACAATGACTTCAACTGAAATATACCAGCTTAAGCAATCACTTAAAAAGCATCCAATTATATTTTTAGATATTTAACCAACGAGGTTACACCACTTGCAGAAAATCTGAATTATTATTATTATTATTATTATTATTATTACACATGACTGCTAATTCAGTAACTCTGTGAGCTAGTGTTTGATTGCACACAGAGCATCTAGCACAAAGAGCTACTGAACTAACAGTCATGTATAACAAATTCATGAGTTAGAGCCCAGGACAATTTAGGCTATAATTGTGGGGGTCTGGCTCCTTCAGGCCCATTCTTTGAAATAATAGCTTCAAAGCACACTGCTCACTCTCATGAAACCAGTTAAAAATAAACTATGGTTTAACCTTAAGTTAGAATCAGGTGGGTTTGATGGTGTTTTCAAACCACCTCAACTATGAGGACTAACCCTCTTATTTCTTATTTAAAACAAAAGCTGAGATTTATTTTAAGGAACATTGCATTCATCTATACAAAGCTTATTCCTTGTTTTTCACATTTTGAAAAATTTAAATTAAAAACAAAGCAATATTCTGCTGTCCAATGCAGGCCAGCCATTTGTTTTTTGTGCAGTCAGGCTACTGAATGTTCTTGTGCTTGGAAGGAAAAAACTAACCAAAAGGAGCACAGAAGAAAACAGGCAAACCTCTTTGTCTTCTGTGTCTTTTCCAGCTCAACTTCGAGGACTGTCTTTTCAGCTGCTAGCCCATTTTTCTCTAGAAGGAGGGCTTTTTTTTCTGCTTGCAGAGATGTCATTTTCGCCATTAGCTGCTCTGACTCAATCTCTCTCTTTTCCTGTTCTTGTTGCAACTGGCTACAGAAAACAATAATGAAAACCAGGCATCAAATAAAAGCACTATTTCCTTTTAAGAAATGAAAAATGAGAACTAACAGATCAGTGGAAAACAGCAATTACAACAAAATTATTCAATGAAAAGATTCTGTTCCAGTCTGAACAACATCCCCAAAGAACCACCTTTATGTGGTATGAAGAACTAACTGTACACTGAGCTTTGGCCACAACCAAAACAGGATTCAGTCAGATCAAGGACCAAAACAGATACTGAGTTAAATGCACCTTTGCATTTAGAGCAAGTTTTTATCAATGTAAATATGCATCAAAAGGGGGAGCGAAGGCTGACAAATTATCAAATTGCAGCAGGTGTCAAGGCGGGAATTTAACCCTTTTTTCCTGCACCTATGGGAGATATCCTCCCAATACAAACAACATCTTTCAAGAAGGATTTCCTCAGGACCCTAGCATGGAAAGAGTAAGGTCTCCCTACCACACTTTATACTATCCTGAAAACTATCAACTCCCATGCTCTGATGCTATTCACATATTTTAAAACTTGTACAGTAAAGCAAAGGAACATTTAACTTCATATCCAGTTTGGTATTGAGGCTGCAATCCTATACCTACTTAGCTGTGAGCAAACCCCATTTAACTCAATGGGGCTTACTTCTAAGCCTAGATGCCTATGCTTGTGCTGTAATTTGAAACATACACCCAGCAATTTCTCCTGCTTGACCACAATACCAATATAGCCACTTCTTCATGCTTAAGGGGGGCATTGCATTTGCAGTTGCAGTGTGCTCATTTTAAAAAGTACTGTGAATGCATACAGGACAAAGGACTCACAGTACAGATGAAATGGTGGCTACAGTGGGCCACACACTAGGACTGGGACCAAAGGCAAAGTATATGGAAACATAACACCAACACGTGAATTCCTCCCCTCTCCTTGCAACTGGACAGCATTTCCACCAATGCCTTGTTCTAAAGCAAAGGGAAGATGAACTACATATTGATCTAAAAAACTTAGTGGTGTTCTGTGTTTGCACCACTATTTTCAAATGTAGATGTGACACGGCAACTCTCCTAATGACTTTTTTAAAAAGCAGGAGGGACTACAATGCTCCTCCCTTCCCATGGTGAGCTCACCCTTCCAGACAAGGGGAAGGACCACAGTTCAGTGGCAGGTGGGCAGGTGAATTGCAGTGTATGGCACAGTGGCAGCTATGCCATATGGCATCACACCAGTGCAGTGGTAGAGCACATGCTTTAGATACAAAAGGTTCCAGAATCAGCCCCAGACATTGGCAGGTAGGGCTGGGAAAGAAACCTTGGAAATTAGCTGCTAGCCAAAGTACAGCAAACAATACTGGGCAAGATGGACCATCTTACCCAGTATAAAGGCAGCTCTCTATGTTCCTGACTTGAGGCTGAAGGACGTTCACCATAGCTGAGGCTAACCCAGTTCTTCCAGGTTTGATCAGAGTCTGAAGCTAGTAAAAAGTGTCTTTAACGTCAACCTTCATTACATTGTGCCTCAAGTTGTATCAGCTGACTACAAATAAACTTAAAACTGGCACAAATAAATTGGAAAAGCAAAAGCAAGTAAATATAAATAGCTACAACCATGCATGGAATCCTCCAAGAGGTGTTTCCTCTGATATTTGCACTTATCAGACTCCTACCTTTTAAATTTATTGACCAAAGCCACATGCTCCTCCATTGTGATGTGATCTCCCACACTGGCTTTCAGCTGTTTGTATGTGGAGCGCAGTTCTTCCAGCTGCTTCTGACACTCGCTCAACTCCTCTTCTTGGCTCTGTCTCTTAGCTTCCAAAGTCATCAGCTGTTTTGTTAATTTAGAAACTTCAAAAGAGAAAACAAAACATTTGAGGTAAAGTCAGAAGCTGCCTTAGGAAATGAGAACAGAGTGTACACAGTTATTCACTTCTGACATTTTTAGTTCATCATGAAGCCTTCTCAGCTTGGTTCAGTGAGTTAATCTGAAGTATTATAATTAGTTATAAATGGTACTTTTCACAAGTTCTGAATGTCAATGGAGATTAGTTAAGCATATGAAAGATGTGTCAAATGGAAAGCTCACTGAAGCACTAAAGTCTCCAAGAGCTCTCCAAAAGACTACATAACTCTCTGAAGGGCTAGTTCCTGTGATCAAATTCCTTTTATATTGTTAATGACAATCCTCTGTAAATTAATACAAATCTAAGTTTGATGCCATGTAATGTACTCTGATGCTGTGACCAGTGACCAGCTATCATTTTACCGCATCTGAGACTAAAAACAATAAAAAGTTAAGTAATTAATAGTTAAGTACTGTAATATTACCGACTGTAACAAATGCTCCAGCTCAGGTTCTATGATAGTTACTGATTAGCAACATTATCATTCTAAAAAGGCTTATGAAGTGCTTTATTTGGTGCTAATGCTAGCTTACACTTCTGCCCATTCTCAATAACAAACATCTCGGATCAACATAGTAGTCAAAAACAGTTCTCAAGGTATTTTACCTTCCTGGACATGTTGGCTGAGGTTGTCTTTTGCTTTTGCTTGTTGTATTTTAAGCTGTTCCATCAATACTGTATTTTCTTCTAATACTAGCTTGGCCTGGCTTTGCAGACACTGCCTGTAAATAATGATCAACTTGAAAGTGAAATGCCATTCAAACTTTTGCAAAAATCGTATTAACTAGAAAAATAAACACACATGGTCTGTTAGGCCAGGGCTTCCCATGGATGTCCTACATAGACATCCAAAAATGAGCCTACATCACTCTCACTATGTGTTTGTTGTGGGAAACATCAGTGTAACACCAGCACCAGCTGAGTGTGGAGCTTCCTGTTTCATATTCATGAAGTTTGTCTTCTGCTACATAGTACACACATATACATGCCATGCATTGGATTGATGAGAGATAACTACTCAGAGATAATAGTGTTCTTCTGAAGAAAAAAGTTTATGCTTGTAAAAACTTTTTGAAAATACACATAGAAAGTTGTATTTTAAAAATGTGTATTTTGCTTAAAATTTATAATTATATTGCTATTATATTATTATACTTAGTAGCCAAAACTGTTATACATCAAAAAAGCTGTCTTGTCAAGAAAAACATGCAAAAAGGGAGAATAAGAATAAAAATAACGCATAAAATGATGTATGAAAGAGGAAAGGACCAACATAGCAAAAAAACCCCTATAAAGTATGGAGAACAGATTAAAATGAACACAAAATACATAATAAAAATAAGAACAAAAACAAATCAATAATCCCCTCTTCCACAACAAGTTTATCATAAGTATTTTTTTACTATAATTCAAGCCTATCATAAGTATTTTTTACAAAAGAATAACACAATAGTTTTAGAGACAACACACTTGCCATTCTTTGGTGGTCACAGTACTATTTTTACTTAGTTGCTGGTGTAACTGTTCATTTTCCTTCACTACCTCTTCAACTCGTTCTTTAAAGATCTTCATGTCCTCCTAAAAGAACATACAAAATATTCACGACCTGTTTTACCTTCATGTTATTTCATGTTTTCCCTCTCAATAATATTTGCACGTGCTAATTATCTATTATTTGTTCATGCAAATTATCAAACAGCTGATCAAAATACCTACACTCATGATAAGGATTTGTAGAGATATGAATTCACACCAGTTGCTCTGAATTAAGAAACATCTACATTTTACAGTCACAAATGTGTGTTTCCCAGTCAGTATGCCTGCCAGTTACCTACAAACAATCCCAAGTTTCAGACAGGCATAAACTTGACTGGCACATTGACATTTTTAAATGTACATCTGAGAAACCTCAGGTGTACACCTAAAATATAATACACCTAAAATGTAACACGTGAAGAGGCCTTTAGCAGAGGTTATGGAACAGGCCCCATATATCAAAGGCTCAACTTACTAAGCTCTAGTGCTCCCAAACAGCAAGTGATGTGTAAACCTGTGGAAGCTCATACGATATAATGCTCCACCAGAGAAAACAAACTTCCTTCCACATAAATAGCAGATTGTCTAGGAGAAGGGTTCTCGCCTAGTCTTTTTTGTGACATTATAGCTTTGTATTGCTTCAGCAGAAAGCATTCCATCATGGGATGTGAGCTCTCATCTGCAGGCTGAAGCGATTCAGTCCAGGCACATGTTTACGTCCCCATCTTCTGCTTGTGGGCACAAGGTCTGCTATGTGGGCAACCCATGGAGTCTAAGGAGATGGAGGACAGGGAGTCTTACTAGAAGGGAGATTCCATTATGTACCCTGAGGATGTACATTCCAAAGTATCGCTGAGTACTCTTTACAGTTAAATGACATGCACAGCATTATAGAAGCATATTTTTCTTGATATTCTATACAGCTTAAACATCTGTAAAGAAATTAATTTGCCAGCTTGCCTCATGCGCAAGAATCAGGTCTTCCTTTTCCTTCATTCTGTCTTCATATGCCAATAGAAGGGGAGATAAATATTTCATATCCAGCTAAGGGGAAAGAAATGTCATTTCAATTCACTCACATGCATCTCAAAACTATATAATTCAAAAATATCCATGTAATGACTCTTTGATCAGCTACTGCCTGGGTAAATCCAGTGGGTGAATCAAGATAGCAGAAGAAAAGGTTAACAATCTCTCTCTCCCCCCTGCCCCCAATACTACATTAACTTTGTTGTTGTTTAGTCGTTTAGTCGTGTCCGACTCTTCGTGACCCCATGGACCAGAGCACGCCAGGCACTTCTGTCTTCCACTGCCTCCCGCAGTTTGGTCAAAACTACATTAACTAAAGGCTAAATAATAAGCAGATAATAACAGGAGGAAGTAGAGAGGGTGGAAAATAATTTTGTGCCAGCTGGAAAAGGCTAGCTGCAAATAAACAGAGGTGAAATGGTCACCCGTTGCCAGTTACGCAAAGTACTGAAGCATCCATCGGTTTGCTTGTTAGAGACCTTGCTAAGAAATCCATTTAGCATCCTATTTTAAAACAAGCCTCCACAAAGCAAAGCAAGTTATGGCCACAAACTTTTAAAATTCAATTATCTGTAGTATTTACATAAGTATCCCTGCAGAAAATAATTCCTGTCTGAAATAGTGAATCTTTTAAGTTCAATAATTCTGTCAAATTTTTGCACACAGTATTCCGCTAAACCAGGTATGTCCAACCGGTCGCTCGCGATCTACCTGGTTGATCGCATGCTCCTGATTGATCCTCGCCCTCAATAAAGAAGCTCAACAACTTTGAGTCTCCCTCCCCAAAAAAAGCTCAACAACTTTGATCAATCCAATGGGTAGATCACTGCCAGTCTTTTTATAGTGGGAGTAGATCGCAGTCTCTTGGGATTTGGACATGCCTGCCCTAAACAACCAAGTTACAGCTTATACTGATATCTATAGAGTGCACACTAAAAGCCACAGCAGATGCAGAAATATTCTGCCACCAAGGCACAAAACCCTGGTTCTTTGTGATTTTTACACAGGATGACACCAAAACTACCATCCAGTCATTAAATACACCTGAGGACTTGGAGGTCGCCTATGATTTGCTGGTGCTTTGAGGGAAAATGAGAGTGGCAGATGGCTGCAGTCTTGGGTTGCACTTTGCAGTGCTCAGAAGGACAAGGAACAGAGAGCTTTATGAGTGACAGCCTGTGGTTGCTGAGAGACAACATGTTGGCTTAGGGCTATGTTACATATGGAAACCCTCCTACACATATGATCACGTCTGCATAGAAAAAAATCAGGCACCCTCTACTCCAGCCCATGTAAACAGTTTCACAGGAAAACACATTTCTTTTTACCATATCTCTGGAATGCCCTCGCCAAAGAAATTTGTATGGCCCCCTTTTGCTTGGCCTTCGGGAAAACTTTTCTTAAATCTGACCTGCATCTAAATTATTTTATTGTTATGTATATTGAAGAACCACACTTCTGTTAACTTCTTTTACTGTTAATTTAAATCTTGGATTTTATTGGGAGAGTATGCACCCTGAGAAGCAGGCTAGAAATCCATTTAACATTGGTAATGCCTGCAACAGTGTGTGACAAAGCCACAAAAATGTAACAGCTGAATAATAGTAATAGTAATAAGAATAAGAATAAGAATAATGGTATGGCGAGACGTTGGAGGAAAGCTTTCAGCTGTTAAATGTATGTGTGTAGGGCTGCTACTAAGGCACAGGGCCAGAACTAGTTAAAAAGTAGGGAGGGGGGCAATCCGAACACAGCTTCTTCTCTGCAATAAAAAACAAATATATTTCAGCTCCCTTTCGACTCTACCTAATCCAGGGATGGTGGGGAAGCCAGCCTGCTCCAAAGCTTCACCACAGCCTGGATCCTTGGAGCAAAGCATAAACGGAAGTGGGAGGGCCTCCTGGCCTCATAGCGGGAAGCACACAAGGCTGTTTTGCAAAGCCTGCCTAATGGAGGGGGTGGGAGGAACAACTCCTAGGAGAACACTCCCCTCCACTGTGGGTAAAAGGAGAGAGGAGATCAGAACATTTAATTTTATATTGTTTCCAGGGAAGGCCGTCAGGTGTTATAGCCTATGATAGCGGATCACTCCGAGGCCCCTGTGCAGATACTTTCACGGGATTACAACATGATCCTGGTACATAGCAACTGAGCTAGGATTCTTGCAAGCAGAAGCAGGACGAAAATAATTAAGCAACCAGGCCAACTACTTCAATCCAGCCCCCCGCACCCCAGTCTCAACTGGAAAAAGAAATGAAGACTGTCTTATTCCAGGCCTTTGGGAACAGACTGGGGTTGCTGTTTTTTTAAGGAAAAGGTTTTTAATAGTGCTGTGCTGTTTTTAATCATCTCTATTTTAAAAGAATCAGAACAATATTAAAAAAAACCTATTAGCGTTAAATTACTTTTTTTATATTTTTAAAATATTTTTTAGCTTTTTGTATTTTATCTCTGTGTTTTTTAATATGTGTAAATATAAATAAACATAATATTGATGGTGATGATCCGGACTCTTTCAAGGGCTTGCACTCCTTTGGAAAAGGGGGAGGAGATGACAAAAATGTAATAAATAAGTAAGTGACATCACCTTCAAACAGCCATCAAAAATTCCTTTAATAAACACTGATGACCTGATGCTTAATGCTGACTATTAGAATAAAATATATGCAGAACTGGACAAACTAACGGGAAAAATAAGATATCAACGAGATCACAAGTTCATTGAGGACTGGGGGAAATTTTCAGAGTATTTGAAGAGTGTATGTGATGAGCAAACAACGCTAGTGGGTTTTAAAGAAGCTTTGTGAAAAAATAAGGAATATTGCAAGAATGTAAACATGTTTGTAAAGGTATTTTAAAAGGTGATACTAAATTTGGGGAATGCGTAGGAAAAATTCAAACACGGATGATTGTCAGTGAAGCTGAGGGAAGTCCAAAAGATGAAAATATGTTACGTGGGAAATTGTTTATTTGGCGATATTTGTGTAAAACTTAATAAAAATTTATCTTAAAAAAATATATTAAAAAAATAGAATAAAATAAGGTGCCATCCTAATCCCACTTACCTGGAAGTAAGTCCTGATGAATTCAACAGGCTTACTTCTAAGTAGACATGACTAGACTTATTCTAACTCACTGAGTACCATCAGTTTTTATTCAATGGAACATAAAAGTGAAATAAGGTGTCTGGGAACTGCAGTCATATTACAACTATAGATTGTTCTCATGTCACCAAGGAAACAAGAAATAAAATTGTTCTACACACTTTTGAAGTATCTAGCACTAAACTACTGAAACTAAGAAATAGTGGTTTGCTACATACCAGCCATGGAGGTATCGGTTTTTTCATTGGCAGGCTTCCAATTTTTAGACTCTAAAATAAGAAAAACGTAAGTTACACATTAATATTCGGATCTGTAACATTTTGTATCAGAGGTTTTTTTAAAAGAAAAATATTTATTTTTGTTCATCCTGCAAATGGATGCAAAAATTGAACATGGTGCTTCCAAAACAGTTTGACATTTACTTGTTAAAAAAAACCCCAATAGTTGCAACAAGCCACTTTGTCAAGTTGCACTGACATGGCAAATTATGGTTAATCAAATATGGAAGTGAAAAGTTCTGAACTTCACCTCACGTTGTACTCAGAAGCAGGAAGTGCACAAGTGCAAGTCCCACCTAGGCTAATTCTCCTCATGCTATACTATGGTTTAGCACAACTGGGACACTCCCTGGTAAAGATGCTTATATTGCTACTGTAACAAATGAGGAAAAGCTCACAGTCACCAATGTTGGAACAGTGCTATTCTTTTCTTCCTAAGAAGCTTAATAGAAAACATTACCTCATTTGGTGAAATTGGTCTGTATTTAGCCTGGTAGCGACTCAATTCTGCATTTAGACGATGAACAGTCATTTTCAGACTGTCATTTTCATCCACCAGTTCCTGGGCCTGTTGTCTTAATAAAATCAATTCTGCAAGTTCCTCTGCATAACAGAAAATTGTAAAACATTAAAGTGCATTGCAATTATAGAAAATCTTGCTGATTATCCAAACATCCAGTGCTTTTTTTCAGAGGGTACACAGTACCGACACCTCTTTTTGTTGTTGTTAAAAAGTGTAGCACTTACTGTAACAACTTCCTGGTGAGTACCGGCACCTATTTTTCTAGAAAAAAAGCACTGCAAACATCTCCTAAATGAAATAGGAATTCTGGATGCTATAGCTTCTAAAGGTGTTATAATTGCACAAGATTATGTAATTATAAAGCATACTTTGACTGCAGACGTTTCCCAGATCAATTGTGGATTTGATGTGGAAGTCAAGACCTCTATTCGAGACCTTGGAGACCCTCTGCCAGTGAGAGTGGACAAAGTTTGGTGAGATGGCCTAGGAGCCTTTTTTAGTATAATGCAGTTTGCTATGTTTGATGCAGACTCCTACAAGCCTAATAAATTTAATAGAAACACACACAAACACCTTTAAAACACTATGTTTTGATTGTTTTTTTAAAAAACAACCTTTTAATTTAACATTTCTGCAATATAAATATACACTTACATGCATTTAACCTGTGCACATTCAGCTTTAAATGTGTCAATAAAAATAAAAATAAAATAAAAAGGTGAAAAGGGAGCAAGTTTCTAGGGAAAATGACTTTGTTAATGCCACCCATCACTGAACCCAATGGGTTTTGACAATACACAATTCTGTCTTTAGGTGCAATCTCCAGAACCTAAGTTGTGGGCTTACTGTACTAAACCTCAGAAGCAAATGTAACACAGTACAAAGCCATATCCATTATAAATAACACTTGATGGCTATGTTTCTATTTTTACAAGGATGTTTCCTTCATATCTTTCTTTAGCATAGAATAGGATCACTGCCAACCCAAATAAACTTCCTTGATCTTTCATCATATGCTTCCAAGGGTCCTGTCCTGCAAAGACTTGCTTCACAGGTCAGATCTGTGTGCATCTGAATATCAAGAACACTTTCAGCAAAATCTACAGGGAAGGGAACCAGCTGAGGGCTCTTGCTGCGGGATGAAAAGAAAGTCCACCCCACCCACCTACAGCAGGCACATGAGAAGTTCAGCATGCACTGTGAAGCCAGAAAGAACAGAGGAGCTGCCTGGTGGTTAAATTCCACAAGGCAAGAACAAGGCCCTTCCAGCCTATGCTCGAAATCTTGCATGTATATATAATATACATGTGTACAGCTGAATATACATGTGTGGGACTAGACACTTTAGGACAAATTTTATAACTTTCCTGTTAATCAGGTTATGGATCCCTAGATTAAAAAAAGCCTGCTAGCTTATACTTTTGTAACATGTGCATTCAAGTAGTCAATACTTAACTAGCCATTTTTACATGACTGAGGATTAAATGCTTTTTCCAATATAGTTGTACCTTAGTTCTCGAACGCCTTGGTAGTTGTACGTTTTGGCTCCCGAACACCAAAAACCCAGAAGTAAGTGTTCCTGTTTTCGAATGTTCTTTGGAAGCTGAACGTCCGGCGTGGCTTCCACAGCTTCCAATTGAGTGAAAGAAGCTCCTGCAGCCAATCGGAAGCCACGCCTTGGTTTTCGAACAGTTCCAGGAGTCGAACGGACTCCCGGAATGGATTAAGTTTGACAACCAAGGTACCACTGTACTTTGATACTGTGATATCATATACCTCATTTTAAACTTCAATAATTACTTAAATAATATACTATTTGAAAATCAAGTAAATTATATGTTGTCAGCCTTCAAAAGTTATTTCAATTTTGTGTTGGGATATATTAAATAACAACAAATGCAGAGGGAATAGTTCAAGACTATTCCAGGAGATGAAAAATGAGAAGTACAGTATTATTCTCCTAAACACATACAAACAACAAAGTCACTCCTACCTTCACTGCATGAATTTGGTGCAGTTTCTTTAAATCTTCTATTTTCTTTTTCTAGTTTCTTAATTTCTAACTGGAGCTTCTTCATTTGCTGCTTTGTTGCCTCAAGTTCAGAAAGCAGGGCCTGATTTGCATTGTTCAAATGCCAATTTTCTTCTTTCAGTTTCTGGAACTTTTCTCTAGGGAGGGCCATCGGTCCCTGCATTCTGCAGACTTAAATGGAAAAGAATACTCATTAGTCACACAAAAAACCTAAGCCACTCAAGCACAGGCTGCAGTCCTAAACTCATTTATACAGAAGGAGGCACCATGGAAATAAGAGCCATTCATTTCAAAGTGAATGCTGATTTACAAATTAAAGATCTCCCCAGATCATTATTATCCTAAACATTTCAGCTTCCATTTTGCTTACGACTGCAGGAGAAAAAAAATCCCAAATAGGTAGCTGTGTTTACTCTGAACAGTGTAATTTAAAAATAAAACACTCCAATAAACTATACAACTTGAACATAAAACCAGACACCAGTGAAAACAACATCGGAACAAACTAGTAGAGACCAAGGTCTAAGAAGCACTCAAGCATGTTTTTGAAACTGGAAAGCCTAAAAGACCACAACAAAGGTGACAGTTGAGGGCATTCTACAACTGAAGCATCAGCTCTGAAAAAACCCTCCTCTTAGTAGTCAACTGCCTTACCCTCATCAGCGGAGATACCAAAAAAAAAAAAAGGAAGTCTGAAGGTGATTCTGAGTTTGGGCAGGTATATGTTTCAACAGTAAAGCACAAACGTAAGAAAGTACATTAATATTTTTGAAACCTTTAGTCCAGTGAACTGAAGGCTAACAAAATATTAATTGTAGAATTGTTTTCCCAGGGAAAAGCCATGTTTATTAAATTAACTTTAAAAAAATCTTAAGTCAGCCACAATCCTGCACCTCCTCTGATATTTTAAAGTCACAAAGAGGCTGGCCCTTCTGCAGAAGTACTACTTCCCCCCATCCCACCAAAGCATACCCTGTACAGTGGTACCTCGGGTTAAGTACTTACAGTGGTGCCTCGCAAGACGAAATTAATCCGTTCCGCAAGAGTCTTCGTCTAGCGGTTTTTTCGTCTTGCGAAGCAAGCCCATTGACGGATTAGCGCTATTAGCGCTATCAGCTGTTTAGCGGCTATTAAAGGCTTAAAGGCTTAGGGGATTAGCTGCTAAAAGGCTATTAAAGGCTATTAAAGGTTTAGCAGATTAGATAAAGGGGGGGAAAAGCAAAAAAAAAAATTCTAGACTCACAAGGTATTTTCGTCTTGCGAAGCAAGCCCATAGGGGAATTCGTCCTGCGAAGCAACTTCAAAACGGAAAACCCTTTCGTCTAGCGGTTTTTCCGTCTTGCGAGGCATTCGTCTTGCGGGGCACCACTGTAATTCGTTCTGGAGGTCCGTTCTTAACCTGAAACTGTTCTTAGCCTGAAGCACCACTTTAGCTAATGGGGCCTCCTGCTGCCGCCGGAGCACGATTTCTGTTCTCATCCTGAAGCAAAGTTCTTAACCTGAAGCACTATTTCTGGGTTAGCGGAGTTTGTAACCTGAAGCGTATGTAACCTGAGGTACCACTGTAATTTGATGGGATATTACACAGTGGGTTGGCATGAAGAATCAGAGGTTTTTGTCAGCAGGAAAAGCCCAAAGTGGAGATTTGCTTTCTATAAAATCAAGCTCTTCAGTTATCAGAAAACATGCCATGAAAGAAAAATTAATTTTTTTCTAAATTTAGAACTATCATGATTCCTGCTGGAAAATAAGACATGAGAATTTCACATGAAGCAAGGTGTTATCCTTTGCTATGGAAATATATAGTAGAAGTTTGAACATAATATTAATGGTTTAGTGTTAAAAGGATAAGCCACAAATTGCCTTTGGCACACAATCTCCCCCACTTTCATGGCATAGCCATGAGGAACTCGGAAGCTTCCTCTTCAGATTAACCACAGTTTTAGCATTATGTCCTAACCCAGACAAACAATGGTTAATCTTAACCAGTTAGTGAAAACAAGCGAGCATCATAAACTATGGTTTGTCTGGGATCAAGTGATAGGAAAGCTGCAGTTAATCTAAGACAGCAGCAAAAGCTCCAAACTCCTCCTCGCAGCTTATAGAGAATCCAACACAACCCATTTATACCAACCTAAAACAACAACAAACCAGAGTTAAATACCTGGAGTCAGTGGAGGCTTTTCATTCAGTGTATTTTCAGTTATGCTTTTTTCTACCTAGCAGGGAAACAAAATAATTTGATCTCATTTCTTGTTAGAACCCTTCTATTCTTTTTTTAATAAAAACCCCAAGGACTGCAGAAAGAATAGAAAATAGACTAAACATTTAAAAACCAATTTCCTGCAGTTACAATTTCAATTTTATTAAAGAGCAGTGGAAGAAAATTACAAGTAATAGACAGCATTTGGAAAGAAAAAAGATAACTTTAGCTTGTAAATTGCTATGAAAGAGTTATTCTTTAAACCTTCTTTAAACTTATCATTCTTTGTCGCTTTCTGGATATTTCCTGCCAAAGTTAGTTGCATCCATATTGTCAGGGTAGGACTGCAAATGCCCAGATTCAAATATCCACTTGCCAGTGACCAACCCCCAAACTGACCTAAACTGCAGTGTGGTTGTGAGGGAGGTAGAGTCAGGTATGCTGCCCCAAGCTTCCTGGAAGAGGGTAGGATGAAAATAAATAGACAAGGCAGAAAGATCCTTAAATGCACTTAAGCATCTTGATATGAATCCTACCTGAAAACTCACTCCAGAGGGTTCAATTTCTGTAATACAAGACAGAAGGTAATAAATATGAAGAAGTTCAAAACAGAAAAGGAGAACTACAGTTGATCAGATTTTTAAAAATTCTCATCACTGAATCACAAGATTCTACCATTTCCCTCTTTTCTAAATTGTTTTTATTAATTTTTTTCTGGGGTTACAGAAGTACAACCATCCTTTTTCATCATATTACCGTTTGGCTGAGAGATGCGAGACCTTTTGTATGCCTCATCCATCATTCTACTTGTTAATTTAGAAACCAACTTTTATTTTCAGGAGGGCTGGAGAAGAGGCAATTCATGGTGTAATATGGTTATGCCCCTTGGATACTGAGGTATCAAAGTAAGAGTTGAAAGCAGCCAAAATATGGAATGATAGAGAATCCATTGCAGGGGGAGGAAAATGGAGTGCAGAGGAAGAGAAGGAATTGACCTTATGGCTTACAATAAGGATCCTGGAGGTGAGATGGTCTTAGGGTTCAGGAGATGACCCCTGGGATTAAAAAAGTCCCTTCATATACTATATGCAGGGATGTTTCAGAAGAAGTGGAAAGAAAACAGCACTGGATTTCCCTGTTTTTGTCCTGCGGTGGGTGTGTTGCCATTACAGAGCTACAAAATGTGCAGGTTTGGGGTTAGTAACCCATTAGAGTTATAAAGCACAGTAAGAGAAACCTGGGAGCAAGGCAGAGGGAGAATATTTAAGAAGGTGTCCTTTATCCCTTTCTGGCTCCTGAAACTCTCTTCACTCCATCCAACCAGAGTCCTGAACAGTATAAGGCTCCTCTTCTGAGTTGGATAGTACCCTGAACAGGCCCACTCCTCATACATGTGGGGAAATGCTACAGCATTTTGATGCAAGTTGCACTTGTTCAGTAATGCTTTTGGAACATGAACTACCCTGATAATTTTTTGAAGTGATGTTTTCCATCGTTTCATCTCAAAGCAGAAAAGTGACATTACCTTCCACCTGAACATTTGGACGAATGAGGCAAGTAGGTTCACAGAGAAAAGAATCATCTTCACCATCAACACTAGAAGATACTGGGGGATTTTCCTAAGTAAAAATGTTGCAATACAATTTATAAATCCACAGTCCATCTTATGCACAACCTGCATGTTTGCTACATGAACATATTCTACTCACTGAAATTACTATCAACCCTCACCAGCTACTTTTCTTTTTCACTCATATGGGGACAGTCTAGCATTGCCTGAAACTGCCACCATCTGGAAGGACCAGGATGCTTTCCCTAGTGAAGTGGGGACCCCTGACCCATTGACTAGAAGCAGCCTGCAGCCAGATTTTATCCAGTCCTCTGGGAGCAGCTGAGAGGTAATAAGGCTTTGATGTTGCAAAGTCTACAGTTGAATATCCTTTCTCTACAAGAAAATTGCCTATAAGAAGATCAAAGAGGGAAATGCCTCAGTAGAAGGGGAGATTCATGTTACTTGCAAGTATGCAAAAAGTCGTGTATGCATTTTACAACTGCACACAATAAATTTTCAAGGTTACCCCTGCTTTCCGAAGTTTGAGGCTTCAAGCAGCTGGGAGGGAGGGCTTGCAGTTTAGGTGTGCAAAGAAGTTATTCGTATTTTTTCAACTAGTGTTATGGGGTTATTTTTGCCTTTGGCACAGTCAGAGCATATAAAAGTCATGGGAGGGCTCTTTTTAATAAGTAATCCCACCGGCAAAGTTGCACACAGGCTGCATTGCCTAGCATGGCTTCTGTCTCTTGTTCATGCTAGGACAAAACAGACACCAAGACCATGTTAAGTATGTCATGTGGTTAAAGCAATCCGAGTTGTTTATTTTTACTAACTGATGTAATCTATGTAAACTTGCAGATACGCTAATCATTTTGAAGAAATGGTACTTTGTCTAAATCTATCTGCCTAAAAACAATCTTTCTCACAGCATGTTTCCTGATAAATGGGAAACTGTACCTAGTATCAATGAAACCTAATCTCCACTCTGGCTAATCTCCACTAATCTGGCTTCTGCCCCTCGTGCAGAACCCCCGACTGTCAAAACACATGTGCCTCACTAATGAAGGAGAACCTGTTTGTCACCTGAAATGCAATCCAGGGAGATGCAGGGCAACTGCTGTTGAAATCATGTTCCACAGCGGGCCTCATTTGACAAGTCCCACTGCCTTCCCCATGAAAAAGGAGGAAAGCCTCTCCTAAGATGCCACCTGCAGTTCTTAACAAGTACTTATCATAAAAATATGTGTCAGTATGCTGCTCATTTTAACTAGGTGACCCTTTTTAGTTAATCTGATTAATCCACTGACCCGGCCAAAGGAAGCACTTATCCATTTCATATAAATAAAGCATGGGAAATTGTAGCAGGAAACAGTATGAGACCCAGCCTTGCTGAGCCGAATTAAATCACTTCAGAATACAGAGCGGGGGACACTACTTCATATCAAAATCTCTATGAGCATAGGGAGCCACCCTGTCAGAGATAAGGCCATCCTAGAACCTTCTGCTCTGCCCTGTTAGCTTTCTGCATTCAGGGAAGCATCTAGTTGCCACCTGCACTTTGAAGTGGGAGAGAGTCAGAAGGGTTGAGTCACAATGTTTTTCTGAACATGTCACTCATCCTTTAGTGTGTACTCCTGAACTTTATCTCAAAGTCTTCTTATTTATTGCTGGGGGACTAATGTACAGTGAAAGATTTCAAAACTGTTGGCCTTTCTGCTTTTCTCTGCCTCACCTAAGGACATTTTCTGCCTCCTTACACAAACACTGTTTTCTTGAAAGTTCCCCCTCCCCACCCTTTTTTCTTTCCACTCCAATGCTTTTCCATCCATTAAATTTTTAATTTCATTTGGTACAACACTCTAACCTGCTGGAACGATAGACTGTTAAGCGGTTTGCTCCCTCAGATGCAAGCAATACAAACTGACACCACAAAGGAGGGGAAAATCAATGGGAATCTGAGGCAGAGACTTTTATTGATATTGTTTTATGAACCATAGCGCCTGTCTCCTTACTGTGGCATCACAGCTTTCATTATTTTGTAGAAATGGTCTTGCCAGACTAGTTTCAAAAATAGCTTTTACAACCAAGTAAAACAATGAGTGCTGAGCAGATATTTCAGCCGGTCTGGCTGCAAAAGTGAACAGCTTCCTGGAGTTTGAATACCAAGTATGATGCACAGTCTGCTCATAAATTCTGCTGCTAAAAACTCCATTACACTTATCCTCCCAAGATCATTTGGGAACTATTTGATGAAGGAATAGCTCCAGGCATCCATACAAAGGGCTGCTTCAGCCACAATACCATTTTTAATTACCAACAAGTTGGTACCAACAATTGGAAACTGTCTAGCTTTAAGTGAAAGATAAACAGCTGGGATCAGGAAACACATACAGTGCGAAGGAAAATGGTATCACTGTCAATTATACATGTAACAATAAAGGAACTGATAACAACATAACATTTGCAAATGTGATTAAAAGAATTTATTATTTTTGCAACTGTATTCAGAGAGCTGGCAGAAGCAGACACTCCAATGCTTACCTGTTTAATTTTGTGTGGAATAGCATAGCCAGTCTCGCTGCTAATGTTTATTTTTTTATCAATAACCTGATAGTTTGGATCTGGTTCCTTTTCTGTGTCTGAAGGGTACGTATCCATGTCCTCATCCTCACAACAACTGCCTGATACTTCCAAAGACTGCCCAATGCTCCTGTCATCACCATTGCTCTTCCAGTTGTGACTGCAGGCAGAAAATGCATTAAGGGATATGAGTCGCATACCCTCTCAAGTCTCCAAACCCTTGGGGTCCCTTCCTACTCTACAATTCTATGATTTCATGAGTCCTGGGTATGTGTGATTTCCATACCCTTCTTCTCATGTCCTGAAGATCAAAAGCATCTGATTTGGATTTTAAATTACCCACAATTCCATAAGATGTCCCAACTGTAAACAAACTCATTTGTTTAAACCATGGTTTCAGATCCTAGCTTGTTCTCAAACCATAGCTTAAACAAATCACAAATGGAAAACAGATGCTTTCTATTTTCTTCCTCGGAAAGCAAGAGAGATAAAGGAGAGGGTGAGAATCCAACACTCACAGGCACATTCATGTTTCTTATTACCGTATTTTTCGCCCTATAGGACGCACTTTTTCCCCTCCAAAAATGAAGGGGAAATCTGTGTGCATCCTATGGGGTGAATGCAGGCTTTCGCTGAAGCGTGGAGAGCGAGAGGGGTCAGTGCGCACCGACCCCTCTCACTCTCCAGGCTTCAGGAAGCTATCAGCAAGCCTGGGGAGCCCGCGGGAGTTCCCGCAGGGCTCCCTAGGCTGCGGATAGCAGCCTGCTTGCCCGTAGCGCGGAGCGCGCTGAAGCAGAGCGCCCCGCGCTTCGGGCAGATATCCGCGGCTGGGGTGGGGGAATAAATTTTTTTCCCTTTATTTCCCCCCAAAAAAACTAGGTGCGTCCTATAGGGCGAAAAATACGGTATGTCTGCAGTGGACTATAAAATCTTGGACTCTTTAACCAGAGGAAATAAAAGTTCTATTACAACTTTTCCAACAGTTCTCATCAATACATGCATTATATCCTACCGCATTCGCAGCTCAGTGACTGTGGCATATGGCTCAATATAATTTTCTTGATCTTGCAAGTAACTGGCATCACTCTCAGAAAGAGATCGTTGACGTGGCTGAGGGATGGCAATGGTCCGTCCAGTTAGGGTTGTCACAAGAATAGCTGCGGCCAGAGCGGATCTGGAAAATAAAAATAAATACATGGTGAAGCGTTTACAATGGCTTAGAACATTTTATCTCATTTCTGACAGGAATAACCTAAATGTTATTGCGTATAAGCAACAGAAGCTGCAAAATAAAGATGGTGGAGTGGGCAAACTGCCACCTTTCCTTTCCATTTTTGGTAACATACCTTGAATTATTAGGAGCTTAAAACGTAAACCCCTATTTTGCAATCAGATGTGGACCGAATTAAGCCTTCAAGGTAGTATCACGTGCCTCCCTCTTATCAACTATGGGAAGAAAGGAGCCTTGCACATACTGGCTAGTTTTTTCAGCAAGCTATGCTTGTGCATCTGTGGGGCACTAAATCACAGGATCAGGCCATCTCCTCACCTTTTTTTTTTCTTTCCTTACCTTGAAGATCAAAATGTGAACAAAAGGAACCTCTTAAGCCTTTTCTGGACTGTACCACTTCACCCTGCAAGCAGGATGCTGTGTATCTGAATACTGGCTCACAATTTTCTTTGTGAATGAAAGGATTGCTTTTTTATGTTGAAGACCATTCAAGCATGAAACCTGTGTCTGAAGGATTACAGTCCAAGAAAAGCTCCACCACCACTTGATTCTCCTACATGCCTACTCAGAAATAAGTCTTACTGAACTCAACAGGACTTACTTTCAGCCCTAATTGTATAAATTTGCCCAAAGATGCTGCTGTGTTGTGAGTGTGATTTTGAAAAGGTAAAAAAGGGAGGAAGAAAGGTGAGATTAAAAAATAATCAGAAAGCAAAATGAAGAAACAGTGATTCTTTTAAAAGTCAAAACAAAAGGTTAATAATGTTTTTAAAGGATTGTATTTTACATTAGTCCATTTTTCTGAGCTAAAATAATTTTAAAAACAGAAGCATTTCATTACTGTTATGTGTCAGATAAACAATAATAATCTTTGTAAGTGATCTCTTGCAAACACTGATGTTAAATGTAATTTTATATAGGGCTGCAACGTGATTAAGAAATTTTAACTTAGTCCCACAATTTATCAATTAAATTTGCATGTAAAACAATATTTCTAAAGCAAGAAGCAAACTTTCTATGTTTTTAGCAAATGCACACATGTATTTCTCATGTGTGAGAGAGAATATATATCTCCATTGATGGCCTGATTGATCAGCAGCACTTTGTCGATTATTTTTAATCACTTAATCCAACTGTAATCTGCACAGTCCCCTCACACATTCTTTCAATGAGTGAGGGGTGTTGTTTGACCCCTTCTAATGTAATAGAAAACAAAGCTGCAGTCTTTATTATAGTACTGGGGAATGATCTTCAACCATTTCCACTGTGATCAATACAAGCACACCAGTGTTCTTGCAAAGGAAGGAAGGAGAGGTTTTTTTAAAAAAAGTCATATATTTGTGCTGCTAATTGGCCTGTTCTGATTGTTGCTTTTTTGTCACTCATCAGATTTTTTTTTTAGCCATCCTCATTACCAATTTAAAATTAATTTATAATTAACATGTTCAAATGGTTAATGACTTCAAAGCTGCAACCCTACATATTAATGGAATGTATTAGGTTTATGTTATAGCTGCAAGCAAGAAAGAGGCATGCATTTTAAATATATATCTATATATATTCTATGCAATGACTGGTAATCAAGAGATGAAAAACATTAAGACCTACCTGGGCCTTTCTGGAGAAGGGTTTGGACTACGAGGGGGAGGGGTGCGGGGAACGGCAGCTTTAGGTGCTATGGTAGCTGCAGGGATCAGGCCATGAGCTATATGTTTCTAGACAATTTAAAATAAAGTTAGTTGGCAATGACTGACCAAACACAATGGAGAAACACAAAACTAAGTATGCACAATGACTAGAAACAACACAAAAGGGGAGAGCAATTACATGCAAATTAATGTATGTATTGGATCCAGGGCCATAGCACTAAAGAACAGGAGCACTCAATATTGCAGCATGGCAACTGAACAATGAAAGTACAAAACACATGTATTTGGAACAAATGTTGCAGTCCTGTCTGTATTTACTTGGAAGAAAGTTCCTTTGAAAACAGTGGTACTTAACTGCTAAGTAAATATGCAAAGAACTGCACTATTAGGTCTCATTAATTTCATACTTTTAAGTATGTGCATAGAATCCAAAGAGGACTCAGTGCACCTAGTTATAGATATAATCTTACTTCATTTTAAAAGAGAATACTACTATGCTATATTACAAACTAGTTTGAAACTCCTCTTGGGAAACTGCTGTGAAAGGAAAACAAGCCTGAAATCTTCTGGGGAGAGCAAAACTGGCTCGAGAGTTCTTTACATCCTTAGAGACAGAGACTTGACATGTTTCATATGAAATATTTAACCACTTGAAAGCGATGCTGCTGAGTACAGCTGCTGACTTTAACTGGTTTTTTTTCCAGGATAGCAACCAAAGCTTTCATTTATTGAAAGGAGGCAGCCACTTCTAACTAGCAGGGTAGTGAGCTATAGGCATTTCTATTTTTAAAGGCCATTTACAGAAGCATATTCTGTTCCCTGCCTCTGCTCCCATAAAACTGCAATATTGTACAGCCTTACACGTCCATCAAATACTTCTGAGCAAGTATGCACAAGAATAGGGCTCACTTGCATGTTAAGATAAACCATAGTTATTGCTACTGTATTATATTTATTACCCACCCTTCACCAGAAGCAATATAAAATACAGTATTAAAAGCAACTTAAAAAAAATTGCAGTCACTACTCGGTTGTGTCTTAGAATGCTATATCTCAAAAGTCAAACATCTGGGTAAAGTGTTGTGTCTTCAGTATACCATGAAAGTTGTGCCATGAAGGTGCCAGACATACCTCTGTGGGGAGGAAATTTGACAGCTTATGGGCTGCCACTGATAATGCGCTCTCCTCAGTTACACACAACCTTGAACCTCTGAGTGTGATGGAACTACCAAGATGAGCCCCTCTTAACACCTGAGAGGGTCTGCATCTTAGTGGTCTTTTAGATATTTGGGGGCTATGTTGTTTAGGGCTTTTAAACACTAGCATGAGAACCTTAAACTGGGCTGGAAACAAGCTAGCAACCAGTGCAGCTGTTTTAAAACAAGAGTTATACGAGTTCTAAACAGGGTCCCATCCATTAATTTAGCCACTCCATTTTGGAACATTTTAAGTTTCTGAGTTGTTTTCAAGGGCAGCCCCATGTAGAGCACATTGTATTAAGGCAGTCTGGAAGATATCAGAACATGGACTACAGTGGTGACACAACAGGACAATTACCATGGTCCGCCTAATAGTACACTGTGAACATACTGGTCTTGCCCATTCTGCTTCCCACAGCTAACCTGCAACAAAAATAAACCCACAATTCCTGGCAATTGATGCAATACTTGTCAAATATTCAAAAAGTTGCAATTATGCCATCAAACAGTTACTTTGTACTTTGTAACCTGTGTTGCTAGTTTCTTATGTTAGATTGCTTATTGTTATAGATCTGGGGGGATCCCCCTGGCCTAAACCCTAGGAATGAATAAATATTACGATTTTGTAACAATATTTTAAAATATTTTTAAAAAATAAAAACACTGAATTTTTTTCACTGTTCATAGGAAGCATATTTATGTTTATATGCATGCCTCTTCAGGCATGGTAAAGTTAACACCAACAATGTTCAGTTGTATATTGATCTTGGATAAAGAAGATTAAACAGGATGATTGTCCTGGAAATGCTGCAGCAACACTAATAGCTTGATACGGATGTCCACCCAGTGTGGGAAAGGAGCCATCCAACTTGCAGTATCGCTTGGCATACAGGAAGTCCCCCGGGGCCTCTCCAGTTAAAGCAGAACCTGAAGCAGCAAAGACTGGGAAATAACTTTGCCTGAGTCCCTGAAGCACCACCACAAGTCATAGTAGGCAAAGGCGGACGTGGTGGCTTCAATATGCATGACTCTACGTATAGAAGCTTCATGCCCTTCAAAAATTGCACTATTCGCATGAGAACTTCCCTTTCTAGAGCAAAATGACTTGTTTCTAGACTTATTCTTAGGTTACTGGCGTGTCCCGAAGACACAGAACAGGGACATTCCTAACTGTGCAAGGCTTTCCTCATCTCTCCCCCTTCGGACAAGTTTTTTTTATAGTGGGACGCCGAGAGTGGCAGTGGAAGAGCTTCTCGGTCGCCATGGCAACCGGTGCCCCTGACAAGACACGGGGGGGGAGACGCGGGGGGGGGCTCCCCTTCCCCGAACCACCACCAGACCCCGACCCTGATACTCACAAACTGGCCCCTCCGGCCGCTCCTGAAGCGAAGCGCCATGTATGCGGAAGAGGGCTGAGCAGCGTACGCAGAAAAAGACGGCGAGGAAGAGTCTTCGCCGCCGCCGCCGCTGCCGCCGCCGCCTGGGAGCGGGGAGAAAGAAGCGATTCCGCCCGGGCAGCAGAGACGCTTCCCCTCTCGCAACCACGCCGGAACAAGCCGCGCGGCGATTGGCCACGGCCTCCCGCTTCCACCAATCGCCGCTCGCTTTACTGCTTCGGCCTTCCCCTTAGCAACCAGGCAGCCGTTGAAGGAGAAGCCCCGCCCACTCCTTCTCTCGTCGCTCGCTCGCGCGCATCTTTTCGTTTTGTGTTTTGACGGGGAGGGGGGGAAAGGGCGGAGCTTTGAGTTGCGATTGGCTGGTTGGCCCGGTGTCCGTCAGGCGCAGAGCGCGCGCGCTGCTCAAAGCTTGGGCGTGTCTGTCTCTGTCTCTCTCTGCGGAAAGCAACCTCCAAGGGGCACTAGGTGCCAGTGAGGGGGAAGGAAGGGCAAACTGGACCAGGAAAGGAGGCAGAAGCCGAACAAGCCCACGCAGGGAGAGGGCAGCAGCTGAGGCTCCCCTGCTTCCTGGCTTCGCATAGGCATCTGGTTGGCCATTGCAACCGAAAGGAAGCCAGGCTACAGGGCCTGGTGCTGCAGTTTCCTGCCTTCTTCCTAACGTGTGGCTGTTGCTGGGTGGGCGCCTGTATTTTCAGCCCTGCGTGTGGCGTGATCTCCTGCCTTAAAGCGAGGGTCTCCGAACCAGGGCCGGATTTAGGTTTGATGAGGCCCTAAGCTACTGAAGGTAATGGGGCCCTTTATATGTCCAGCTGTCCTTTGTCAACAACAAATTGTTGCTGGGTTTTTTTGTGTTGAATATATAGGTAAAGGTAAAGGGACCCCTGACCATTAGGTCTAGTCGTGGCTGACTCTGGGGTTGCGGCGCTCATCTCGCTTTATTGGCCGAGGGAGCCGGCGTACAACTTCCAGGTCGTGTGGCCAGCATGACTGAGCCGCTTCTGGCGAACCAGAGCAGCGCACGGAAACGCCGTTTACCTTCCCGCCGGAGCGGTACCTATTTATCTACTCGCACTTTGAGGTGCTTTCGAACTGCTAGGTTGGCAGGAGCAGGGACCAAGCAACGGGAGCTCACCCCGTCAAGGGGATTCGAACCGCTGACCTTCTGATCAGCAAGCCCTAGGCTCTGTGGTTTAACCCACAGCACCACCCACGTCCCTGTTGAATATATGCTATAGGGTAATTTATGGACCTAATAGGTATCTAAAGCCATTTGCACATAACAAAAAGCTAACAGGCGGGGCCCGTTATTTACATCATAGGTGCCTACACAACACAAAACACTGTTGCTGTATTAGGTGTTTTTTTTTTTATCTTATATTTTGGAAATGTACATCCAGGTTTTTTTTCCTTTAAATTTTTTTGGGACCCCCATTGATTAGCTTATACGTAAATTCGGCACTGCTCCCAACCTTTACTGGACAACCTGGGTGCACATTTTGAAAGATGGCAGCATGGTACAGAGGGGGTGGGAGAGAATAGTCACGGGACAGCTGCCATGAGGCCTAACAACACAGCCACCATGTAGGGGGGAGGCATGGCATCATACAAAATTGGACAAAGCACAATCATAGAGAAGCTTTTCATATAGCTGTACTGTATTTCCATATTTTAAAAACTGCTCAACCTGACAAATTTCTGGCTAGAAAATAAGAAAGTGTGTTGAAGGGAGGTGAAAAGCAGCAGCTCTTGAGAAATAACACACATACCAATTGCAGCTCAGACTTCTCTCATAAGCAGGCAAGAACAGTTAGGTTTCCTACTCTCACAAAAATCAATTAGAAGGGTACCTGCACGTTTTGCTTTGTAACTTTCTGTGGGGAGGGGAGCTAGATTAAAAAACAAAACAACATCTGGAACCTCTGCTTGGTGGTGCCAATAAATGCCATTGTAGGCACTTGGGTTGGTGACCCCTGGTTTACACATTCCTATTTTTTGTGTCCAAAATTGTGCTATGCAGGGCTTTACAAATGGAGTACAGTGGTACCTCAGGTTAAGTACTTAATTCATTCCAGAGGTCTGTTCTTAACCTGAAACTGTTCTTAACCTGAAGCACCACTTTAGCTAATGGGGCCTCCTGCTGCCGCTGCGCTGCCGGAGCACGATTTCTGTTATCATCCTGAAGCAAAGTTCTTAACTCAAGGTACTATTTCTGGGTTAGCGGAGTCTGTAACCTGAAGCGTATGTAACCTGAGGTACCACTGTATATACCAGAAAGAAAGAAAAACCTCTGACAGGTGATTTGTTTATTAACCCATTGCCCAGTGCAGATATACAATGCTTCTGCCTCTTGTGAATAATACTTTGTTGTCTTACTTTTCCTGTGTGTTTTATGACAGGTGTTTACAAAACAAAGGAGGTCAGTGATGGCAAATGAAGGCACTCCTGTCCGACTAGGAGCCATTAGTGTCCCTTATGGGCATGTGATTGGCCATGAAAAATGGAAAGGCTCTCTGGTTGCTCAGGGGATACAAGGTAACCATGTCAATAGAAAACAGAACATTTGTGAAAATGTAATTAAAATACAAGATCTGGATAGGGAGTTAGAATATAATATTTTAAGTCAGGTTTTTAAAGTCAGTTTTGATCTTTTGTAAAGTGCACTTGCCATGAGAGGCTGTAGCCCTAAATATAAGTGGGAGTAAGTTTTATTGAAATTGATGGAACTTTTTATAAACAAATATTAATATTGGATAGGTAGACAAGGTTTCACCCGAATTCATATTTGATGCTCTGTTATAGTTATTCTGTTACTAAAATCTTCTTGTATCTCTTATTTCAAGGGAAAGTTAAACTAATTCTAGAAGATGGCCTGGGAGTCGTAGACTTCCATCTTTCAAACAGATCCTGTGTCCTTTATATTTCTGAAGCAGACCTGGTTGCAGGAAATGGCTTCAAAAGGAGACTTGTTCGCTTTAGAAACGTAAGTGCTGCCTGAAATAGCTGGTGTTCGCCTGACTCCCCATTTATAGAACTTCCATCGGCAAGAATGTCAGGGCAATTTTAACACAGTTCAAGGATAGAGACCTCTCTTCTACTCAGCGCACACTGATGGTACTATGTCTGATGCTCAATATAGCTAGAAAACAACCCATTCATGTAGTTTTATCTTTATCTGTCTTGTTTCAGAAAACTTGCGGTTCTTCCTGCCCCTGGTATTTGCTATCTTCATTTTCTGTTTTAATTTTATTCTCACCTTTTAAAAACTGGCTGGTTCACATATTATTAGTAGGTGAAGCTTTTCACATTATCTCCATACCAGGAAATGCTTTATCTGTTTGATTTCTTCATAACTCGAGATAACTGGTTAGCCACTGTAAGAAACAAGATACTGAGTGTGACACAGTGGTAATTGATGGTGTTGGGTCTATCAGGCTGCTGTTAAAGGCGCAGGAGCAGAACTAGAACTCGAACAGAAGTGGCAGCCATCGTCTTTTCAATAAGTTCAACCTTTAGGCTGATAAATAAAAGCTTGTCAGCAGCCAAGTCCCCCTCATCCCTACTGAGCAAAGATGAACATGAGCAGAGGCTTGATTAGAAACTGAACGTACAGATCAAAGCACATTTCCATGTCACATTTGATACCACTAATAGCTTTGTTCCATCTAATTCTTCTTTACTGTTTAAGGCTTGCAATCTCCAAGGAATTGTTATAGTTGAAAAAACCCAGATAAGCGGTCAGTATTTTCCAGCAGTGCAAAAATTTGTTGTCCTGGAACTTGGGATGACGTTACTTCCAGTGGCAAGCCAAGAAGAAGCAGCACAGCTTATTATCCAGCTGGTAAGTCCCTTCAGGAGCTGTTTATACTGCCAAATGAGTGGAATTGTGCACATGTCAGGCATATTACATTGGACATGGGTAGCAAATGGGGAATGAAATGAAGAGGGAACAGATAAACAATTGGACTGTGAGAACTTAGAAGAGGATGCTGTGATTACCAAGACCAACATGGGTTCCTCGAAAAGAAGTCATGGCAGATGGATCTCATTTCTTCTTTTGGTGAATTGGGGGAATGCTGTGGACATAGTGTATCTTAATTTCAATCAGACTTTTGACATAGTCCTTGGAAAGAAGCTGGTAATGAATTTCAATAGGGACAAATGTAAGTTTCTGCACTTAGACAAGAAGAACCAGGGGAACCATGAGTTGCCAGTAGTACATGTGAAAAGGATCTTGAGGTCTTAGTAGACCACAAGCTTAACATGAGTCAACAATGTGATGCAGCAGCAAAAAAGGCTGCATCAAGAGAAGTATAGTGGAAGTAATAGTACCACTCTATTCTGCCTTGGTTAGGCCACACCTGGAGTACTGTGTCCAGTTCTGGGCACCACAGCTGGAGAAGGATATTGACAAGCTGGAATGTGTGCAGAGGAAGGCAACCAAAATGATAAAGGGTCTGGAAACCAAGTCTTATAAGGAACAGTTGAGGGAGTTGGATGTGTTTAGCCTGGTAAAGATCTACAAATACTTAAAGGGCTTTCACATGGAGGATGGAACAAGCTTGTTTTCTCCAGCTCTAGAGGCTAGGACCCAAACCAATGAATTTAAGTTATAATAAAGGAGGTTCTGATTAAACATCAGGAATACCTTTCCAATATTAAGAGCTATTCAACAGTGGAACAGACTCACACGAGAGGTTGTGGAAGAGGTTTTTAAGCAGAAGTTCAATGGTCATTTGTTATGTATGATCTAGTTGAGATTCCTGCATTGCAAGGAGTTGGAATAGATGACCCTTGGAGTCCCTTCCAATTCTATGATTTTATGCCACCTTAATATTGTGTATCTGTTTCTATTGAGGCTCTGCAGTGTGTTTACAATACTGGTGATTTTTAAATTTCATTCATTTTCTTAGTCAGCAGAGGAGCAGAGCATACAGAAAAAGGGTTAACTCCTTTTCTAGAAGGCAGGATCAACACTGCTCCTAAGGAGAGGGGGGAAACATGTAACAGAATGAAATGATTAACACTAAAAGCCACTAGAGGGTGCTCAGACTCTCCTTGTTGTCTGTTCCAGGTGCAGGAGCAAACTAAAGATCAAGCCAGCAACCCCTTTTTGGCTAAGAAATGTCCCCAGCTCTTAGAGGCTTCTGTATTCCAAACGGTTCAGCAGATTCCGGGAGTTGGGAAAACAAAAGCTTTGCTTCTCCTGGAACGGTTTCAAAACCTCCACCGGCTTTGCAACGCATCCATCCAGGAGCTTGAGCAAGTAGTTGGACACGCTCTAGCCCAACAAATCCATGCGTTTTTTGCACAGGCAAAGTAACCTCACCTGGTTGGGAAGGTGGAAGTGAACCATGTATGCCACCTCAAGCTCTTTGCTCAAAGGACAAAGGTGGGTTATAAACATAGTAAAAACCTCCATGTAGCCTGCATGCTTGTGCTGAACAGCGTCACAAACACATTTTGGATTTGGGTAGTGGCCTTGCTTGTTACCGCCATGGCAGATGGTTGTTGACTTTTGTCTGAAGTTACCTGATGTAAGCCTTGTATCTGTGACACATAAGTAGCACGGCCAGGATCCTAAGAACTGCAGCTGGTCCCATGTGCCTAAGAAGGCTTTATATCAATTTTCAAACATCAGCTTCCATTTCCCATAACAAGCGTCCCCTGAAATTGTGGGGGGTTTGCAAAAGCAGTTTGCAGGTCAAAAGGGCAAATGAGATTACAAAAATCCCACTGAGTGCCCACCTGGAGCAGCTATTTGGATCTTAGCTACTTTTCCTTGGACAAGCCAAAGCACCCACTTAATATGAAACCCTTCTAGTATAGGATGAAATGCCCTGAACGTTGGGGTTAGGGTTAGACGGAGAAGCACTCTGCTCACAAATGCTTAAGCAGTGAGTTCTCATTGTTTTTGGCTGCCTTTCACACCCCCTTTTTGCAAGAAGCTTCGGTTTTGTTTATTTATTATTATTGTAGGGAAAAACCACTGGGGATCCAAGCCTCTGGAGGGTGAAGTGGTGCCTGGCCGGACTTTTGCAAACATGAAGCCAGCAGTCGAGCTGCCATTTTCTCCAATAGGGACAAGCAACTTAAGAAGAACCATTGCTGTGGTTGCCTCAAATGACTCATCAGATCAAGGCTCCTGCTGTCACAATTGCCTGGGGAAATATATTCTCGCAAGTGGCGCTATGAAACCAACCCTTCCCGCCCCCGAGTTGATCGCAAGTCTGCGAAGCCTTATTTATTGCTGTTGCATCAGCTTTCATCCGCACCTGACCTGACCGGCTGCCAGGTTGCTTTTGCGTAAATCATCTTGTTTCAGGTGACATGCTTGGAAACCGGCTGTCTTGGCGCAACCTGAAGATCACTTTTCTGCCAGGCACCTGGGATGCTGCCAACCTGAAACACGTAGGAGTGTCAGAGTTAAAAAGGGTGACTGACTCAGACTTCCTCACCTGCCGGTGGCGTTCTGTATGCCTTTCGGTGGAGTCATGCTTTCGTGAAACTCAAAGGTTATAACCAGGCCCTTCTGGGCAAGGCTCCCAGCCTGCTGTTCGGTCCTCTTCAGAGAAGTGGATGCCTGGGAGGACAAATGGAAAGTGATGCATCTCTCTTGACTTTTTTACTGCCTGCAGTCCCATTTTAAAGACATCCCCTGTGGATGTTCCTGCATTTTGGTTATGGATGAATCCACTAATTTGATTCCTGTCCTTTGCACAGTATTTGCCATTACAAGCACTCAATTCTAGACAAGCAAAAAAAAAAAAGTTGTTTTGCTAATTAATTGTGTTTTCCAATTAGTGGTTCTTTATTGGTGGAAGGCATCTGGTAGCTGAATGGGGGAGGGATGCAGTTTTCAGTTATTCTTCCTGTGTGGCCTCCAGATCTGCTTCAGAAGGTCCCCTAACCCTCTGGAGTGGATACTTTGGGGTTGGGGGCTCCCATGTCTTCATCACAGGCACACAAATTGGAGAAACTCTTAGTCTGTAGGCTGCCGACACATTCTGTCTCCTCTGACAAGTTAACTGATTCAGTATTGCTTTTCATCACTTTTGAGGGTCTTTTGGTTAATTTGAAAATTTCACTAAAATTTCTAACTTTTTTTGCTATTTTACTAACACCTTTAGTTTCACCTCAATACATGTGACTATACTTGTTCATGGTCTCCCCTCCTATTACACTCTCCCCTCCCCTCTGAATGCCCCCCAAGTTGAGATTTGGACGAAGACCCTTATGTAATTCTGTAAAATATGGTGTATGGCTTTTATAAATTAAAAATAAAAATAATCACTAAATGTTTTGCAAGTTCTAGGCGCAAGAACCACAGGTGATCAGTTCTAAATTTCATTGATTTAATCTGAAGGGAATAATTTCTATGAACTGTAGGGATTTTTGTGGTCCTTGATCTGTGATTCTACTGCTGTATTGAAAGAAATGTGGGAAGTGGTCTTGGGGAAAACAATCCTTGAAGGGTCCTCGAAGGCCATGTGGGACAAAGACCCATAGAGGTCCATCTCGGCCAGGGTCTGGGAATCTGCGGAAAGTGGCCCTGAGGTGGCCCTTGACTCCTAAACTGGAGCACATGGGGACTCTTCCAAATCCAGAGCATTTTAGTGGGGTTGCTGTTTGTTTGGGACCTTCTACCACACATGGTGCCTATTCCCAGATGTCAAGCCATTCGGACCAGAATTTTCCAAGAGATTTCTGGCATTGCCTCTCACATCATTCCACCCTCCCCTCAAATTTACTCTGCTACCTATTCTCTCAGAGCAGCTGCAACTATTGGAAATACAGCCTGCATTTCATGTTTGATGTTTAAAAGTATGATCTCTTAGAGAAACGGATGCAACAGAATAAACTCGGTTGAGGAAGCTTCAAAGCGGAGACCTTTATTGAATCTTGGTGGCTTCTCTTACAAGGACAATAGCACCAGTCGCCATTCCCAGGGGTAAGTAGGCGGAACAATGGATATGACTTGCCTTTGTACATTAGGCTACACTTCATGGAACCATAGAAGTCAGAGGGTTCTGTGTACACAGACCTCTCCTGCCATCCTCTATACAGGCAAGCAAGCGGCGTTATTGCTGTTGAAATCCATGTTCTAGCCAGGCAAAAGCAATCCAGGTAGATGAGGAGCAGGGTTGGGGAAAAGTGTGGATGTGGGGGCAGAATGCTGAGAGCCAGAGAGGCCTGACATTCCCTACGCCTGCTTTCCATGGTGAAGCAGCTGCTCCAACTCCGCTGAATTGATGGTTTTGAATTATGGTGCTGGAGGAGACTCTTGAGAGTCCCATGGACTGCAAGAAGATCAAACCTATCCATTCTTAAGGAAATCAGCCCTGAGTGCTCAACTGGAAGGACAGATCGTGAAGCTGAGGCTCCCATACTTTGGCCACCTCATGAGAAGAGAAGACTCCCTGGAAAAGACCCTGATGTTGGGAAAGATTGAGGGCACAAGGAGAAGGGACGACAGAGGATGAGATGGTTGGACAGTGTTCTCGAAGCTACCAGCATGAGTTTGACCAAACTGCGGGAGGCAGTGGAAGACAGGAGTGCCTGGCGTGCTTTGGTCTATGGGGTCACGAAGAGTCGGACACGACTAAACGACTAAACAACAACACCTTCTAAACCAAGCCTTCTGTTAGGTGTAGCAGAGCACAACAGGTGGGCTCTTGGGGTTATCATTCAAACATCAGTGCTAGAAAGTTCTCTGGGCATTCAAAAGCAACCTTTGCAATCCAGAGTGCTGAGGCATGCAGAAGCAGGAAGGACATTCAAGTTTCTTGCCATCAGGTCTTTTCATGAGTCATCAGAAGGGCAAAAGCATTTAGGCAGTCTTGTCTTGCACTGAAAGATAACGAAAGGTGCCCTCAGGCACACAGACTTCTCCAGGAAGTTCAGCTATGGTCATTAAAGAGAAAAAAGTTTTGTATATGACTAAAGCCTTAGGGATTTCGGTCATAGATCAATGATCAGATACTTTGCGAACAAACTTGATTGATACAGTATGTGTTACATGCTGAATCATAGATGAACTAGGCCTTACCCTACAAATACTTGATGACAAATACGTCAGTTTTCTAGGTGCCACAGGGCTTTGAGTGCTTTCGATGTTGGCAGAATAACATTTGGAATGCAAGTCTCTATTTTGTAAACCCTGGAGATTTTTAAAAAAGTATTTCTGAATGCCTGCCTTCTAGAATGTTTATTTTAAAAAAAAAAAAAACCCCACACATACATCTAGCTTTGTAATTAATCATTGTGGCTTTGTTTAGTTTAATCTGAGCTGCAAAGCACTATCTGTTGCAAGGGGTTCTCTTTGCTGCCTCCATTTAAGCAACTGACCGGCAGCAGCTCAGCCCATGGCTTCAGTCTGCGACTCATTTCAAGTCCTATTAGCACATGGATTGGGCCTTCCACTGTGGCCAGTAGTTAAGAGAGGAGCTGAGTTGTGGGCCAGCAACATCTTGAATGCTGCATGCTCCCCATTGCCTGCGAAGAGAAACCAGGATCAAACCTGATAACTTCTGAATGCAGATCTCATGTGTGTTATTACTGAGCTGCAGCTTTTTGCTGCGGTGCTTCTGGGGCAATTTAGGAGCCCTCCTCAGACTTCCTTGTGAACTCCTCACTGAAGTGTGGGTGCGCATACTAATCTCTCAAACAGTGGAGGTTGTAGGATGAAAGTAATTTAATCACAGTTGTTGCAAAACATTACTACAGTTCAAATACAAAGAGGCTGCATTTCCATAGCAATGCAATTTTATGGGGATGCAGATTCCCATATTCCATAGATATGAGTTACTGGAGCCTCAAATATAATGATTAGATTGCCATTGGTAGTTAGGATTTCTTGCAAAAGCAGGAAAAGTGGTGGCTGTGTTGGTGTTATTTGATTGTCTGAAGTACAGTGGTACCTCAGGTTAAGTACTTGATTCGTTCTGGAGGTCCGTTCTTAACCTGAAACTTCTTAACCTGAAGCACTACTTTAGCTAATGGGGCCTCCTGCTACTGCCGCACCGTCAGAGCACGATTTCTGTTCTCATCCTGAAGCAAATTTCTTAACCCGAGGTAATATTTCTGGGTTAGCAGAGTCTGTAACCTGAAGCATATGTAACCTGAAGCGTACGTAACCCGAGGTACCATTGTATATGCTTTCTTTCTGGTGTTTCTTTTCTCAGTTGTATATTTTTCTACTTTGTGTATACTGAGATGCCTTCATTTATTGTTTTCCAGTCTATATGTCCAGTTAATTATTTTAAATGGTTGGCCTGTTCCATTAGATTAAGGAAACCAAGAACATGAGTAATTAAGTGCAAGGGCTGTTCCTGCTAATGAAGTTAAAGTCTTACTTCCTAATCTATCAAAATCTTTATCACAATTTGCAAAACAGCCATGCTGCTCCTTTTTCACACAGTGGGCTTATGAAGATTTTAAACCCAAAGTATTATTTTTTTAAGAAAGGGTCTGGGCACGTAAGGCTAACCTGTAACTCTTAACACATCCTAGTGATCTTGGAAAGGCTTTGGAGAAGAAGCAGATCTGAGAATGAATTGTAGCACTAAGCAAAAAAATAAAATTCAAAAATCGCCAGGAGGGCTGTGTGACATTTCTTTTGCTTCTGTATCCCTGTCTTGATCTGGAGTGAAAATATGCAAGGGGTAAGTGGAGCCAGAATGTTTGAACAAAGCTATTTCCCTATTATGCACGAGGGGACACAGGAGAGTGGGTGAAAGAAGGGACTTTGACTTGGAGGAAGTATGTCCCCCTGTTTTCATACATTTCCACCACCACCTCACCCTGATCCTTTATTGGCTCTTGCAGCTTAAAGAGGAGGGAGTCTTAGCTCAATGGCTGTGCACCTGTTCCTTATGCTTAAGGTCCCAGGGAAAACTGCTTTAAATGGAGTCAGAGGAGCAGTCAATATAGCTTGGTATTATCGACACTGACTGGCAGCAGCTCTCCAGGGTTTCAGACAGGGGTCTCACCCAACCATACCTGGGGTTGCAAAGCAGATGCTCTGCCAAATCTGTGGCATTTCCATTTAAAAGGATCAGGCAACAGGCAATGGAAAATACAGTGGTACCTCGGGTTAAGAACTTACCGTATTTTTCGCTCTATAAGACGCACCAGACCACAAGACGCACCTAGTTTTTGGAGGAGGAAAACAAGAAAAAAATATTCTGAATCTCAGAAGCCAGAACAGCAAGAGGAATCGCTGCGCAGTGAAAGCAGCAATCCCCCTTGCTGTTCTGGCTTCTGGGATAGCTGCGCAGCCTGCATTCGTTCCATAAGACACACACACATTTCCCTTTACTTTTTAGGAGGGAAAAAGTGAGTCTTATAGAGCAAAAAATACGGTAATTCGTTCTGGAGGTCCGTTCTTAACCTGAAACTGTTCTTAACCTTAGGTACCACTTTAGCTAATGGGGCCTCCTGCTGCCACCGCGCGATTTCTGTTCTCATCCTGAAGCAAAGTTCTTAACCCAAGTACTATTTCTGGGTTAGCGGAGTCTGTAACCTGAAGCGTCTGTAACCCGAGGTACCATTGTACCTCTGCCAGAGACCCTGGAGAGGTGCTACTAATCATGGAAGATGATATTGAGCTAGATGGAAGAACAGCAACTGTGCAACATTGTAAAATTAACACAATATATCCAAATATACCATACAGTTTTTCAACAATTTAGATATCAAAACGATATATTAAAAAGTAGAAATGCAAGTATTATACTGCCTGTGTTGCTATATGTAATACAATGAAATAATCAGAAGATTTGCTGCATGACTTGCTACACATATTTTATTAATGGACAGGATTGATTCCACAGTGTTAATTCAGATATTGCACAACAACAAAAAACAATAGCAGCAGCTGCTATTTATGATTTTTCCTTTCACAGAAGGATCATTATGAAGCAAGTTGTTTTAAATCTGCATTCTAAACAAATGTCAACAGTCAATCAGAATTGAAACTGTATCATACTGTTCATATTCAAATGGAAAATAAGTTGTTCCTCAGCAGAATTCACCTGCAGGACTCATTCTTAAATAAAATCTTTTAAAATTTATATATTTACACCCTACCATGTATAAACACAAAAGCCTAAGAAGAATCATGAGTTAATACAAAGTTAGTGGTCCAGATTTTCCAAAAACTTTCCACTTGAAACATTTTCTAAAATTTCAAATCAGCAGAAGCAATCTGAACTCCAGCGCAACCCAAAGCAGGAGCTCAGATGGAGTTAGGATTTCATCCGCTTAATCTGTATTGACCAAACATCGTAAGATCTACCCTGTAGACAATATTTCAGTCTAACACAACTGTGTTAGCAACCTGCAACTTTACAATGAACAGAAGTTATAGCAGCAATAAAACACAAAATTACGGGGTGGGGGAGAGATCACATTTACCAGCTGGCTGAGTTCCTAAGTCACTGGTGAATCCCTAAATTTCTCTTTAAGGCACTGTTAATTACATTGGAAGCGCTTTGGAATATTACTCCAAATACAGTGGCACTATGGAAGCTGCAGCTTGGGGTGGGGGCTGTGACCCTCCAGATGTTGCTGAACTACCAGTCACAAAATCCCCAACCAGCGGGCCTGCTAACTGGTTCTGATGCTGGATTCCAACACAATCTGGAAGGTCACCACTTCCCCAGCTCTGCTGTAACTGAACTATACGTTTTTATAATGGTGTGAGCTTGATCCAGGCCAAAAGCGATTTTTTTATTGCCCCTTCCTATCTTTAACATCTGTAGCAATATATAACCCGGATAGTTTAAAATGACACCACAAACTGCCATATTTACAGTTATTATTCGGCTTCACAGAGGTAAAGAACCTACAGCATATCATGCAATTCTGAAATATTAGGACTGCTAAACCGTGTTTGTGAAAGGTATACTCAATGCCCTCTGCACATTACATAGCAGCACCATGGAAGATGCATTGCTGTGGGTCTATCCTGTGGTGGCGCTGTAATGTTGGACTCCACATCTGGAGGGCCAGAGGTTCCCCACCACTGGTTTCAATTCGTGTAACTTCATGGAAGAGAGGGCTATCAATGGTTGCTAGCCACAACGGATATGCTCTGCCCTCCACAGTTGGAAGCAGCAATGCTTCTGAATACCAGTTGCTAGAAACCATAAGAGGGGAGAAGCCTCTTGTGTTCGAATCCTGCTTGCTGGTTTCCCACAAGCAACTGTGAGAACAGGATGCTGGACTAGATGGGCCACTGGCCTGATCCAGCAGGCTTTTTTCTGTCCATAACGGGGACCATCTCCCAAGTTTGAGGGGACCTTTGACAAAGTGCTCTCAGATGAGCCCCCCCTCCTAAATTGACAAGTCCTAGCAGTGGGTGGCCACTCTGATTGGCACTGAACTGTTGCCATTTTAATTTCCCACAATGCTCTGAAACTTTGGGCAGACAGCGCACGAGCACCTGCTTATTAACTTAACCAAGGGATGGGGGAACCTGCTGCACCCCTGGTATTTGGGGACCCCCAGTTGTTTCCACCATCTTGGCCAGTGATTAGGGATTATGGTCAGAGATTATCTGGAGGGCCACCACATCAGCCTCCCCTGTAATCTTTGCTGGACTTCAATGGCTCCACATCAATGTACAGCGACAGGAGAACTGCCCCTAACTCTATGGCATTTTTGCAAGCAATTGTTTTCCTTCCTCTGCCAGTCTAAAGCGGACATTCAATCAGCCTTCGTTTAAAATTGCTGTTCATCACCGGTATCGGTATCGTGTCATGAACTTGCCCCTGCTATATACAATGACATTTTTAAAAATCCTTCATAAGTCTTTGCAGCTTATACTGCATGCTATAAACAACTATGTCTATAGTTTTGCTGGACAAATAATAACTAGGACAGAAACCCAGACAGGAATCTCACTTGTAGTCTGGTAGCAACATACGGAATTTTCTTTTCAAGCGAAAGGACTCCCAAATCTCTCCTGATGACAATGCTGTGCTTCTCCAACAGTGGCAGCGCAGGATCCTTAAAAACCATGTAGGGTGGGCCAGATGTCAGCTGGCAGTGCTGTAACTCTGGGCTTACTCCAGATTCACAAAAGGGCTACATTTCAGATTTATGGCACATGCATTCAGGGAACCTTTCCAGCAAGAATAAGCCTCTCTTTTCAAGTCCTAGTACAAGGAGCTGTCCGTACTCAAGAGTGTGAAAGGCGAGACAAGTTTCTTCTTGGTTGGGGTGCTTCCAGGCACAGCGGAAGGCAGGCAGAGTGTGCTGGCTGCTTTTTTTCTGTTCTTCGTTCCCCAACTCAAAAAGGAAAGTTTAGGAGCCACCTTCTTGGTCTTATCTATTTTATCTTCTTCCATAGCCAAACAAATCAGAGAGTATGTTTTCTGCATTCCTGCAGAATAAGTTGCACTTTTGTTATGCTAGGAGGGAAAGAGCATAAAAAATATTAATAATCAGTCATCCATGATGGGTCAACATTTGGAAGACAACAAAAGGGCATGCAGTGTGTGAACCATTTGCTGAGACAGATTTTGCCATTCTTCAGCATTAATTATATTCCATGATGGACACAGGCCAATCTAGACCACTGAACTTTGCTTGTTAGGTCTGGAAAGACTCATAGGGGGAAGCATGTTTTGTAAGAAGGCAATTTGTCCAGGGCTGCCTGCTTTTGAAAAGGGCTATATGCTCAGCGTTAAATTCGTGAAACATATACTTGGACAGATCACTAGCAGCAACTTTGGAAAAAATAAGAATTTAATACTAGTCTAGTTAGCACGGAGACTGCTGAGAAAAGGTGAAATCCTTTCCCTAGTTCCTAGATTTAGAAAACATCCAAAACCAACATGAAGCCTACAGAATAGAAAAACAACTTTAGAGGGAAACAATCATAGCTCCTCGCCCAGACAGAGTATATTGAGTGGGCATGGAATGCTGGCAGGCCTTTTTTTGTGGGGGAGGGAGAAGGAGAATGGAATGGAGTATCCTTAGAAAGGGAATGGCTGCCTAGTGCCTTCAACAAGAGCACTCCAGGTGGCAACGCTTTGTTGTAGGTTCCCAGCTCATATTTGAGAGTTACCTCTTTACTTACCATGGACACTGTGTTATCTTGGCAGCTGATGACCTGGATCTCAGTCTCTTGCCTGCTGACATTTCTCAATTTTTCCAAGACCTCACTCACTCCCAGCCATTTGCAATCCACGCCTTCAATGGAAACGACACAGTCTCCTTCTTTCAGACCTGCCAACTTAGGATCAATGGGTGCATCTTAGTATCAGCTGAGATTGGGCAGAAAGCAACATGGGCCCCTCTGGACATCCTTTTTATTGCGTATATCTTTGATGCTTCATGCTCATGATGCTATCAGGACAGTCATACACAATCCTATTTTCAATTCTGTTTGCACATGCAAATCTTTTGGGGCTTCATTTTGTTACAGATTCTATAACTTCCTGCTAAAAATCCGTGTCAAATATAACAAATTTTCTGGGGTTTGGGGGTTTTTTGTTTCGTCCTCCAGACAGCAATAATGTGGTAACTTTGGAGAAGTATTGCAGAACTGCTGAAGCAGGTTAAGTCCACTACTAGTGTATCATTACTGCGTCAAAAAGATGTCGCAGAAGATACCAGCAGAAAAGCCCCTGTCCAGAGCGGCCCCAGGTAACATTCTCTGGAAATATTTCCTTCCCATATATGGCAAACAGTATGTGAGTGGTCAGGTGCTGCCTAACCCAGAGAATGCTGCCTCTCACAGTGAAGGATAATCATAATTAAAGTCACAGGTATGCAATCCTATGTACATATAAACTGGGAAGGAAGCCCCATTGAAGAACACCTAGCCTTTTCTCTCCACCTGCTGCTCTTTCTCTTTCTTATCCCCTTCCAAGGCTGTGCCCCAACTTCACCTTGTCCATACCTGACACAGAATCTGCCCCCATTGACCCACCCACTTCACAGGCCTGCTGTTGCGAGCAAGACCTCAAGGTACAGGAGAACAGGTTTTTAATTTTTTGCCTCAGGCCTTCCTACCCCTGCTGTAAGGGGAAACTGAACAGCTGTGCAAGAGAGGGAAGGTTCAGCTTTTGCTAATCTTTAACTCTGAAAATTTTGCTGAAATTAATGCGATACCCTCTACACCAAACGTGGAAGGTCCCAGTGTGCAGTGAAGCTTTCCCACAGAGCCCTGTAAAGCCAGTGGAACGCAGCATAGGGAGAGTCCTACTTACTGATGCAGGGCAATCTGGATCCAGGCAGTAAACATGCACTGGGGGGCCTCCTTTCAAGGTAAACCCCAGACCCTCAGCTTCACACTGGAAACGGACAGTGCGAGGAGCAGTCCACCTCTGCTTTGCTGAAAAGACCGTCAGCGGACCCTGAAAGAGGAAGAGCAGTATGGACCATTATCCTCGGTGATCTGCAAATGTTAAGATGAGCCATAGAAACTCTCCACCGCATGTGGGGGGCAATGGTGGCTGGTGCCCATTGAGACTGGTGGGGCAGAAGGCAGGGAGCCCAACACTAGGTGGCGCCAGAGCCAACTCATTCTAGTCTTGCCCCCAGCCTCCTCCTTCCTGCTGAGTTCTATGTGGGAACCACCCCCTGGCCTTGTTAAGTCAAGTCAGAAGGCAGGCAGGTGCAGGCTGGCTGAGGGTACACTGAAGCTGGTGGGGCAGTGCTTCACTAGCCCCAGTGGAACAGCCTCCACTACACATGACCATCCTCCCTCTTTTTCTCTCCTCTTTCATATTACCTAGAAATGTCCTTGCAATTTTTATGACATTTATGCCGCCCTGAGCTCTTTTGGGAGGATGGGTAGGATATAAATTTAATAAATAAAACCTAAATAATATTTTCTTAGGCCTGGTACAGATGTATGGCCATTTGATCAATTAGGTCCAATGTTACGCATTCTGCTGACTACTCTGCTAAACCATAGTTAACATTAACAATAATGAATAAGCCATAGTTAAAGCTGTGAAGGTACCAGTTCCCAGAAACTGCAAGCGGGGAGAGTGCTGTTACACTCAGGTCCTTATTTCAGAATTTCCAAAGTTGGCCACTGTGAGAACCAAATGCTGGACCGGATGAGCCTTTGGCCAGATCCAGCAGGTTCTTTTATGTTCTTAAGAGGAAGGTGTACACAAGGCCAAGGACGGCAGGAGAGGAGCGCTCAAGCCTGAGGGGTGTTGCTAATGTCTTAACAATAGGTACCAGGAAATGCTCTGTCTGCATCAGACTGTCAATGAGGATCCAAGAGAAAAAGCAAATTTTACTTTTTACCCCTCTTAATCCAAGTGGTTCATGGTGGTGTGCGTGCACATGTAAACACAAATAGCTTAATCCACATTAACAACACACACAAATCTATAGTCCAGACTAAACAGACATGTACCTCAACGCACCTGACAAGTCAACAGATCCCGACTAGGTCTGGCTAAACTGGCAGAACCCTGACTTGGGACGAGGATCTGAACAGAAAGCTAATTCTGTATTCAGATCACAGAAGTACAGTCTCCACTGCTAGTTGCAAGGGTTTAATGTATGCAATTTGAAAAGCTTCCCTTAATGAGCTCTATTAACTGCAGACATAGTGAATTTCCCTTTAACAAGAAAATGAATTTGCATTCATTAGAAGCAAAATTACAGAGGGGCACCTGAGCAAACAGGAACTGGCAAGGTTGCTTCATACATACCAGCCTCTCAAAGAAGTCTTTGACTTTGACCTTGGAGAACAGAGGGGCAACCGCTTCTATTTTATGGTCTGTCTTAGCTATAAAAAAACAAAACAAAACTTAGTATTATTATTTCCCCCACATACACACTTTTGGCAAGGAGTGCAGAGCAGCACACATCACTTTCCCACCCAGCCCCCATTTTATCTTCACAACAACCCTCTGAGGTTGCTAAGGCCCCAATTAAGCCTCCATCTTGTCAGGAAGACAGAGCAGCTTCTACCAGAAGCAAGGCTATCTGGGTGCTTTGGAGCTCCCTTCCACAGAAGGCTTGTTTCGCCCCCTTCCTCACGACGTTGAGGCATTTATTTATTATTTACAGCATTAGAGGTCACCCAATAACAAAGCCATTTATAATGAAGCTGAAAACAACTGGTTTTGCTGTCATATTGTTGGGAATTATCCTTTTCTTTTAGTATTTTTTTTGCTCCTGGTTTTCAGAACAAGCTTGGCTTTCTTTTGATCAGTTTTTTTGAAGTGAGATTGTGATATAGTTTTTCTAAACCACCCTGGTGCCATTTATTTGAAGAGCGGTATAAGAAGTAAACTAACAAAATTAGCATGCCAAGAACTTCCCTCTCCCCCTGCCTAGTGGGTCCTGGGCCGACACAAGATTTGGGCGAGGCCCTTCTCAGCCAGCAGTTCAAGAGCTAAAGCTCCCGCTTGCTGATGCTGCTGATGCTTATTTAAATCCTGCCTTTTTCCCTGACAGGGATTCAAGGCGGCTTTCAGATAAAATAGAAACAGTACATGGAAGGGATTCGATTCCGGGGCACCCCGGACTATAAAGGACTTACAGAGGATATCTGGAGCCTGCAGCAAACTCGAAAAGTCATCTTCCTGCTCCTGCTGTGAATATTTGAGAAGGGACCGCTTGTGGGCAACTGACAGGATTTCCTGGAGCACCTCAATATTCCGGAGCTTTTTGCACAAGCCACAAACCCTCAAGGCTTCTTCATGATGAACAATGGCTCTCCGCAGGTGAGCTTTTGCTGGGGAAAGCAAATATACAGGACCATAACACAAGGGTTAGCTCCTAAAATATACTCCCCGCTCCCCGCCACTTCATGTTCCATAAATGTCAATGTAGATTGGCCCCATCACAACCAGAAGCCTAGCTGCTGTGGTCAAACACCCAACTCCCACAATCCTTAGCAAAACTGAACAAGCTTTGCAGAAGACATTTCAAAGACCGGCATGCAATCGTAAGGATTGTTTCAGTGAGGGCAGGAACATGGGATCTTCTGAAATTTAAAGGCCTGACTTGCTGGTCACAGCAAAGCACGTACACACACACATGCCTGGATTCACTCTTCCCAGCTGTATGGAAGAGCAAAACAATCCCTCGTGTTTGAGGTGATATGGGAGCCATGTGCATATGGTGCTTGAGAGCTTAGCCATCACAGATGCTCCTGTCACAGGAGCATGTTCAACAGAGGAGCCCTTTTTAAATCATTACTTCCTACGGAAATAGGTTACCTGCTATCTTCAGGCAAGGGTAAGGCAGGACACATGGCATCCTATCACTATCTCACCTGAAAACATCCAACATCTACTGCTCTTTCTTCGGCCTTCAGATATATGGTTATGAATGCTGTCCAAGTTTTTGTTTATTTAATTTTTGCATCTACATCCCACCTTGCCTTCAAAAGGTTAGAAATCAATTAATTTCTAGTAAAATTATTCTTTGTGCTCCTAGGTGGGTAACGCTGCCCCGGGGCATCTCAGTGCTTGGGGAAATGGGGGACACAGGTAATGATCCCTTTTGTGACTCACAAGTGGACATGAGGATCTGGCTAGCTGTGAGTGGCATAATCAGGTTCCTCCTCTGTCCCTCCACACCTTCAGTCATCAACCTCCCCACCGAAGGCAGCAGAGCCATGTGGACAAGTCTTACTGAGAACGGGTGGGGTGGCTGTATCAAATTGCACCAGTTTGGGGAGGAATGGGAAGGTGGCTGAAGCAAAGATCAGAATCTGCCTGCATGTCTGGCTGTTCAATCCATGATTTTTGGTTCTAAACCAGGGTTAGTGAAAGCCCTGGTTTGAGGCAATGTCTGGACTGAGCCAAGATAAGGAAGCTTGCCCTCACCAAGTTGTTTCCGCTGAACTCGGTCCCGCAAAACAGCCAAAGGGGTCAGTCCTTCCGGCATGTGGTCATACAGCTGGGAAAAAGCCTTTTCCTGTTGGTCTTCATCATCATTCTGGCGCACTAGAATGGTGTAAACAAATGCACATGAAAGAGAGGATAAATACAGGTTTACTTTCATTTCCGTCTGGTTGAGATGCCTCAAGGTCTGCTAAGTGAAGGTGTGGCCTGAAAACATGAACAACAATCTCTAAAACCTGTTTAAGTGGACTACTCTTTACATTATTTTGGATTCTTCATAGGCTCGTTTTGCTGACAGATGCCTGAATGTCATGGCATGCTCACCAAGGCTACTTTACTCAGAATGTTAAAAAAAAGCACACCTTCCGTCTTCAAACCTGTTTGCAAACATTAGCTAATTGCAGAATAACAAGGAAATAGAGGGCAAGGGAACTTGAGCTCTACCAAAGTGCAATTTTATTGTTTAGTTTAAGATTTACTGCCATATGTAGCAGATTTTTAGATCAAGTATGGAGAATGTCCCCAGCCAGAGGGCCACATTTCCCCTTGTCCAAAGGTCTGGGGACCACATACCAGGTGGGGTATGGCAAGTATCAAACACACAAAGTTTACAGAGCACCATTTTTGAAATTAGAGGAGAAGAAATGGCAGAGCACAAAAGGATAATTTCTCTAGCATAAGGTGCATATTAAGATACACAAATAATACACTCTTCTTAAGCTGGACCATTAGGGTATCTTTTTACCCACCCTAAATAAATTGGTAGGTGGTACCACTGAATCATCACCAGCCAACCTTAGCAATTGGCAGGTTTGTTAGTGATGTAATTTGCATACATGATATAATAATAGTTGTGTCCTTCTCAAGTCTGCATGTGCTGGCTAAGTAATTCCTCCCATTTCTTTCATCAGGCTGTCCAAAACTACATCAAGCAAGCATCTGGTTGGCCACCATGAGAATAAGATGCTACACTTGATGGACCATTGGCCTGATCCAACAGGCTAGTGTTATGCTCTTAAGTTCTTAAACAGACAAGGAAACCAATTTTCCAGATGGGGAATGCCAAAGTTATTAAAAGGCTGTGTCCATGTTTTTTTTTGGGGGGGGTTGTTGTTTTTTCTGGACAAGGGTGATATGATCCTCAGACAACAACCTGACTCCATCCCTACCACACACACATACATGCATGCAGTTTGGAAGAATTAAAAAGAGGCTTTTATTTTGCTGATCAAAATATCCTACATTTCATCCGTGAAAAAAGGGGACATTATTGCATTCAAATGCCTGCTGTAACCAAGTATAAGCACCTGTAACTTATTTTATTTTATTCATTTATTCATATATAAATACATGAATTTATTTCTCATCCAAATGCATAAGCATCATTCAGGTTAGCTACCAGCAGTTAAAAACGCAATCATAATAGCAAACAGATTCTTACTACAAAATGCGAGAGAGAGAGGCCCAGCATGCTATGCTTCAAAGCTACTGATTCCCTGGCAAGGCAAAAGCCTAATGGAACAAAAAGGACTTTCACTAGCCAGCAGAAGATCATCAAATAAGCCTTGCGGGATAAGGTGTACCACAATATTGGCACAGTCACTGAGAAGTCCCCGCCCTCTCTGTCTCTCTCCCCTTCCCAACAACCGTGTCTCTGCCTTTGGTGGGAGACAAAGTAGAGCTTCCTCCTTGATCAGAGAAACCATATTTTGTGCAGTGTGTCATAAAAAGACTAGTCTTCCCCACCCTGATGACCTCCTGGTGTTTTTGACTACAACTCCCATCAGCCCCAGCCAGCATGGCCAGGGGTGATGTCAACTGTAGTCCAAAAGATCTGGAGGGCATCAGGCGTGGGAATGCTGGCTTAAGAGTGTCCAAGACGTCTGCTGGGCTACCACATAAGAGCCTGCTAGATCAAGACAATGGCCCATCTCGTGCAACATCCTGTTCCCACAGTGGCTGAACAGTTGTCTGTGGGAAACCAGCAAGCAGGATTCGAGCACAAGAGCAACACTCTCATCTCCTGTGGTTTTCAACAACTGGTATTCAGAAGCATTGCTACCTCCAACTGTGGAGGCCGAAAACAGTCATCATGGCTAGCAGCCATCAATAGCCTTCTCCTCCTCCATTAATTTGTCTAATCCTCTTTTAAAGCCATCCAAGTTGGTGGCCATCACTGCTTCCTATGGGAGCAAGCTCCATAGTTTAACACACACAAGTCTAACACCAGCTCCTCCCATGTTTCTTGGCTTGTGCCATTTGCTGAAACAAAGCACTCTGGGTAGGTAAAGAAGCGAATGAATACAAAACCTGACTTACGTTGGTGATCACTCAAAATTGTTGCAACAAAATAATGTGCCAACGCTCTGAAATGGTCCGATTTGACTTGAGCCAGTTTTGACCAGGAATAAGGGATGTTCTCCTTGACTGGTGCTTGACTCATTGCTGTGTTAACAAGCATGTATGTTTCTCCAACCTGAAAACAAAAGCACAAAGTCCAACTCAGACATTTTCCTTGTCATTAAAAGCTCAGTCATCTGTGGGTAATGCCAACCATTTGCGGATAGTCAATAGGGTGTGCACACCTAGGAGGATTTGTAGGCTGGAAAGGTAGAAATTAGGAAGGATTCAAAACAAAAACTGTGAACCATTGGTGTTTTCTCCACATGCACTCACCCATGTGAGTGTGGAAGCTGAATGGCTGAAGCAAGAAGAGTGACTTTAAATGAAACAGGAAAAGCAACAGTCTAAGGCCTCCTCACTGGATGAAATCTGCCGTGGACCCTGAGAAGCGCAAGCAGAGTTCCACTCAAGCTTTCTTGCCTTTTCCTTCCTGATGAGGTTTTGGGGGACCCTCAAGAGCAATGTGTGATGTTGTGTGCATGTACAGCAGCAGAAAGGAAATCCATGGGAATTGGTTAGTGCACCCCACCCCCTGGCCTAAGCAGAAATCCCTTCAGCTACTGCAGGAGCATCTCTGGATGTTGCCTGTTGGGACCAGGGAGGTCCCACCCAGCAATGCCTTAAGATCCAGGAGGGTTTGGGAGTAACAGCCACTGTGGTACTACACAATCCACTATTCTTGCTCTGAGTCAAAACTTTGCCTCTTGTCCTGCCTCCTTAAAACACCAGGTTTTGCACAGGAAACTGCTTCATGCCAGGTCCATCTGCCATGACACCTCTTCAGGGTCTCTGGCACAGGTCTTGCCCCTTGCCTGATCTTTCAACTTGTGTAGATGGGGAGGGGAGAACCCCAGGCCTGAGTGGAGTTGAAATGTGGCCCTCTGGGGCACTTTATCCAGCCTCGGGGGTTCTCCTTTGATCACGCCCCCTTCACCAGCCCTGCTCTGCACCTTCCTCAAGTGCTTTTTCTTGGCTGGAATGCATCCTGCAACTACAACAATGCCTTTTGTTTGCCTTTGATGAAGGATGGACGTGTGTGTGTCTCTCTGTGTGTAGAAACCTTTGACTTTTGCAAAGCCTGTAATGTAGACAACCATACAAAGGGAAAAGTCACACCCCTTGTTCCACCCACTTTGGCCTCTGGCCCCAACCACCACTGACATGTGCCCCCCCCCCCGAAGGTTCCCCATGAGAGAATAAGGCACTGAACTAGAGGACAGAACCAGGTATCTTCTCCATGCAAAGCATGTGCTCTGTTACTGAACCTTGAACCCACACTGTCCACATTCTCTCATTACCAGCCAGGGAGTTTTTAAAAAAAGAGGGAACAGTAGAAACTTATTTGTTTTCTAATGAATGTAAAATTTCACATTCTTAGTGTAATCTGAATTATCTTGACTATGAAAGGGCACTGTCTGAGTCCTTTATACTGTGGAATATACTGTGTAGAAACTATACATTTAAAGCACATAAGCACTTTCCATCCCTTCAAACAATTCTGGGCACTCTAGTTTCCCTCTCACAGAATTACAATTCTCCCAGCAACCCTTCACAAACTACAGTGCCCAGAATTCTTTGTGGGAAAGAAAGTGCTTTGAATGTGCTTCAAGTAATCTACCTGCTATAATGGGGGTTGCATAATTGGTAGGCAATCTTTCAGTTGCCTTAATGAGAAGAACTGTTGGCAGATGGCTAATTTAATCAACATGCACTTGTTTCTGAAGAGCTAGATTAAAATCTGGATTTAGGTCTTGCTTGCAACCATGCCACTGGAACTTAGCATTTGCAAGCCAAAGTCTGCAGAGGCAGCTTTAAGTCATGTGCTCCATGACCTTCGTTGGCCGCTGCAAACTGAGGTACTTTATTTGCTCACCAGGTTATGCAGTTTGGTCATCAAAGCCAATTTCTCTCAGGCGCAATTCATGCACTCCCTGGCAACCTTCCTCTGCCTGTTTCGAATTCTGAGGAGGAGCCTTCTTTTTCTGAGAATCCCAAGGTAGGCAGGGTGAGATTCCCAGCTGGAATGTGCATGCCCAACTCCCCCCCCCCCCCCGCTCTTTTAAAAGTTTGGCTGGCGGTAGAACAATTGTTTGCAAGTCAATTCCAGCAGTGGGAGAGATGGGAGGCAGGACCCATTCCACCTGATGGACCCCATCAGACTCCTCCTGTCCTTGAACTGTCCCCATTCCAATTCCATTTCATTATAAGAAATACTTTAAAACTTTTAAAAATTGTGCCTGAGCTTGCCTTTTCCTCTTCCCTCCCCATTTCCTCTTCCTTCTGCTTCACATCTTTTTTACATTGCAAACCTGTGGGGAAGAACTGCCTTGTTTTTAACTGACTGTATGTAATTTGCTCTGAGAGCAACTTTCCAGGAGAGTGGCTGTCTGCTTTGCATGCAGGAGGCTCCAGTTTGGTTCAAGGGAGATTCAGATAGGGGACATTCCCAGCCCTATCTGCAACCTTGGAGAGCTGCTGCCAGCCAGTGTGGACAATACTGAGTTAGATGGACCAATGTTATGACTGTATACTGTGTGTTCCTATGTTTCCATTTTAAAAAAAAGTATTCCATTCATATTGACATAAGATTATATGAAAGTTCTACAGTTATGATTCTACGATGGCTAGTTCAGACATGCCATAGTCAAATAATAAAAGCATGCCTATGTGAATAGGACCTTCACCTTGTCACCTACCTTTGCCACTTCCTGGGCCATTTTCACAAGTGTGAAAAATTCATTTTGTATTCCGGGAAGGCAAATCTGCTCAAAGTCACATTCCTGAGCCTGAGCCAACATCATCTTGACCAGCACACTCAGCATGGCAGGGCTCATGTCGTAACTTGGAGTGTGAGTAAAAGTCTCTTTTAGGTAATTTAAAACTCCTGAAATGGGGAGGGGAGGGAACAAAAAAATGTTAGTAGTGATATGATGTTTATAAGATATCTTGATTACTGGCTAACAAAATACCAAGTGTAAATTAAAGCTGTAACAATAGCTACTTCGGCTGTGTGTGTGGCGGACACACTAAAGTATTCAGGTGTGAGGAACCTTTGGCCCTCCAGCTGTTGCTGAACTACAACTCCCAGAGGCCCCAACAAGCATGGCCAATGGCCAGGGGTGATGGGAGTTGTAGTTCAGCAACAACTGGAGGGCCAAAAGTTTCCCATACCTGCATTCAGTATGCATTATCTGAAGCAGGCCAGACTTTTATCTCCAACACAGGAATCTGACAAGTGGGTGGGGCTGCCTTTGGCCTTGCAGTTTTGAAATTAAACTGCATGGGCACAAGGCCCAGAGCAGCACGTGGATGTCCTGTGGCTCACTGGCACTGACTTGGAGCCCTGAGTGGCTCTTGGAAGCCCTGGCAATCTACTGATTACTCAAAGGTTCAGGAAAGGGCAACAAAATGATCAAAAAGGTGGCGTGAGGAAAGGTTACAGCATTTGGGCTTTTTAGTTTAGAGAAAAGGTGAATTAAGAGGCGACATGATAGGAGTTTATAAAATTATGCACGGAGTGAAGAAAGTGGATAGAGAAAAAGTTTTCTCCCTCTCTCATGACACTAGAACTTGTGGACATCCCATGAAGCTGACAGGACAGATAAAAGAAAGGACTTTTTCACGCAGCGCACAGTTCAACTAAGGAACTTGCTCCCACAGGAGCTGGTGGTGACCACTGAAGTGTGGGTGGGTTTCCACAAGGCAAGACACAGTGATAACAGCAAGAACCTTGATTGAACTAACAGACAACAGGGGCAAAGCAACTGCTTGTATACATTTCTGAAGCCCTGGGCCACTCCCTCCCAATGTTGATTGGCTGTCTAAACTTCCAATCTGTGAATCATGACTAAGAGTTTAAGGGCCAATGGCAGAGGTCCAAATCCTGAAATGTTCTGTGGTTGGATATCATGTATCAAATCAGAACACAGGAGCTCAGAATCCTTAGTCCAGACTCAAGCTCAGGCAAACACAGACCACCAATGAATACATAATGGCCACCAACTTAGATCACTTATAATAATAATAATAATAATCATAATAATAATAATAGTAATTTATACCCCGCCCATCTGGCTGAGTTTCCCCAGCCACTCTGGGCGGCTCCCAATCAAGTGTTAAAAACAGTACAGCATTAAATATTAAAAACTCCCCTGAACAGGGCTGCCTTCAGATGTCTTTTGAAGATAAGATAGCTGCTTATTTCCTTCACATCTGAAGGGAGGGTGTTCCACAGGGTGGGTGCCACTACCGAGAAGGCCCTCTGTCTGGTTCTCTGTAACCTCACTTCTCGCAATGAGGGAACAGCCAGAAGGCCCTCGACGCTGGATCTCAGTGTCCGGGCTGAACGATGGGGGTGGAGATGCTCCTTTTATTTTATTTATTTTATCCTTTCATTATTTGTTTGTTTGTTTGTTTGTTTGTTTATTATTAATTGAATTTATATACCACCCTATACCTGGGGGGTCTCAGGGCGGTTTAAAGACGATTAGCCAAATTCAATGGCTACTAGCCATGATGGCTATGCTCCAACTCTAGAGACGGAGGCAGCAATGCTTTGGAATCCCAGTTGCCGGAAGCCACAGGAGGGGAAGCGGCGCTTGTGCTCAGGTCCTGCTTGCAGGCTTCCCATTGGGGCCAATGTGAGAACAGGATATTGGATTAGAAGGGCCATTGGCTTGATCCAGCAGGCGATTCTTATGTTCTTAGAGCACCACACATAGTTCTATGCACACCTCTTTTTGGCCCAACTCACTCTTTACTTGCTCCACCCCTGGCATCATATATGACATCAGTTGGGCAGGTGGGTGAGTCTTGGCCTAAACTGCCTCAAAGGCCAAATGCGGAGGCCTGGTGGACCTAATTAGGCTCATGGCCTGGAGGTTCCCCACCACAGAGTTAGACCGTGTGCACACTATGTGTTTAAAACACCTTCTTTCCCTCAAATAATTATGGGCACTGTAGTTTGGTACAGGTTTCTGTAACTGTGAGTGCCCCGAATTATTTAACGGGAAAGGATGCTTTGAATGTGCTTTAAAGGTACGGTATGCACAAAGGCCCAAGAGTGCCGGACTACTACCAAGGAGACCCAGGTTCCAATCTTATTCTGCCACGCAGCTTGCTGTGTGATTTTGGGCCAATCTCCCACTCTCACTCTGGCCTACCTCACAGGGTTGTTGTGAGGATAAAAGAGTGGCAGTGAAAAGGAACCTCGCAAGTGGTACCTGAGTTCCTTGGAGGAAATGTGGGATAAGAAGAGTTTGGATTTGATATCCCGCTTGATCACTACCCTAAGGAGTCTCAAAGCGGCTAACATTCTCCTTTCCCTTCCTCCCCCAGAACAAACACTCTGTGAGGTGAGTGGGGCTGAGAGACTTCAGAGAAGTGTGACTGGCCCAAGGTCACCCAGCAGCTGCATGTGGAGGAGCGGGGAAGCGAACCCGGTTCCCCAGATTACGAGTCCACTGCTCTTAACCACTACACCACACTTGGCAATTGACAGCAACACTGAAATGGCATGGCAGTTAGGAGAGGGACGAAAAAGAGCAGAGACATTTGAGGGTCTCAGGAGGAAGAGAAATCCCTTAGTAACTGAGCCAGGGCACTCCCTCGAGCAGAGTCTGGAGCCAAGCCAGAGCTCTGCCATAGCAGCAAGCAAGCCAAAATGAAGTTAGATGACAAACTATCCTTTTGGAAAATTAAAACAAACATTTACTGTAGTATAAGCACTAAAGTAATACTTGCATGCTGGTGTTGAAATCTAATCTCAAAAATGCACCTTACCCAACCAGTTTGTCAAGTTTCAGAAGCAAGTTTTTAATTGCCCAATATGACAGAGAATGGAGCATTGCATTATTTGGTTCTGTGAATTCCCCCATCCCCCATGCAAGGGGGTTACTGACATTATGGCGGAGCTTTTGCTAGTTTTAAATTTCCTGCTTCCATTGTCATATGAAAAGCAGTCTTGGGTGGGGCAATCTTTTATTAAATGCTCCATTTCTAATACGCTTTGCCTTAAAAGCAGCTGTAAAATTCTGGGAGCAAAGGTTCTTCTCAACTTCTCACAGAAAAAGATGTCAGCTTTAGATAAAAAAAATTGCCAGACCCCCAATTTCTTAACAGATCCACAGAAAAAAGTCCACAGCAGCTTGTCTTGGTTTAGTTCATCCTTACATCATAAGTACTTCAGCCGTGACCTTTTTTTTTTTTTGTCTCTTAAGTACATATATGTATTCACAGGGTTGTGTTTATAGACCAAAGCCATAGCAACAATCTTCCCTCTGTCCACAAAGAACTATGTGTACAGTTATGAATGATAACGCATTGTGCACAATGCTGTGTGGTCACGCCCCACAGGTACAATGAAAAGCATTTTGCTGGAAAGGCAAACTGAAACACATCTTTGAAGCAGACAGATTTAGGCTGGGTGCCCATCTCAGAATAATCTCAGCTGGGCCTGTGTGTAGTTTTGATTGTGTTCAAGGGTGGGGGAGGCAGAATCCTGCTCCATCGGAGAAAAACAGATTCTCTGCCGAGTACAAATTATCCAAATTAGACAAACACGAGTGGGACCTGCAACAAAATGTTGCAGTGTGTAGCTTGCAGCTGCTGTTCAGAGATTAAGCCATTCCAATTCATTCCATTCCTCCCCCTGCCAACCAGCCAGGATTCCATGATCACAGATAGCACTTAGTCCTTGTTGGGCTATACTTAGAGGTGTCGGTCACCCCTCCCAAAAAAACCCCCACAACTTTTTGGGACTTCTGAAAATCTTGGCTTTCTCCCAAGTCTTTTGATATTTCCCTCTTGTGCACAGATGGTACAATTGTGGAAAATTGTCCTGCCAGGCTTAGCTAGGTCACAGCCCCTCGCCTTGGGAGGAAGGGCTACCAACCCCTTTGGGTCCTTTTTCTTCCACCATGTGAACCCAAACAGTACAGATGTCTAAGCTGGATGCTTGAAGCTTAGACCGCATGGCTTTAGCAAGCCATCTTTGTATTTCTATACTATACAAGTAATATAGAAAGTCTTATCATTTTGTAAGTTAAACTGCCTGTTTTTTCTTGCTGCTGTATGTAAAAGCACATGAATCTGACCTTTGAATAATTTGTAAGTAAACCATTTTTAACTTACCAAATGTATGGTCTCTTTCTATGCTAAGAGAAGTGGGTAACTTTGGAAGCAACTTAGAAGGGAATATTTTAAAGGTCTAACAGCCTATATTTCCACTCTTCTTTTGCTGCATGTTTTGTGATTTTAAAATCTCTTCTGGGACTCTCTCACCAAAGAGTACTTGTCCCAAACCTGGATCTGGGCATCCAGGGAATACTCCGTGTATTTCTACATATTCTATTTTTCCCTTTAACTAAACCAAATTAAAACCAGCAAAAGTAAACCTTAGGGCACAGAAAATGCCCTCAGTCTCCTGTGACCACCACTGCAAGGAAATACAAACCAAGATATGTGCTGGGTTCCCTGAAATGACTCACCCATCTGAGATTGATGTGCACAATACAGGAAGCCATTGCACTTAGGGTGGGGATAATTTAAAGTGTGGATCATTGGAGACACAGGAAGCCGCCTTATACCAAATCAGACCCTCGGTCTCTCCAGCTTAGTACTACAGTGACTGGCAGCAGCTCCCTATGGTTTTAGCCAGACTTTCCTAGCTCTACCTGAAGATGCTGCCAGGGACTGAACCTAGGACCTTCTGCATGCAAAACAAGGGCTCTGCCACCAAGCTACAGACAGCCCTTCCTTTGGAGTATAAACTGCAATAAATTATATACCAGCCAGTGCAATTCCTACCTTAGGGAAGGAGAGGAGAAAGACTTATGAGACTTAAAAAGCTGTTAATAATGGACCACAGTCTAAGGCCTTGAAACTACATCTCATTAATTGTTAACCATAATATTCACTTTGGGTTGCATCCAAAGTTAGAAAGGAAACCCATGAAAATGGCTGAGTATAACTAACACTGTCACTTCATTTCAGTGGGTATACTCCTGAATAAAACTTAGACTGCATACACACCACGCGTTTAAAGCGCGTGCACACACACACACAAAATACTGGGAATTGTAGTTTACCCCTCACAGAGCTACGATTCCTAGGGTTTGGGGGGGGCTGGGGTTATCAATATATGCTGTGTATGTAGCTTAAATCGATACAACCCTTAGTCTCAACTAAATGAGTTATTTGGGCAGTTTCATATTTAATGGGACTAAACTTGAAAAGTGAATCTCTTAATACTTATTATTTTAAGCGTGTGTCCCTCTCATGCTAAAAACCCGTTTAATCTCTGGGTTTCTTTTGAGGGCAAATACGTTGAAATTAAATGAAGGCTGTGTACACACTATATCTTTTAAGGTACATTTGAAGCACATTCTTTCCCTCAAAGAATTCTGGGCACTGTCATTGGTTAAGAACTGCTGAGAATTGTAGCTCTGGGAGGATGAACTACAGTGCTCAGAAATCTCTATGGGAAAGAACACGCTTTGGATGTGCCTGAAAGGTACGGTGTGTACACACAAGCTCATGTGAAACGTGTAAGGTTCTATGCATGCAAAAGAGAAGCAACTGGATCAAGCAACTATCCAAAGGTGTTTAGAGAACAAACATACAACTTTCCCCTACCTGCTGCTTTCTGAAAGGCTTCAATGGCCTTTTGAAGCCCAGCCTGTGTCTGCTGATGGCACCTTGTGCCAATCTGGGTGTAGAGGGCTCCGATGTTGAACAGAATACTAGCTTTTTCCAGCAACAGGTTCTTCTGGCAGACAGGAACACCAGTGAAAGAGTCATACCTTCAGCAAGAACAGAAACAAAACCTAATATGTATGTAATTAAGAAGGGTGGTGTGGTGGTGGTGAGGGGATTAGGACAAAGAATAGACAATTTTAAGACCCACTCCCAAACCTCTTAACTACAGTTAAGCATCTGACAAGCATTACATTTGCACCAGCTCATTGATGGGCTCTTTTTTACTTTGACGAAGAGTCAACAATGCTCATAATCCAGGACACGTAACACACATTAATTGCTGAGCTTTGTCAACTAGAAAGCACATTTCTTCTTGCTGTCTTAAAAGCAGCACACCCCTTCCTTGCAACGCTTGACTGGATCGCTAAAGAGCTTTTTTGGTCAAATGGGAGGCTTTGCATTTTGCCTCCAGAAACACAGGGCTGCAATCCGCCAGATCAAATTTCAAACCCACTATGCAAAGCTGTGCTCCCAATGCATTAGAACCAACACTAACAACATTCTAAATGGAACTTACCAGGTAAATAAAATCCCCAGGTGTCTGCTTGGCGAAAAAAATCTATTCTCTACGAAGCCGAGCTGAACAAAATAGCTCATCAACATCTCAACTCCCGATTCATCTCTGCTGGGGGTACGGCAGGCCTTAGAATACAAACATACATTCACCATGGTATGTCATCAACATGTGCCATGTAAATGGATTTTACACCATCACATTAGTACAGAGTTCTGAACACATTTTCATAGGCCGCAGCTCACTTTGTCATGCCCAAAGTGGCTGCTTAAATGATTGGGAGTACACTTACAAAAGTGAAGGCAAATGAAAACAAAGCATGGCTACACTGTTAGACAGTGTACAAATGAACACAAGATCCAGGCAGTGGGGGTATCCAAATTCCAATTATTCACTAGGAATAAACTAATGGATAGCAAGCAAACACCTAAAATATGGCAATTACTTTTTTGGAGTGAGCTCATTTCTCCCTGCATCTAGAGAATCATAGAGGTGGAAGGGACCCCAAGGATCATCTACTCCAACCCCTGCAATGCAGGAATTACAGCTACTATCTCCATAGTTTATACAGGTACAGGGGGTTTTTTGGGAGGGTCTAGTTCAAGTTCCTATGTGGCCAATGTTTCTTTGGGAAGATGCCTAGGGCCAGTATTGCATCTAAATCATTTTTTTAAAAGTTCTTATCTACAGTTAAAAAACCAAAAAACCAACCACACCTGAAATCCAAGTCCATTTTCTAAATAGGCTTAACTTACTTGTCTTAAGTCCATAAGATCAGCAATTTCATTTTCGTATTCAGAACCTTCTTCACTGTAGTGTTCCAGAATAAAGTCCTGGAAATGATAAAGGAGACATGGTACAGTTCAAATCCTGAATTTCTTCACCATGACTGTGCAAGTATTTTAAAAAACTTTGACAATGCTATCAATAAGTAATGAAGAGCTCACCTGATCATGTAGCCCTGAACTGACATGTGCATTTGCCAAAAAGGAACTAACCTTAAGCAAGTAGAGTCCTTGACTCTGTATCAAGCCTAAATCCTCACCTAATTTTTAGAAAAGCTCCAAGCCTTGAGGGCTGGTTTATAACACTGAAGCTTGGCCATTGAATGAGATTTGTTTAGCATCTCTTAGTAAAGACAACCTTCATCCCCACAGCACATTCTAAGAGACAAAACACCCAGAGAAGCTCATGTCACACACTGAAAATTGAAATTGCTGCTTAAAGGCTATGACCACCACTATGCAAAAGATGACCCAGTTTCCAATTTTGTATTTGTCAACAACAATTAGAAGTATGTGAAGTATGCGACTAGACAGTATGCACACCTGGGGTGGAGGAAATGGACCGAGAATTTTTCTCTCTCTTCTGTCACACTAGAATTTTGAGTCATCCAGCAAAATCAACACCACAAAATTAATTAGCAGAACTGACTGCCACAAGGCATGATGATGTCTGTTAGCTTTGCATGAACACAGGAATGATCAAACTGAATGGAACGAGGGGGCACATACAAATCCGGTTCCCCTCTCCAGTATAGAACCTTCACATTTAAAAGCAGTCTACCCTTGAACAGCAGTTGCTGAGGAGCAACATCAGGTCTGTGTTTTGACCTTGAAGACCTGCTTGTTGGCTTTCCAGATGCATGTGGCTGGTCACTATGAGGAAAAGGATGGTCTGATCTAGCAAGACTCTTCTTACACTCTTGGGTATTCTAGAAATTGCTTCACGTCCACTTTGCTCCTCTGAGATTAAAAGGCTGACTATTCACAACCAGCCAGGTTAAAAGGGAGCAAACTCAACTTCAAACCTTAGAAATGTTTGCTGGGAAGTTTGCTGTTGCCTAATTCTGCCATTTCTTTGCCCTCTGGCAAAGACAGGGTTTCCTGCACACACATCTGTTTCATAATCCCATTCAGGGCACAAGAATACTATTGAGAATGGACTATGCATTTTAAAATGAAAGGGGGCAGGGGGTAAATTAGCAGAATAAACCTAGATGTGCACAGCATTGTGGGAGGGTGGGTTCATTTGGAGGGAGAGAGAATGGCCATGGAGAGGGGCGGAGAACCTGATTTCATTCATGCTGTAAATATTTGCCCAGCTCCCTAGTGCCCCAGACAGAATCTTGATAAGTCTTTCTCTGTCCTTCTCTGTCTCTCTTTCCTGTTTCAAAAGTGGGGTTGTTTATGTGATTAATTTACTGCACAGAAGCAGCAACAGCACTTGAAACAAAGTCTATTAAAAGTCACAACTGCCTGCCTGAGCCAAAGCCTGCTCTCCATTCAGATTTCTGTGGAGATTTATTTGGTGTTTTACTCGTATCAAGAAAATTTAAAACCAGAGCTCTTCAGTCTTGTGTGTGATTGGCTCATAAGAAGGCATGTGGGAATTACTTTGGGCAGACAGGGAATTTTTATACCACCAATTCAGTGGAGCAAAGCAATACACACACATAAAAGCAGATCAGGAGATCAGTCTAGGAAAGAGAACCATAAAACCTCACAACAATCTTGCAGTAAAGCCAGTAAAACCTGTCTACCACTCGCTAAAAACTACAGGCCAACAAACCAGCCTTGGTCAACTCAGAACTCTGGGGCCCTTATCTAGGTTATTACACTGCAGGGGTACCAATGGCCTCCAACATGTTACACTCACTGCCCTAACCCCAACCTCATAGTGGCTGCATTCAGATTTCAGCACCTGCAGTCCCTTCATTCCTACCTTTGCATGATCCTGGCAAACAGGCTTCTGCCAAGAAGTCTTCCATTAAATGTCACCCAAACCAACAAATTAAGGGCTTTGAAACAAGTCAGGATATTAAGGCTACTTTAAACCATAGCTTAGCACCCTGGCTCATCCCAAAGCTGTTAACTACAATTTTGGACACAATGGGTTGTAACCAATTGCACTAGCAAAATGAGTCCTCCCCCTGTGTGTGCCTTCCATCATCACCAGATCTGCTCCAGATAGTTGGGGGAAGCCCCAGAACAGATTTACAGAGGACATACAGGGGGAAGAGAGGGGTAGATTGCTCCATTGTGCATGGAGAAGTCCTCTCACTAATGGAACAATCTGCTTAATGCTACATTGATAGCAACCCATTGAAATTAATGGACCCAAGTTAGTATTGTGCAAATAACATTGGATATCACCCAGTGGCAAACTATAGTTCATGGATGATGTCTGGGTTTACCGGATTGTGCAATGGAACTGATTGTGCAGCCAAAAGGGTTTTCTATAGTTCAGCTTAATGAAGCAAAATAGGTAAAAGGTAAAGGTACCCCTGCCCGTACGGGCCAGTCGTGACCGACTCTAGGGTTGCGCGCTCATCTTGCTCAAGAGGCCGGGAGCCGGCGCCATCCGAAGACACTTCCGGGTCACGTGGCCAGCGTGACGAAGCTGCTCTGGCGAGCCAGCACCAGCGCAGCACACGGAAACGCCGTTTACCTTCCCCCTATAAAGCGGTACCTATTTATCTACTTGCACTTAGGGGTGCTTTCGAACTGCTAGGTGGGCAGGAGCTGAGACCAAACGACGGGAGCTCACCCCGCCACGGGGATTTGAACCGCTGACCTTACGATGCAAAATAGGATTGTCTGAATATGACCATTGACCCAAGTCCCATTCCTCATGCTGCTTTCATTTACTCTGCAACAGCCAGGCTTGAGCTGTTTTAAAAACCAAGGAAGTGGTTTGTTCTTTCACATAAATATATCTTCAAATAGCACAAGTGCCTACAATCTGTTATCAGCTGCCTAAAATGAGCCTCCCCAGTCGGGGGACTGGCAGGCTGTGCATTATGTGGTGTATTAATGCTCATGCATGTGGACTTGCACATCTCTGCAGGAGAGTAAATCCAGCATCTCACAGTAACATTTGATAAAGGTAGGGAAGGCCCCTATGGGCAAAAATGGGCAAAACATCTCTCCATATTCCCAAAGAAATGGCTCTTCGCTAGTGCCTCCACCACAATCTCTGGACACAATGGGACTAGCACAGTGTGCAATTTTAATGTTATGACAGCATGAATGAGACATTATTGTTTTTCTCAAAAGACAAGGTAATGCCTGGCCCATAATTGTAATCTGCTCTTGGAATTTAAAGCATGCAACTTTTTTTTTTAAAAAAATCTCTTAACCATAAGAGCTAGAAATAATCTAGGTGGAAGTGATAAATTTACAAGATTTTTTTTAACAATGAAACCCTGAGATTCACTGTCGAATCAAGGTTTTTATTGTGAACCTAAACCAACTTTTCTGACTTGTAAATCTCTCTTGAAGCATTTCCCTGGAGAGCAAATTAAGTCATAATGAGAATTTGAATTTGTCTTATCACCCCAACATCTGCAGTGTATACTTTTTCCTGCCGGTGTAAAATATTGCTATTAAAAGTTGCTTAGTAGAAACGCTACCTTCAAAGGAACTGCGAAGTCAACCTCTTTGGTCTCTTTCAAGCCAAGTGGTATCAGAGGAATGCTAAAAGCTTCCCTGTGTTAAAAAAAAAAGAAGAAGATTAAGATCAAATTTCCCCTCCCCCAACTTTTCAAAAACCGCAAATTGATGTAGGAAAGTGGTTGTTCTGTGAACCTCTATATAGTACCCATAAGTGTAGACTAGCTTGTTTGACACCTACACCCCAATAGGCTCAATTGCATCATTTTAAAAGCAAGCAAACCAAAAAGTGGTTTGCAAACTCTTCCTTCACCCTCGCAACAAACTGCTTCAGTGGGCAGTGATCCTTTCCATTTCAAAGAAGAGGAAGTGGAGATGAAAGTTGAAGTGACTTGCCCAAGGCCATGCAATGAGTTAAACATAGGCAGACATTCATAGGCAGACCTCTCTTAAGATTGACCTCCTGGTTCAGGGGTTGCTCACCTTTTATAAGCCTGAGACCACACTTACAAAATGGGGAAACTGCTGTGGGCACCACCCACTCCATGCCACCAAGCACACATGCCACTCAGCCTATTCTAATGGTGAACAGAACACTTCTTTCAAAGCCTAGTTTCAGCAAGGAAAGGGCTGAAACTGGCAGGCACCTAGTAAGGCCTCTATGGACACCCATGGGTGTATGTGTGTCACCAGTTCTGTTGTTGTCACCAACTCAGCTCCTGAATCCGATTGCGGGGGGTGGGGGGGCAGCGTTTCAAGGGAGGGTGAGCCAGCTAGAGCCAGCACTGACACTGACAAGGGAGAAGGGCGACTCCATCATTCTGTGATGATTTCAATTGCCATCAAGCCAGCTCTGCCTGAGAGAAGGACTGTGAGGCAGGAGCTGCCATATTCTCCCAGTCTGGACATTGTTACCAGCTCCACTCCTGAATCTGATCTGGGAAGAGAGCTTCAGGGAGGGCGGGGGGGCTGCTCTTTATCAAGAGATAAAGCCACTGGCTGGAGATTGCTTCTTCTGCCTCCCTTTCCTCATGGAGGAGAGGGCTCTTTGTGGCTACTATCCATGATGGCTATTGCTCTGCCTCCACAGTTGGAGGCAGCAAGGCTTCTGAATGCTGGTTGCTGGAAACCACAGAAGGGGAGAGGGCTCTTGTGCTCAGGTCCTGCTTGCTGGTTTTCCACAGGCAACTGTTTGGCCCCCGTGGGAACAGGATGCTGAACTAGATGGGCCATTGGCCTGATCCAGCAGGCTCTCATGCTCTTATGTGTGCCATGGCTTTCTAGATTGTGAGGACAGGAACCATCTTAACACCGTTTTTTGTAAGCCACTCAAACAGCCTTTTTGGTTAAAGTATGGAGTATAAATGCTGCAAATACAATACAATACAATACAATACAATACAATACAAATGTGTTGTTCAACTCTAGCATAGGGAAGGGCTCTGTGAAAGAGGGTAGGCCTTCTTTTAAATACAACCCCTCAACATTTTCACATAAAAAAAATGCAAGTCCGCCAAAGTAGTTTAAGGCTCCCTTCCTCCCAGCCTTCTTTCTCCTCATCACGGATGTACAAATAAACAACCTGATGCAGAACGGGTTACAAAACCAGTCATTGTTATTCAGAGGCATACCACTCTCAGAGAAAAAAGAAAGGGAGGGGGGAACCACATGAAATCAAAACCAAATCCCTGGCATTAACCACGACATTAAAACGAACCCTTTGCTTGTTGATTTGAAGCATTCCCCTCTGATCCATCTTTATTAAGTTTGCCATGTTTGTGCACAAATTTCCATGGGCACCTGTGTTCCTGCCAGCTCTAGGATGAATGCAGGGTGGAATTCAATCTCTCATTGTGACCCTTTGAAATGCCAACCTCATGTTGGGAGAAATAATAAACTTCTCAATTTTGACTGGCAGCACACACAACCTTTTGCAAAATGTCCCTTAAATCTATGCTAAAGTGTGGGCTGTTAAGATCAATCAAGCAAAGCAACAGCAGCAACAAAAGCATGGGGGGTGCAGAACAGAGCTACAGTATATTGTCTTTAAAAAGCAGGCTGGGATATATGTTTGTGACAGTGCTGACAATGGGCTTGAAGTTTAAGAGAAGTTAAAGTGTATACCCCTGAGAGGAATATTTATTTATTTATTTATTTATTTCGGCGAGAAAGAAATTATTAAATGAGAGGGACAAATAACTATGAAAAGGAAAAGAACAGCGAAGCCTGGCTTTAAATGTTTCGCTGCAAATCAGCGCCCCACGTTGCCTGCTGGCTTTGTGCAGTTTAATACCAAGAGGAGAAGTTAGTTCTGGCCTTCTCTGCCACTCCCCATTCAAGCCAGCTCTTCGAAGGCATTTCTGAGGATTAGGGATCAGAATTAATTGCTTTTAATACCTTTCCCAAGGAGGAAGGTAAATACCCGCTGTAATCTCCTCAGTCAACAGCCAGACCAAACTGAATATTTTCGCCTCTCTCCTTTGCACCTTTGTTCTCTGCATTCCCCGCCCCCCCCGACAAATATTTGTTTTTGTGTGTGTGTTTTTCATTCACAGGTAGCATACTTGTCTGGGGAACAATACTACAATAGCTCCTCCCCCACTCACTCTGTGTTCTGGTAAACCTCAACAGAGATGTTGAGTCCTTCCAGCTCCTCCTTAAGGATCTGCAGGTCTGAGTTGACGAAGCTGAGTTCCAGTAGCACCTGCTCCCGTACCTTGTTGCTGGTTGTCGCCCTGCCAGGAAGAAAAAGGCACACACAAACGTCAGAACATCAGAAGAGCCAGCTGGATCAGGCCAGTGGCCCACACAGTCCATCATCCTGTTCTCACAGAGGACAACCAGATGCCCCAAAGGGAAGCAGGACCCGGACGCAAGAGCACTTTCCCCTCCTGTGGCTTCCTGCAACTGGTATTCAAAAGCATTGCTACATCCTATTGTGGAGGAAGTGCTTAGCCATTGTTGATAGCCTTAACCTCCCTCAGTGAATGTGTCCAATCCTCTTTTAAAGCCATCTAGGCTGGTGACCATCATTGCCTCCCGTGGGAGCTAGTTACATAGTTTAACTATGCGCTGCACCTTTGAGAACGCTTTTGAGGACAGCCTCTTTATTGTATAATGGGCCTCACCTGCATTCTCTACATTTCTGAGATTTCCCCCTTAAGAACAGACATGAAAAAAAACCTCTGGTTTCAGAACTGATATGGCCCACTGCCAAACGAAAAGAATGTGGAATGGCTTTCAAGACAATATTCGTGCCACAGATACTATTGTTATGACTGTTAAGCCAATGAAGACAAACAAAGCAATAGGCCTGCCTAACAATTCCACTGCAGTTTTGAATGGCAATGGTTTCCATTGACCCACAGCACTGTAGCCAAGGCCCACAAATACAGTTGACAGGTCGCCAAGTGTTGGTGAGTGGCAGAGAGAACTTACAATTTATCCCTCACTTTTTCTTTTTTTTTGAAGCTGTCGCTTAGGGTTTGCCCAAGACATTTTGCTACCTGAGGTAAAAAGGTCAAGATAGTAGCCGCCCACACAACTCTACCCGAACAGCTGTTGAACCCTGGTGACAGGACTGTATCCTTCACTGAATGTGAGGGCAGCAGGCTAGAGTTTAGAGAGTACAGGGCAAGCCATACAGGACAAACAGCTTAGCCCTCCATTGGAATGAAATGGTCAGGGGGGCCCAGGAAGAGCAGCTCTCTGCTGTCCCTGCCCTCCCACCTGGGGCAGCTGCTTCATTCTCTAAAGATAGGGCCTTAGTGAAAGGTTTGCTTCTTTCAAAATGGTGGCAGGCTGGGCTTTGTGCAGGGACACAGCATGGAACAGAGGAGTTGCTACCAACAAAGGTTGCACACCCATCATACTTTAAAGCACATTTCACCGCTCAAATAATTCCAGGCATTGTAGTTTGTTAAGGGTTGCTGCAAATTTAACTCTGTGAGGGGTAAGCTACAATGACCAGAATTCTTTGGGGGGTGTGCTTTGAATGTGCTTGAAAGGCATAGCATGTACACAGCCAAACTCCTCACCTTCTCCAAGGAGGACGAGCTCATATTTTTGCTATGGTTTCAGCTTCAAAACTCTAGATACAGTGGTGCCCGCAAGACGAATGCCTCGCAAGACGAAAAACTCGCTAGACGAAAGGGTTTTGCGTTTTTTGAGCTGCTTCGCAAGACGAATTTCCCTATGGGCTTGCTTCGCAAGACGAAAACGTCTTGCAAGTTTGTTTCCCTTGTCTTAAAACCGTTACAGTAATACAGGGTGCGTTGCTTGAAGAGGTGCAGTTGCGACTTGACTTCGAGGAGCAACTCATAGCACGCGGTGTGGTAGCCTTTTTGAGGTTTTTGAAGACTTTGGTGATTTTTGAAGCTTTTCCAAAACTTATTTTGCAGCCATTTGGTAAGTTAAACTTTTAAAACTTTTTTGGGGGGTTTTGGATTTTGGGTTGGGGTGTTTGGAATTCAAGGACTTGGTGTTGGGGAGGGGTTTGCAAGAATCTGGAAGCTTGTGTGGTTTTTTCTGAATTTTTATGATTTTCTGTGACCATTGGGCCACTCTGCTGTTTTTTTTTAAAAAAAACTGGATTTGAATTTCTGTGTGGTGGGTGGCTGGGGGAACAGTTGAGGAGGGGTTTGCAAGAATCTGGAAGCTTGTGTGGTTTTTTCCTGCATTTTTATGATTTTCTGTGACCATTGGGCCACTCTGCTGTTTTTTAAAAAAAATTCTGGATTTGAATTTCTGTGTGCTGGGTGGCTGGGGGAACAGTTGAGGAGGTGGTTCTTCAGCAAGAAGCAAAGAGTGGAAGAGGAACCTTCTTCGAGTTGTCCCCCAGAGTCTTAGAAAATGTACTGTACACTTTGTTGATTTTAAAATGTTTTTCTGTCATGTTTAGAAACTTAATTTATTGTTCCTTCAATTTTTGAAATGCTCTTTACAGTATGTGTGACTTTAAAGAGCACTTAATAAACTCTTGTTGTACCAAATTTGGCTTTGTTTGGACTTTTTTGACCATAGGAACGCATTAATTGAATTTCAATGCATTCCTATGGGATTTCATGCTTCGCAAGACGAAAAATTCGCTAGACGAAAAAACTCACGGAACGAATTAATTTCGTCTTCCAAGGCACCACTGTACCTTTTAATAAAAGGGAGTCATTTTAATAGCTACATTTTGTCCAGGCTTTTGATGGACTATGACAATGCTGCTTTTGCTGCTCGTGCGTAGTCAAAGCTTTCCAAGGTTGTCTGGGGAAAGGACTGTTTTGCATACAGTGGTACCTCGCAAGACGAATGCCTCGCAAGACGAAAAACTCGCAAGACGAAAGAGTTTTTCGTTTTTTGAGTTGCTTCGCAAGACGAATTTCCCTATGGGCTTGCTTTGCAAGACGAAAACGTCTTGCAAGTTTGTTTCCTTTTGGATTTTCAATGCATTCCTATGGGAAACCGTGCTTCGCAAGACGAAAAATTTGCAAGACGAGAAAACTCGCAGAACGAATTAATTTCGTCTTGCAAGGCACCACTGTATTTTAAATTAATTGCATAGGTTTTTGTATGAATGTGTCAACATTATAATGTATTTTATGAATGCTTACGTTAAAATGTGCTGCAAGTTCTTTGGAAATTGCTGAGTAACAAGCAACAAACAAGGCTAACAAACACCAACAGCAAATGCACAGCTTTCAGATGTCTGCTTGGATCCCAAGTTAACTTAAGAAAGTTTGGGGAAGGAATGTCTCCCCACCCCACTTCTGTGCCACTTTGTTTGGGATGGTCCCTGTGCCTGATCCCACTTTGCTCAGCAAATGAGGGCCCCCAAACCTCCAGTCAGGTTGCATGAAGAAGGAACGGACGAGAAACCCTAACCCTTCTGTAAACTTTCTTAAGTTACCTTATCTTAGAACCCAAGCCATTATATTTATGAAATGAATTGTTTGAAATATTGAAATCATATTGTGTATTGAGCTATCCTAGCTGCTCCCTACCGCTGAAAAAATATTTTTATTCAATGAATTATTATGGCATCAAAAGATAGTTATGAAATTATCTATTATTGTGTTTGTTAGAAATGCTGACATTGTATCTGTTTAAGATTGCTTTTTCATTATTTCTGTTATGCAGTTTGGAGTAAACACTGAGTGAGTTGTTTTAAATGGAAAGGCAGTACATAAATAAATGTGATTTCTTTTAAACAAAATAAAACATGTGTAAAGAAAAGCAAGGGAGAGCTTTTAGAGCAGACAGATTTCCTATAGATGAAAGTCTAAAAATACTACATTGAGTCTACATGCAGGATTATTCCCAGCTACAATTTCTTCCGTGAAATGTTGGGAGTCACTGGGCAGCTGGCTGGGAATCAGAGGCTGTTCCTGTTGGATAGAACAAAGGCTGCATTCTGGGGCTGTGGGCAGAGGGAGGAGGGAAGTCGTGGGAACATACCGGAGGAGGTTTTCAGCGCCAGCTCTCATCCTCACCGCCTTCAGTATCTGCTGGTTGAGGACTGCTCTTTGGTTCTGCAGTTTGCTCCGTCCAGTTTCTGCAAGAGGGTTGCATCCCTGGATTACAGAAGCACACATCATTTATCAAAAGTGGGTGAGCAAAGAACTAAAGAATGAATGGACACCTCCCTAAGCAGATAACGCTGATCTCCACATTTTTCAATTAAAAAAAACCCCATATATGTCATCCAAAACAGTGTTTCCCAATCCTCTTGCTAAAGAGGAAGCAAAGGGGAGTTGCATCTTTGACCCAAGCCAAGATCTCTCTACAGCCTTTGCCAATAGCTTCGGTCCTTTATAAATATTCTACAAATACTTCTGTGACTCCAAGCATGCCTCACACAGTAACAAGTGGAGCCTGCAACAAAATGCTGCAGCGTGTGGTGCTTGTGATCAGGACGCTCCATTCTATCATCTTGCCCTCCTGGCTTTCTTTTTCCAAACCCTCCAACAGTCAGCCCTCACTGAGCTGTTTGGGGTTTCTATCCCCCCCCCTTAGAAGTTGTTTTTTCCACAGATTTATTTCATATCTCTGCAAACCTTGGGGTACCTACGAGTCTGCTGATATTTCTTTCTTGGGTGATGCTAAAGAAGGCTCTGCCCCCAGTCCCTGCCAACCATGCCCGTCTAGGCAATAGAATACATTGGAAAAGGAAGGCAGCTGGTGGGCAGCTTCAAGCAATAGGAGGTCATTAGTATTAATATTATTAAGATTTATATCCCACCCTTCATCCCAAAAGTTTTCAGAACAATGAGCAACAATCTATTTAAATAAAACAAAATACTAGCAAATATAAATTTGAAATCTCTTTCCAGTACTGGCTTTCCAGATGGCTGAAAACACGGCTGTGTATATGAGAGCTTCATAAGGACTTACAGTAAGGGGTGTGTTTTCCTTCAACGTTCAATTACAAAATATTGATTAGATTAAAAAGAAAAGTCTTGCTTGCATTCCTGGTGCAATCTCACAAAGAAAACCAGAAGGCATTCCACTTCTGCTATATTGATAAAGTGTTTTCATTTTTGTGATCAAAATCCTCTTACAGGTGGATAAGAAGTTCAAATATTATTATGACTGCAGAACAAAGTTAAAAGGGTTTGTTTAAGAGCAAACCCAGTCATGGGAACAAGGCCTCGAGACCAAGAAAAGGCTGGTATCTTAGGCTTGTTTCAAGTTTTAGGGGCCTTGTTTGAGAGGACCCATAGCAAAAGTCCTCCAGCAAGGCCCCACATATGGGCTTACAACTGTGAGTCTAACCTGGCAGCATCAGACAAACAGTTTAATTTCCCATAAAGCCTCAGAGTGACACTACATTGCAGATATTGCGAGAAAGATTGGCTGAGGACTGTCCTGTTGGAACTCCCGAAACAGGTAGAGGTTTAGCAAGAATCATTCCTGCCTTCCTTGAGATGTCTCCTAAAAATGTTCTTATTCAATGAGACCTTTGCAATGTTGATTTCTTCTTACCAGCTAGTATTATGTTGTTACTGGTGTTTTATTATCATTTTGTATGCTTGTATTTTTTTATGAAAGTGCAGCTTATAAATATTTACATAAAAATAATATTGTCTAGAGTGGATGGGCAACCCTGTATCGTGGTGGGTCTGCTTCCTTTCCGCAGAGCTGGAGTTAGCTGAAATTAGTAACACCCATGATATACTATTAGCTATAGTGTTTCAGAAAAAAATGGACATTTCTTTGAGCTAGGATAACCTGGCTACCAGCATTGCACAGGATTGTTGCTTAAACTGCAGTTTCTTGGATTAGTACCTAGGATAACTCTCTCACAAGACCGGTGGGTTGCTTAGGCACCTTGTCTCCATAACTTGTTCAGGATTCAAAGTCTTAAGTCTAAATCATGTCTTTGTTTAACCCAATGACAGAATAATTGCCTAATCACCAACACTTCCTGCAACAGTTTTTTCTCCAGGAAACACAGTGTTTTAAACCTCTACATGAAGTCCAATTTCAGCAAATGCTGGTGCTCTTGGAAGAAACATATATCATAGGCGCTGAGACTAAAAGCATCACCTGATGTTCTTCATTCATTAATGGGACTAATTCATTCTGTGATGTTGATGAAGTCTGAAAAGCACACCCACCAAGACTGCAAAGAGAAATACATGAGCCAGGGGCTCATCGTGGCTCATTCTCATGACATGAAACTATGGCTCTTCCATTGCTAAATCTCAAGTCTGTATTTATTTACTCTAACAGAATGCCCTGCACTATTCTCAAAACCAGTAAGATGTTTGGTCATTTAGTTGCCTGCCAGTTCAAACTGAGCTTCACCAGCACAGGAACCTTAAAGTTCACATGCGTGTGTATGCACACATTAGACACACAGATACATCCATGCCCTTAATTCAAAGAGGTGGATCCAGACTTAGTCTTGGATTGGATATAACACAGAGATGTTAACTTCCACAGACCTGAAGCATGTCAAATGTCGTAACTCACACTAACTGAATCTCAATAAGATGTCCCCTAAAGGGGAGGGGGGAACAGGAGCAGAGTTTTCCCAGGGACATGTTCATGAAAACAGGGGCTGTCCCTGACCAATAGGGACGGTTGGAGTATGTATGCAAATTGGCCCAAAAACTTGCATAATCATCTCTAGGAAGCTTCATGTTTGCCAAACTGCCTGAACAACATGTCACCGTGAATTAATCTCTTGTTACTGATGAGCTTTGCTCTCTGAAACCAAGTACAAGGGAGAGGGGATATGCAAAATCTGTGGGCCTGCTTGAGGCACTCCTTCCAGGGGGGAAATCTCAGCCCAATAAAAATCTCAAGTTTACATGCTCAGGCCTTGCCCTGTAGGGAGAAAAGAAATTTGAATCCAAGCTCTGCTGCACATATTTCAACATAGGTAATGGAGCACAGCTCACTGGCAGAGCACACACTTTCCCAAGTGAATCCCCAACATCTCTAGCCAAAGAAGGATCAGGGTGAGCAGGGCTAGCCCTACCATGAACAATGTGAAGCTACATGGCTCAGGCAGCAGACTGGGAGGCACAGCGGTTTGTGTTCCCCCATCCCTCCAGTGACAAATCATTGTATGCCACTGCTGCCTACCCAGCTCAACTGTCTGCTAGCTGCAAAGCAAAGTAGTGATGTGGGCGCTCCAGGTCTTGCTTAGCACCTGTGCCAGTTTTCTGTAATAGCAGCAAACTACTATTTAACATTATCTGAAAAGGGGGATGGGGGAAGCAGCTTGCCACCATCACGGTGATGGCACCAGAACTTTCCTGGTGACCTTGCCCGCAATGCCTCAGAGGAAAGGGTAATCAGAGTTTAATCACTAGGTGGCACTGGGCTTAGATGCATCTGGGCGGAGTAAGGATCTCCCTGTGTCTATAGTCCTCTAGATGTTGCGGAACAACAACCACCACCACCATATATGACCATTTGCCAGGCTGCCTGGCACTGAGAGGCACTGGCCTTCCAACAATACCTGGAGGGCCACAGATTCCTCAACCCTGATGTAGATCCCACATTTATTGTAGGAATGGATATATACTGGAATTCTAGCAGCCCAAAATACTTAAAAGCTGTCCTTAAGATTCTTATTCTGCAAACAGGGGCAGGAGGGAAGAGTCTGGCTGTTGTGCAACTGATTTCACCTGGGGAGAGAGAGAGACATAAACCGCCAGTATTCACGTATTTATTTCTCAAGTGTACAGATTGCTTCATAGCTGGGGCTCTCAGAAGTTAGCAATAAGCTGACCCTGCTTAGGCAATATCCCACTCTTAACTGCCTAATGTGGTAATTGATAGTGCTGCTAGCAAATCTGGAAAAGCAAAAGATGTAACACCTTGTACTTGCACAAAACAGAAGCCAGATATACCCATCCACTTCCACACAGACTCTCCATTAAACACTGACAGTGTTGGATTTCAAAATTGGAAGCTGCAGTTGTGACATCATTAACAAAGCTCTGATTGCCAGATTATTCAGCGGAAGGGGTACAGTACTGAATGTATTCAGTGCTGCCGGTAGATGAGATATTTCAAATGATGTCATGATAAGCTGACAACTGATAAGCTGAGATGCATGTTAATGGCACAGAGAAGTTGAAACAGAGTTGAATCTGGGTGTGCCTCAATGGTTAAAGCAAGGCATTCTGCTCCACCCTGTGTTACTGTCCTACCTCCAGAGCAAACAAACACTGACACAGCAAATACTCCCAAATACAAAAAGGTTTCCTCAGACAAGGAGCTCCATTAACCCCTTTGCTTGTATCCTCTACATTCCCATGTCTGTTGAAAACTTCAGTCACTCTAAACATGAGGGGGAGGTGGATAACTTATGGAAAATTGATAGTAAGAGAGGGGGGGAAATGGAAAATGAAGACTTATGAAGAGGTGAAAGAATTTGTTTATGATTGGTTGCACTACTACCAGATTAGTGAAATGTTTAAAAAAGACTGTAAAATGTGTGGATATGAAGGAAAAGAATCAAAATTTCAAATAGAGGTATTGAATAATGAGTATAAAAATTTGTCTAAAATGTATAGAATGTTGTTGGAATGGCATACAAAAGATGAAGAGGTGAAATCAGTAATGATACATTGGGCCAGAGACTTTGGTTATAATATACAATATGATGATTGGACGAAATTATGGAATGAAAGGTTAAAATTTACGGTGTGTACTGCGTTGAAGAAAAATGTAATGAAAATGGTATATAGATGGTACATAACGCCAGTTAAATTAGCTAAAATGTATAAAACATGTAACAAGTGTTGGAAATGTAAAGAAAAAGAAGGAACTTTCTATCATATGTGGTGGGAATGCAAAAAGGTGAAAGGCTTCTGGGAAACGATATATAAGGAATTGAAAAGATGTTGAGATATACATTTGTTAGAAAACCAGAAGCCTTCTTACTAGGATTGGTAGGTAATGAAATTAATAGAAAAGATTGTAAACTTTTCCAATACGCTGTAACAGCTGCAAGAATACTTCTGGCGCAAAGATGGAAGCAGGAAGAAATTCCAACTGTGGAAGAATGGAGAATGAAACTGAATATGTGGAATTGGATAAATTGACTGGGAAGATTCGATATCAGAAAGACCAAAAGTTTATCGAGGACTGGGGGAAATTTACAGATTATCTGAAAAGCATATGTGATGCACAGACAACGCTTGTTGGTTTTGAAGAGTCTCTGTGAAAAATTAAGAAATATTGTAAAAAATAAAGTAGGAGAAAGGAAGAGGAACGGTTAAAGGCAATAATAAGTTCAGAAATGCGTTAACAATAGAAATTTTAACGAAAGATTGGCAGAGAAACTGAGGGAAGTCAAAAATTGATGAATGTGAGAGTTAATATGAGTTGATTGTATAAAAATGTTTGGAAAATGAATAAAAAATTATTATATAAAAAAAGAAAACTTCAGTCACTCAAGGAAACCGATGAAAGGAATTGATTCTTCATGCGAAATATCACCAGAGTGATACTACTCCACTACCCAAAAATGTGGCAATTGCCACTAGCTTGGATGGCTTTTAAAAAACAGAAGGATCCAACAATTTTATGGGAGGCAGGAGACTGTTCATTCAACCATAGGAATGGCTACATAGCAAGGCAGTGGGCTCTCCCTTCCTGGGTGTCTTCAGAGATTGGACAGCCATCTCTATGGTTGGTCCAGCTATGGTTGGTCCAGCTAACGCCCTGCAGGGCACCCTCCAACTCTACGGTTCATTCTGTGGGGCTTCTGTATGTGCGGGGGGGGCATCTAGTCTTTCACCTCAGGCAACAAAATATCCTGGGCCCAAGAGGGCATGTGGCTGGCCATTGTTTGAAACAAGAATGCTGAATTAGATGGGCCTCAGTCTGAGCCAGCAAGACAATGTATTCCTATCACAGAATGGTGTCACTGAACATAATAGGGAACCTCTGTGTACAAGTAGAATTGGGCTGAATGGCTATTAAAAAACAGCAGTTAATATATAACCACCTTCTGTGTGTACTCAGCACATAACAGTTACATAAATCTGATACATATTTGTGACAGCCAGAAGGTGGATCATAGCACAGAGGCCTGAGGCAAACTTGCCAACACAAGCTTTTAGCAAAGTAGCTTGACTGGGACCAGTTAAAAGCCATTCAATCAATCACCAGAGGCAATGCAGGAATACCTCCAGGTTCCCAGGCAGAAAGGCTGGGAAAAGCTTGGAATCTGTAAGATGCGTTTGCATATGCACACTTTTATCAGGCTGTTGCTATTGACATAAAATTAGACAAGCAGAGAACCCTTAAGCAAAGAGAGGGGGAACAAATGGTGGATCCTATTAGATTAGGGATGGGGAACATGTGGCTCTCAAGACACTGTTTGACTCCCAACTCCCAGAAGGCCCCAGCAGCTAGCCTAGCCAATAGCTAGGGATGCTGGGAACTGTAATCCATTTATGACTCCCTCCTTTGGCAGTCTTCACAGAACTCTAGCCCAATGGTTGCCATCAATTTGATTTGAATTAATTTTATAACGAAATGATTTTAGAATGTTGTATTATTTTATTGTTGTTAGCCGCCCTGAGCCCGGCTTCGGATGGGGAGGGCGGGATATAAATAAATTTATTATTATTATTATTATTATTATTATTATTATTATTATTATTATTATATCTGAAGAGCCACAAGTTACCTGTCCCTGCCTTAGATAAAAAGTGTGAAAACTCCATGAGACTGTGTAAATAAAAATTGGCAGGTACAGCTGACATTAGCCTTCTGCCCAGACTTCCTGTATTTACATCTTTAAAGGCATGGGTGAATGTTCAAAAAAAGATAGAGGTCCATTTAAGAGCTTCCTCTTTCTGTATAATCATTGACAAGGGAAAGGACAGAAAGTTCTCTCTCCTTTTCAATTTTTCAAAAAGCAGGCAAACAAACACATTCCTAAAATGAAGCTGGGTCATTTCCGTTTGGGCTTCCACACAACCTGCAGCAGCTCAACCTACACTAAAGCACCTGTGCCCTGTAGCATTTCTAGCCTGGATCTCTTCAATATTTTAGACCGCTCCACACATTGTGCATGTGAAGGGGTCCTGACCTAGTTACTAGGGGCAATGATCGCACTGCTGACCTCACCTCTGAGTCACATGGCTTCCTTTGGCTCACCTCTGATGTCCACGCATTGGTCATGGATACCAGAAGGAGGAAAGCCTATGAATGCAAATCTCTCTATAAGGTTTCGTGGAAGCTGGTTGCACAGGGTCCAGCTTCCAAGGAAGTCTATGGGTGTAGACTTTCCCTCTGCAAGTGTCTGTCAGATGCTGGGAAGGGGCAAAGCAGGGGCAGTGGGTGCAGGTACATCCTGCTCATGGGCTTTCCAAAAACATATGGCTGGTTGCTGTTGGAAAGAGAAATGTTGGAATATACATGCCTTGTGGGCGGGGGGTCAATGCAACATGGCTCTTCTTGAATTCCACTGTGAGAAAGGTCACTAGGACTACTGCTTCACAGATAATAAAAAGAAAACAGTGAATGATTTGTCGCAGGCCACCCACCCTGAATATGTCACACACAATTCACTAGAAATCTTTGCTTTATAACTTGTAGAACTATGCACCTTTCTCTCTCTGTCTCTTTCTTACATGAGATTGTTTTGCCAGCAGTATCGGGTTGATATTCTACTCTATAAGTAAAAGGGTACATTGTGACTTTAAAAAAACCAGGAAAGAATTCCCTTTTCTCATGTCTTTGCTTCCTCCAGAGCTCAAAAGAGGAACACTATAGGAAAACAAGCATTTTTCTAACATACCTTTATAGGGGGTTTAAGTGAAATTTCTAAAAGTCTTCCCCAAGTACTTAATCAAATGCAAAGAAACCACAGGAAAAATGAAGGTGGAATTAAATGTTGATCAAAAAGTGTGTCTTAATTATTGAATCCACACTAAGAAAAGTGTTAATAAGATCACTTGCCAGCTGTTTCAACTGAGCAATGCAAATAAGAAAGTCAAACAGAATTTGAGCCAAAGCTTGTTTTCCTTTGCACAGGTTTTCTTTTACTTCTAAATGTGGGGAATGCACTCAACATTTCCCACCCATTGGCACATGCACTGTCCACGTGAAGATGAAGACTGGTCACAAATGTTCAAAGCCCTCATTCTCCAGAGTCAATTTCTCACTTGCCTGCATCTAAATATATAGCTGCGTACTTAGTAATAAGGAAGTCAGCAGCTCCAGCTTCTTGCTGGTGAGTGTGTTTGCACATCACGGTGGAGCTACTGTCCATGCAGCCATGTCATGCCCTGTGATTAATCATTCAGCTATCTGCTCCAACAGGCACAGGGCTGCAATGAATGGCACCTCTTGCCTACATTTGCCAATGCTTGAAAGTTCATGCGAGATAGATTTTAAACTTCCTCCCTGAAGAGAAATTCGCAACTACAATGGTACCTCGGGTTAAGTACTTAATTCGTTCCGGAGGTCCATACTTAACCTGAAACTGTTCTTAACCTGAAGCACCACTTTAGCTAATGGGGCCTCCCGCTGCTGCCGTGCCGCCGGAGCACGATTTCTGTTCTCATCCTGAAGCACTATTTCTGGGTTAGCAGAGTCTGTAACCTGAAGCGTATGTAACCCGAGGTACCACTGTATCTCATACTCAACCATATCTACATAAGAAAAACAAAACTGGGTTACTTTTAAAAGCATGACTTTTTTTTTTTTTTTTTGGCATATGAGAACATGCAACAGTTGCCTTTAAGATTATCTCAACATTTATTGGGCACATATTTCTTTTTTTTCTGGATAACTCTTTAAAGCTCACCTCCTCTGTTACCTTTTACCACCTTCAAAGCCCCTAATAAGGACACCATCAGTTCAGTGACCAGCCCTGCATGAGCCATAGCTAAATTTTGTCCAAAGTTTCCTTCCCAATACACAACTGACTGTAGACTTCTCCTATGCAATGACTGATACAGTTATTAATGTTCTATTGATGCAAATGTTTCTACTGACAATTTTTATATTTGATTGCTACCATTCTGAAACTTGGATATTTTTGTTATGACCATTTGGTGCAACATAAAATGACTACACATGATTTACTGTAAGAGGCAGGTGGGGAAGTTTTTCCAGATATCAGGATTGCTTCTGATGGATATGAAAAGACTCTGCCCAATCCACAGCAAGAACACCACCTCTACCATTTGCATCACTTCAGTTGTCATATACATGATTCTAATGAGATATGCAAACAAATCAGCCTAGATTATTTTTTAACATGATCCTTGCTAATGATTATGCATGCAGCCGAGTGGCGAAAGCAAGGCTTTGAATGAGGTTCAGCTGACTGGCAGGTATGACAACTGCCATTAAGCTTTGACAGTTGCCAGCCACAATTATCACGTCAGGTGAATGACAGGCAGATGGCTTCAAAGTTGTCTGGGTGCGAAAGATAAGGATCTGGCCCACAGATGGGATCCTGTTCCCACCCCTGCTGTAGGGCATGAAAAAAATCAGATGAAAATTGAAAACATTAAAATTCGAACTTTTCCAGAAAACCCACATCAAATCTCTGTGGCTGAGCAGGGATTTGAACTTAGGTCTTCATAGTCAAATGCTCCAATATAGCACATGGTGGCTAGAATGTTGTCCCCAGCTTCCACAACTCTCATGAAGAAATAGAAGATAGAATATGCGAAGATGGCGGAACTCTGCCTCCCCCAATTACTAGAAAATAACATCTGCCCAGTGCTGAGGTTCGATACATTTTCCTACAGGGAAATGTCCCAGCTTCTGCCAACCTAGCAGTTTGAAAGCACACTAGTGCAAGTAGATAAATAGGTACCGCTGTGGTAGGAAGGTAAACAGTGTTTCCGTGCGCTCTGGTTTCCATCATGGTGTCCTGTTGCACCAGAAGCGGTTTAGTCATACTGGCCACATGACCTGGAAAGCTGCTCCCTCAGCCTGAAGTGAGATGACCCCATAGTCGCCTTTGAGTGGACTTAACCATCCAGGGGTCATTTACCTTTACCTTTCCCCACATCTTCCTAGACCAAAGTGCTTTCTGTGCAGGAATTCTGATGTTTGTACCACTATTTAAAATGGAAATTGTTCCCTATCTACACATTATTAGGTCTGATGGTATGTTACATAGAATCATTGTAAAAGGGCAGAGGGTTCAGTCACGCACATATAGGAGCACTTACGTAACTTTCTGATGAGGCACCTGATGAAACCTGTTGGGAGCTCACAAAATGAGCTGCCAGAGTTTCAGAAGTGCCCTAAATTTAACCTGGGTAATCTGATATGCAGGGAGAGGTTTACAAACCTTTTAAGTACTCACCTGGGGCTAGCTGCTGTATTGTCAGGCTCTTAGCCAGCTGAAAAATGCCCTAATCTAAAATGCCTTATCGCGTTTCCTTTTGAATAGCTTTCCCTTTACAAGCCTGGGGCCAGCAGTTCCCTTTATTAGCTGTTTTTAGCTAAAGTTAACTCAAGTTTCAGACCAGCTTCACAACCCATCAGAGTCAGAAGAATGTTTGAGGGAAAGGGGTGTTCGCACTGTGATCAAGTTTGCAAGCCGTTTTACCAAAGCTATAGTTGTGATCCACTTTGTTTATTTATAACCCATCTTTCTTCCATGGAACTCATCCTGGCATTGACCAGACCTGACCCAGACCTGCTTAGCCTCAAGGTGGAGGCTGCATCATGGAGTTTCAAACATTCCCTGACTGGGACACAAGAAGCCAGCTTTTACAGGGTCAAATAATTTGTCCACCTTTCCCAGTATCATCTCTTCTGACTGGCAGCAGTTCTTCATACAGGGTCTTTCCCCCATACACACAATAAACCTGACCAGTTTAACTGGAGATGCCAGGGATCAAACCTGTGTGTCTCTGTATGCAAAGTTAGTGCTCTACCACTGACCTACAGTTGCATCTCCTGGGCTCAGCTTTAAGCCCAAGCACTCCTGCTGAAACGGCTTGTGGATCCCACTGCATGAGGGCTAGTCTAGAAATGTAGGCTGCAATACTTATTTTAAAAAAAAACAACAACTGCTTGCACTAAAGAAACCTTTACTTTACTTTAGTTCACTAAACTACCCACTTGGTTTGGTCTGCAAACTGCAGACACGCACGCTTTAGTAAAAAATTAAGCTGAGCTGGCTTCTGGAAATCCCTGCCAAGTTTATTTTCTGCAAGGGGTAGTGAGGTAGTGGCGGAGACAATGCTACATTTTTTTAAGAGGGTGTGATTCCCATCTAAAAGTACAAGAGTAGCAAAGGTCAGAGGTCGCTTCTGTATCAGATTCTGATAATTGCAGCAGTCTCCAAAATGGGAGGAATACACATTGCCATCCAATCTATTAAAGAGGTTGCTTACTACTTGTTTTCTTACTTAGATGTACCTAGTGCTGGAATGTACCAAATTAGTACCTAACACTGCAGCAAACTATCAAGTTGTACCTATTTGGATGGTATAATAACAGCTTCCTTGTTTTATAATAGGATTGAATAGATCCTACTCTACAATGAGTTTCTACCTTCTGAAATTTTGAGGGCAATAGATTTGTCTCTCTCTCACAGTTTTGAAATATAAAACTATGGGCTCTCTAGGCATTAGAAAAAATACGTTATGAAGCTGAAAGTTGCAATCCTATGTACACTTAAAAACTGGGAGTTTGTTAATTTTATTGCAATAATAATAATAATAATTTATTTATTTATACCCCACCCATCTGGCTAGGTTTTCCAGCCACTCTGGGCAGCTTCCAGCACATATAAAAACATAATAAAACACCAAACATTAAAAACTTCCCAACCAATAAAAACTGGGAGTAGGTACTATTGAGTTCAATGTGAATAACTTCCACATAAAGACAAGCGCTAACAAAAATAGAAGGCAGGATTTGGTTGGATACAAACAAATTATTTTTTCATTTGGTAAATGTTAGCAGTTACTTGTGTATGGGCATAGCCAGGATTTTTGTTAGGTGGGACAGACCTTTTGTTGGCGGTTGGGAAGAACGTCAGTTTGCTATGTATTTTTATTGAATTTTATTTATTTAGGGGGGCAAGGCCCTTCCCTGTCTCCCCTTGGCTATGCCTATGTACTTGTGGCTACAATCCTATATATGTTTACTTGTGAGAAAGCCTCACTGAACACAGTGGCAGTTATTTTTGAGTAAACATATATAGGACTGTGCTCTCTTTTTCTCTCTGTATTTCCTCTGATAAGAGCTAACAGCTGTTCCCAGCATAACAGTTCCCTGCTGGGGACATCTGTCCCTGTTGAATTTTTGTATGTCCAGACACTCCTAGCTGTCAACTTTTCCCTTTTCTTACGAGGAATCCTATTCGGAATAAGGAAATTTCCCTTTAAAAAAAAGGGAAACGTTGACAGCTATGAGACACTATTATGGACAAGGTAGCCCTGCTAGGGGAAACGGTAGCAACTCTAAAGATTATAACTCTAAAGATTCTAGAAGGCAGCAATGTCTTCAACAATTCCAGCACCTGCTAATTGTCCTCTCACGGTCATTTCTGTTTCCATAAGCTAACTACTGTTATTATCAACTTGCTCTAGGCAGATAATCAAATACATGCACCCAATACAATGAAATAACTACTGTATTCAAATCCCCCCGAGACTCCCCACCACACCTGTTATGCTTAGCTTTTACTAAGAGAAAAAAACACCCTTCAAAAAGCCAAATCAAAGTTTTGACCATACAGGCAACAGCATAACCGTCTCCTTTTCCAAATTCCTGGCCGAGCGAAGGGTTCTTCAGGGCACGAAGTATAGATCGGGGTGGCAGGCAGATTCAATCGCGCTGCGCCTTGCCTACGGAGGGCCAGGGGTGGGGTGCGCGCTGCCTGCCTGCCTGCCACCCACCCACCTGCCCGCAGGTCAGATCGCCGCGATGCTTACCTTTCGAAAGTAGCAGTCTCCCCTCTGGTCCGCCGCCCGGCAGCCCGAGGGCAACAACGCGTCCGTCATCGCCAGAGCAGCAGAGTCCGGGGTAATTCCCACCTCGCCCTGCGATAAGAGACGAGAGTCGCCTTGCTCGCGGAGTCTGGCTCGCCGGCGCTGCGCTGCGCACCGTCCAGGCGATGAATGTCTGTCTGAGAGAGCCCGGATCCCGGCTGCACTCTCGATCCCCTCGCCTTCCGTCGCTCCTCCTCTACCTGGGGAAGCCCACGGGAGATCGGGGTGGGGTGAGGGAGGGAAGGACGGAGGGACCGCCTCCTCGGATCTCCTGTGTATTTGTGGAGCCAGGCGGAGTCCGCTCTTAGCAACGGCGCTATCCGGACAGCTGAGCCAGCCCTTCGGAGAGTCAACAGAGACACCTCGGGGTGTGCAGGGAGCGGCAGCTTTCCTCTCCCTAACAGCAGGCAGAGGGAGGCTCCTCAGCTGATGCGCCAAGGAGAGTTTTTACCGAAAGTGACGCAGATTCAAGCAGCCGATTTGCCATGCAAAACTTAGGGGAAACACCAGCCAGGAACCCGATTCCGCAACTCCCCAAGCGACACTATTTGTGTCCTCCTGAATTCTGAAGAACCAGGTTGCCTCCAGACTGTCAGCATTTTGCAGGAGGGAATCAAGCACGTGCTGGATATTTAGGCGGGCACAGTTAGAGTGAATGGCAGTGCTCCCTCCCCCTGGCGTAAAAAATCCACTTAAAAAGTGATGTTTTATAGCTTGGAAAGTGATGAGGAAAGGCACTGAAAAGTGTAGGGTGAATGAATGAGGAACAGGGAGGTGAGGTGCCGTATAAACACTCTACGGGCAAATCAGGAGGAAGGCTCCTTGTCCAATAACTCCCTGCAAACAAATCAGAACAGATGCTCAATAAAGGCCAGAGATAGACTAATAATCTGTGTGTAGGTCTTGTGCAAGCAAATGAATGCAAAATAAAAAGGTCACCTGGAGGGAAACCCCCCCCCCATGTCTGTGTGTGCAAGAAAAAACTCTCCGAAGTGTTTGTGCTGTTGGCCAAGATTTGCTTGCATCTGAAGGGGATGTCCACAATGCCATCCCCAACGCCTTTGAAGATAACACTAACAGTGGTGGGACCGGCCTAGCTGTCAAAGGTGGGCCATGGGCATCAGCCAGAAGGGATGAACCAGGAGAGGGCAACCAGCAGCTGCACAATAAGCCAGTAGTCAGGGCCAGAGCAAGTCAAGAACCGCACATGCACCAAAACTTACCAACCAAAGCAATCAAAGATGCCAAGGTTCAGTAAGACCAGTGTGGGCAGGTACAGTTAGTCAGGGGCTAGAGTGCCTTTTCCTAAGAAGGTGCCACTTGCAGTTCAGTGGCTTGCCAAAGTGGGCACCTGCCCACAGATCCAGCCAATTGAAATTTTTTCTTTTTAGAACAAAGTATTTTATGGGGTTTTTTTATCACACAATAATCAAATTTGTCAATTTATTCCTACTCTCTGCTTCCTGCCACTTAACCAATTCCTGATCCACAAATGGATGTATCCTCTTATTCCTTGACTGTGCTTAGCTTACTCTGGATTCTTTGGTGAGGTATTTAGTTGAAAATAGTTTTGGCATCACCTGCTGCCAAGTTCCTTGGTTGTGAATTCCTGCGGAAAGAGTTCTCCATATACTGTACACTTTTTGTTGATACTTGGTCGAGTGTTTTGTAGAATGAATCATTTTATGAGTAGTCAGCTACGATCTTTGAAGAACATTAATTCTTGAGTTAATTCAGAGCAAGCTTTCTATTGCCTCTTTGGCATGGGCAGACAATCGCAAGTGGCAGCTGTGTGAATCAAAGGAAAACAATTAGTTGCCAGGAAACTCTTCCCTGCTGGAAGCTTTCCTCTCCCTGGTGTTTTAGAGCTGCTTCTTTTGTCATCAGTTTGTCTCTATTTCTGGAGAAGAATTTTCTTTCTATTGCTTTGCTTTATCTTCTGCAACACAAGAGATAATGTGGTCACTATGGCTCATTACCCTTCCCTCTTTCATGACTGAGTCATTCTCCATAGCGTGGGGAGCAGCTCCAAAATGCTGTTCATTCACAAAAAAAGGTCTCAGGATGAATTGCAACAGACCCAGCATTCTTGAACACCCAGTGGTGTTCCGGTCAGTGGGAAGTACACATTGATAGTCTATAAAAATAGAAAGGCACGTAGGAAGGCTTTTACAACAACCATGGCAAAGATGACAAGTGCTATTTTTGTAGTGTTATTATTGAAAAACCCAAGCCTACTATTCTAAAAAGCTGTGAATTTAATTTTCTATTCATTTTAAAGTAACATCAAGGCAGAGCCATAGCTACAGGGGGTGGGGTGGGGTGGGGTAGCCAGTGGGCTTCAAGAGTACTTCAACACAGAACCCATGGCCTGTACACTGCCTTGTTGCACAGGAGGAGGGAGCAAGGTCAAAATATGTCCCCACCCCTCATGCTGCTTTCCCAAAACCAAATAAGTAAGGTGCCAGATTTTAGAAAGGAGATGCGAGGCTCTGGCAGAATTCTAGAGCCCTACCACCTTCTTCCTAATGCTGGGAAAGCGCTAACTAGGCTTTGGGAAGGAGACTGGAGGACCCGAGCACCCTGTCAGAGCCCTCATGCCTCCTTCCCCAAACCAGTGCCTCCTCAAATGCTCCGGTGGGCTGACACAAAAGGTGGGCCTTGGGCAACATGTTGGACCGCCCTGTTTAAATGTAGCCCATCAGAATCAAAAGGCCAGATAGAAATTAAATCAGTCAATAAGTGTGCACTGGACTGCCTAAATTAGTTGCTACTGGGCACAAAAATTATTGATTATATACCTGCAGCGGTGGTTCCTAAACTCCCCCCATCCCCACAAACTACTTGAAAAATCACTAAGACATAATGAGCTCATGATTCTGTATATATCTGGTATGTTTGATTAATCCCAGCTTGTTTATCTTAACTATTATACAGCTCTAGGTGGGGTGAATGTGTTGTCAATTGTAAAAAGATTTATGTGTGTGTGATGCTAGTGACGAATGCAAAACTCTAGTTCTAAAGGTCAGGCAGAATTTTTTATGGGTTGTCCAGCTAATATGGCACTCTGATGAGTGAGTTAGGATGACTATGTTGATAAGAACTTTTCTCTTAAGGCTGCCAACATGTTCCACAGAACACCTTGCAAGGTAGCTTAGGCTGAAAAGGGCTGACTGACACAAGCTCATCCAGACAGTTTTGTGGCCAATCATGAATTTGAATACAGATCTCCTGTTACGTACTCTAACAACACTGAATGTACAGTATTTATTTATTTTTGTATTTATCCCATTCCATTTATAAATCACTTATTATATAATATCTCAAAGTGATAAATAATAAAAACTACAAATTAAACAATCAAAATAATTCCATTTAAAAAAAAATCATAACCAATACAGATACAGGTGAACATGATTCCTACTTCTACAGAGTGGACCTCCTGGTGCAATGGTATCTGCAGAAGGCTTTCTCCTGTGAAGTGCTGTGATTAGTTGGGTATATAAGGGGTGATATGATCTTTTAAGTACTGTATATAAACAATAATACACATCCAATGAACTAGGGCATGCATTTGAATTTCTGTATGGAATCTCTTCTGCAATTTTATTTTGTTTTTTCAGCCTTAAGTCATTTATCTGCACTCAACCTGAGGGATGTAGTTTTTTGCATTCAAATTCTGTTGGTTGGAAACATCTTTAGGACTTGTTTATCTGGTGTACATGAGTTTTTACTGTTGTTATACTTCATGCCAACTTTGTGCATGGACACAAAACTATAAATTAAATTAACAACAACAGCAACTGCTTTCTTTCAATAATTCTGAAGTTATGCTTGAGTATGTTTTATATAGATACCATTTTACCTTTAAAGATTAAAGGGAGCCAGAGGGAAAAGTGCAGTGACAACATCCTTGATGCAATGGCGTATAGTTCTGAAAGTTTATATCATAATAAATGTACAGTGGTATCTCAGGTTACATACGCTTCAGGTTACATACGCTTCAGGTTACAGACTCCGCTAACCCAAAAATAGTGCTTCAGGTTAAGAACTTTGCTTCAGGGTGAGAACAGAAATCATGCTCTGGTGGCGCAGCAGCAGCAGGAGGCCCCATTAGCTAAAGTGGTGCTTCAGGTTAAGAACAGTTTCAGGTTAAGTATGGACCTCCGGAACAAATTAAGTACTTAACCTGAGGTACCACTGTATTAGGCTTTAAGGTGCCCCAAGTTGGATCACATCCATGTCATACATTTGAATCCTGGAAACTGACCATTGTCACTGAGCCGCAGTTTCCCGGACTCTTAATGAACTGCACTTCCCAGGATTCTCTGGAAGAAGCTATGACTGTAAAAAGTGGCACAAGAGTGCTCCTACTCTACTTGCTGCATCAAAATGAGAGGGCAACCCTTCTGGCAATTCTTCATGCCAAAATCTAGACATTGATGATAAGTCCTTGACTGACCTCTTCTGGCCAATGTATGACAGGTTTTAGAAATGTGTTCTTCAGAGACATGGGGTTAACTGCCTCACAACTCTTAAAACTGGGGTGGGGAAAATCACACATACACATATAAACCAGCCAACTAAGGATAAGATGCATGCATCGTGCATCTGGCAAAGTGGACTCTCAACCCAAGAAAGCTTATGCTACAATAAATCTGGTAGCTTTCAATGTGCCACAAGGCCCTTGGTTGTTTTCACTGTTAATCTTTCAGGTGCCAGAGAATACTGGGGTGGGTTTTTGTTTTTTTGTAAGAAATTGACCTGACTTCCTGGCCCTTGAATACAAAGTATATATTTGAGGCACATTATTTCAATCAAAGAGTTCAGGGCACTGTAATTTATCTGTCATAAAGAGACATTTCTCAACAAACCTTCACAAATCACAGTGCCCAGAATTATTCAAGGGCAAAAAATGTACTTCGAACGTGATTTAAAGATGACAGAAATACAAGTGGAGTTCATTCTATGGACCCTTTGTTGTAGGATGGGGTCCAAGGTGCATCCTAGGTGCCTAACAGTTGAAGTCTGTTGAAGTCAGGTTGGTGTAGTAGTGGTTAAAGTGTTGGACTAAGATCTGGAAGACCAGGGTTCAAATTCCTACTCGGTCATGAAGCTCACTAGGTGTCGTTGGGCCAGTCATGGCTTCTCAGACTAATCTACCTCACAGGGTTGTTGCAAGGATTAAATGAGGGAGAATTTCCTTGAGCTCCGTGGAGAAAAAGTGAGATAAAAACGCAACAACTACTAATACTAACAATAAATAGCCGGAGAACTGATGGACTGGTCTCGATCTGTTTTTAGCGCTATAATTCATTTCCGCCCGTTATATCGACGTGGTTTTAGCATTGTAATTTTAGCATTATAATTCGGTCTTCCCGTTATATCTACGTGTTTTAACAGAGGGCGCTCCTGTTTCCCTCGGACTTTTTTTGAGACCCGAGGTGCTTATTTTCCACGACCTACCTTATCCTTCTTGTTCTTATTACTACGTTATGATCGGAAGTTGTTCCCGGCTGTTTTCAATATTGTGTTTTGACGTTGCAACCATAGCTGTCAACGTTTCCCTTTTTCCCTTATTCCGAATAGGATTCCTCGCAAGAAAAGGGAAAAGTTGACAGCTATGGTTGCAACCTGCCTTGGGGCACCTTAGGGTGAGGGGGCGGGTAAAATAAAACAAGGAAAGAAAGGGAAAATCCATGCTATTGTCCGTCGTTATAAAAGAGTCCCTTAAATGGCCTGCTGGCTGGCGTTGTGGTGGTTGTGTAGTCGCTATGGCGTTTTCTGTGCAACCGTCGCCGATGAGCCGACGGTCGGTGTGGGGTTTTGCCTTTCACCTCAGCAGCAGCAGCAGGAGAGCCGCCCCGTCGGTTCCTCCGCCCGCCCACCCGGCCGGCCGAGGCGTGTCAGGCCGCGGCGCTGAGCTCGAAGGCGCCGCCCCGCTGAGGGAGGCCGAGAAAGAGGCGGCACCGGGGCTCCTCCGCCCCTTTAGAGGCCCGGCAAGATGGCGGCGGGCGAGAGCAGCAGCAGCGGCGGCGACGATGACGAGGAGGCAGAGCTGGTGAGCTTCGGCACGCCGTTGGAGCCCCTGGAGGAGGGTGAGTTGGCGGCGGCCAGGCCCACCCCACCTCCCTCCGCTTTTTCTCGAGGCCTCGCTGAGGGGAGAGCACCGCCCGTGCTGGGGACCCCGCGCCCCACAGAGTCCACTAGGGAGAAGGAGGCGGGGGAGGGCTGATGGGCTCCTCTTGTTTGGGGGAAGGGTCTCAGGGAAAGGGGCTCAGGCAGGCTGGGGGGTGCTTATTGGTTATGGGGGGCGGACCCTCACCCTGCCTAGAAGGATGTGCCAGCCCTTTTATTTCAGGTGTGGGGAGGTGGGGTACACACCTCCAGATGCTGCTGGGCTCCAGACTCCATCGCACCCGATCTTTTTGGTCCTGGGGGTAGCCAACTGGTGGGGCTGTGGGGGGGCAGTCCTTAAATTCTTATGAAGTATTTAAAAGCATTAAAAAATACTTAAGAAACTTCTCCCCCCAAAAACAGAAGCCTCCCCCCCCCGTAGTATCCTCTTTCTGGTAGTATTTTTACATTTTAAAGGAAATGTCTGTGATCCCCGCCCCAAAAAGAACCTCAGCCATTTTGGGGGCGATCTCACAAAGAAAGCTCAAACACTTTTTAACACACACCCTAACAAAAACGCCCATGTCTTTGCTAGTGATGGCTGCTGGGGCTGAGGGGTGACGGACACATGGAATCGTAGGGTCCAACCCCCTGCAATGCAGGAACCGCAGCTCAAGAACCCCTGACAGATGGCCTCGCAACCTCCACTTTAAAATCTCTAATGAAGGAGAGTTGTTGTTGCTATTTGTAGGATTGTACAATTGTAGAGTTGGAAGGGATCCCAAGGGTCATCTGGTCTAACCCCCTGCAACGCAGGAACCGCAGCTCAAGAACCCCCTGACAGGTGGCCATCCAATGTCTGCTTAAAAGCCTCCAAAGGAGGGTCCACCACCTTCTGAAAGTTCTTCCTAATGTTTAGTCTCCTTGCATGTTCCCACAGTTATGTGTAGATCACCTCTCACACTGGTTCAGGTATTCTTGCTTTCAAATGTGGTAGGAATTAGGACTGCAGTTCTATTTGGGAATAAGTCTTATTGAACTTGATGGTACTTGCTTCTCAGTAGATATCCATAATCTTGCACCATAAGACTGTTAAGCAAGTGGCTGAACTGAAGAAATTGATCATCTATTTACCCTGATTGATAAATACCTAAACAGGTTTAACTGCAAACTACACGCGGCTTTTGTGGACCTGACCGCCGCTTTTGACTCCATTCCCAGAGATAGGCTATGGCAGAAGCTTAGTTACACCAACATAGATAAGAGACTCCTCCTTCTTCTTATGGAAATTCATAATGACATATCGGCCAGAGTAAAATTCGGCCCCCTGGGAGCTCTTTCTGATTCTTTCCCTCTGAATAAAGGGGTCAAACAGGGCTGCCTCTTGGCCCCTTTTCTATTCAATTTCTATATCAACGACATCGTTACAACTATGCAGGCCCTAAATCAATCTGCCCCCCTCTACAACAGCTCAAGATCCCCATATTACTCTATGCGGACGACATGGTGATACTGTCTTTAACCAAGCAGGGCTTAAACAACATGCTCAGAGGGCTCATGACATATTGTGATACCAATTCCCTCAAAATCAATTTCGCCAAAACCAAAATTCTTACTTTTGGCACGAAAACTCGGAAGTCATTCTGGAACTTTGAGGGCCACTCTATTGAATATTGCTCAGCTTTCAAGTATTTGGGAATCACTTTTCAGCATGGGCTTAGCTGGTCAGCTCACCTAAATATGACCATCCTGGCTGCCCGTAGAACCATCAAAGCCTTGGAGAAATTCTTCTATGCAAAAGGCGGCCAGTTGGTTCCACCAATCAGAAAAGCATTTATTAGCAAAGTCCTCCCGATGTTACTGTATGGGGTTGAAATCTGGGGGTGGAATTTAAAAACACTTCAACGGCTGGAGATTCTACAAAACTCTTTTGTACGAAAGATACTGGGTCTCCCCAAGGGCTCGGTTGCTGCTCAGTTAAGAACAGAACTGGGCCTCCCTCCATTGTTGCGAGAGCCCATATTAGAATTATTAGTTTTTATTGCAAATTAATCAATGCCCCAGGTTCCCTACTAGCCAGGCAAGCCTTTTTAACTTGTTCTCACTCCAACAAATGGTCCAAGGCCATGGAGACTATTACTGTACGCTACTCCCTCCCAGAATTCGACACGTTGTCATCTTGGGACCAACATAAAATCCGGGACTGGATTCTTATAAGAGATGAGGCCATGGACCGGGCACAGTCCACCTCAGCTCGCCTCTCCATGTGGCTCCCTAAAGTGAAAGTGGTAAGATCACTTGCCAACTACTTGATAGACCTGACGGAGCCCAATTTGAGAAGAGCGTTTACAATGGCCCGTTTTCATTCTATACCCACGGCCTTCTTGCAGGGGACCTACTCTAAGACCCCTATTACTCAGCGTCTATGTCCATGCACAATGAATGAAGTAGAGGACTTCATACATTTCTTGTTCTACTGCCCTATTTATGACCCAATAAGACCTAAGCTCCTCCTCTTGATCCCGTCCTCCATTTCATCTAAGGAAGACTGTCTGAAAGCACTTCTTGTGGACGCAAATCCCCAAATTTCACGTGGGGTGGCAATCTTCATAGTGCAGGCTCTGAAACTCAGGGCTACTCTGACAGGGTAGTGTGCCCTAGTCCTGGACCTGTTTAATTCTTTTATTACCTTCTTAACTCAATGTGCTGAGCCTATTTTGGGGCCATTTTATGCTTTATTTATATCCGCATACTAGTTTTTTGGTGCTGGCAACCAAATCTTTGTATTATTGTCTTAGGGTGTTTTAAATGTCATTACGCCAGCAATATCGCTTTGAATTTTGCTTGGTTGCTTGTCCCCAACATTTTTTGTATTGTCTTATTTTGCTATGGCTGTATGCTAATGCAATTAAATTAAAATTGAATTGATCATACGAAACCAGCCTAATACTTGTGATACTCTGTGTAGCTCAGTACTCCTAAACTGAAACAGTACATATCCCAGTGGTTTTGTTTGACTCCTCACTGGTGCCGTATGTAGCTAGAAGTGCATGTTAGAGGTAGGGTGTAGTTGGAATTGAAAAGTTAGTGAAAATCACCGTATTTCCTACCTTTTGATCATATTGGTTAGTGAGCCTCTATGCTGCTACTCTAGCATAGGGTTTGGTTGACTCCCCCCCCCATCTCATCTTGTTTATGTGAATTTGGGAAGAGAGCTAACATGTGAAGGAGCTGCCCTCTGTGCATAAACCAGGAGAGGAATGGCTTCTAGGCCCTTTCTCCCCTGAGTCTGCCTTGATAAATTGGCATTGCTGGGCAGGGTGCAAACTAATTTTCATAGTGAAATAGCAAACCCATATGCCTCCTCTTTACACCTTTCATTCACTGTTCTGATTAATTTATGCTTCTTAAAACAATAATTGCAGGTGAGAGAATTAAGAAACCAGTTCCTCTCCAAGAGCAGACTGTCAAAGATGAGAAGGGACGGTACAAACGTTTCCATGGAGCATTTAGTGGTGGTTTCTCTGCTGGCTACTTTAACACAGTGGGCTCAAAAGAAGGTGGGTAATTACTAATGTATAAAAGTTCTTTTCTTTCTATCTTACACAAAACTTCTTAGGCAAGCTTACTTCACAGGGTTATTTTGAGGATAAAATGGTGGGAAGAAGAACCACCTATGCTACCCTGGGCTCTTTGAAGGAAGAATGGGATATTTAAAATATTTATAAATTTATTTGAATAATTTTCACCCTGGCTTTTGTGGTGCATTGTCCTCGCAGTGTGACTTACAAAAATATTTTAGAACAAAATACATGAATATGATAAAGCACTGTCCAATTAAAACCAGTGACAGTTAAAATATATGCTACATTTGTTCAGTTTCTTGCTAATATTTTTTCATTATACACTGTTGGTATTTTTTAGCTTTGGATATGAATAGATATATATTGTTTGTTTCTAGTTGCTATTAGATGCCATTACATTATTTTTTGTATATCATATGTATTTACATTATTTTGTGACTAGTTTTTATCCTTATTTATTTATTTATTTATGGCATTTATTTCCTTTTTAAAAAAACCAACAACACTTATTTGGTTCTTATAGACATTTGGAGGAGTACCTATCAAATGCTCTTGTGGTTCAGGCTTGCTTTATTTAAAAGACATCTATATTGTTCCATCATGAACTCGGGGAAGTCCGCATGGGGTTCCAGACAGTCCCTTATCCAAGCAGTGACCTGAACTGCTTGGCTTCAGCAAGGCCCCTGTACCACCCACCTTCAGCCCATGCTTTGGCACAGCCAGAAAGCTGCTCTGTCCACTGTAGAGATCACTATGAAACAAAGTGAGGATGGTAATTGCAACAGTATGAAGGACCCAAGTCATTTGGGCTCTCATAGAGTAAAACTAGCATCTTGAATTAGGTCCAAATGCCTTAGGGGCCCCGTGTAAATGCTAGCTTATTAGCACTGCATAATTACAATGCAGTACTATGCATGTTTACTCAGAGGTTAGCACCGCTGATTTCACTGGCACTTACTCACCTGTGAATGTGGACAGGATTACAGACCGGGTAACGTTATGTAATTTTAAACATAACTTTCCATTTCCACTATGAAACATTATGCTGGTGTTTTAATTACTCATGTCTTACAACAATGAACTGTTATTGTCTTTAAAGGATGGGCACCGTCAACCTTTGTATCATCACGTCAAAACAGAGCAGAAAAAACAGTTCTGGGGCCAGAAGATTTTATGGATGAAGAGGTAAATTTGCAAATAATGCATTTTAAAGAAATAAATAAAACACTGTCATAATCCTTTGAAGTTCCACGTAAATGGGATGTGTGTGTCTGTGTTCTGGTTATTCATTAGTCTTAAGTATATATGTATGTAGTGTTATTTCTGCAATGCACAATAAACATGAAGTATGTTTTGCCAAGAACCAATACATTTTACGTTACAATGAAGCTGCTCTTTGTTTTCATTTCAAGATAATTGTTTTAATATGTGGATGAGCAGGAATCCTTTTTAATTTGATTTGTTTCTTCTTACTTTCTCCCCTTGCTCCAAAGGATCTTGGTGAACATGGGATAGCACCAAAGGAAATTTCAATTACAGATGAATTTGCTTCCAAAAGCAAAGATAAAATAAAAGAGAAGGCCAAACAACTTGCAGGAGTTGTTGGCCCGATCCCTGGAGCCACTGTGTTGGATGAATTTATAGCACCTGCAAAGTAAGTACCTATTATGGAAAATTATTTGTGTTCATGAATAAAAGGCAATACAACTGATAATGCGTTAAAATTGGGGAAGGGGACATAGACTCGGCAACACCAGTTTTTCCTCCTCAGACTTCACTGATGCGAAATCTAGAGCTCTGAAAACTTGGCCTGTGTTTTGCTTGATGTTTGCAGGTATTGTTTACACAAAGTTTTTAGTCTATGTGGCTACAAAAACTATTAATAAATTTCCTTTTCAGAATAACCATTGGTATTGACTTGTTGCGAAAAATGGGCTGGAAAGAAGGACAAGGAGTTGGGCCTAGAGTAAAGAGGAAACCACGGAAGCAGAAGCCTGGTATATTCCATGAAATGTTTTGTATTGTATCACTCAACAACATAAAAAAAGTGATCTGTCTATTCTAGTCTACTAGAAAGTTGTTTGTATAATCCCCATTTATTTATTTATTTATTACACTTATATGCCGCCTTTCCTCCAAGGAGCTCAAGGTAGTTTTCCCCTCCCCAGTGAGTTAGATGAGGCTGAGAAATTGTGACTGGCCCAAGGTCACCCAGTGACCTTGGCATGAATCCTCATGGCGAGTGAGAATTCAAACCCTGGTGCAACACTCTAACCATTTACACCAAACTGGCCCTTACATTCCATTCTATGTCAACCTTATTGTGACCCACTTCAGTGGAGCCACAGCAATGTACAGTGGTACCTTGGGTTACATACGCTTCAGGTTACAGACTCCGCTAACCCAGAAATAGTGCTTCAGGTTAAGAACTTTGCTTCAGGATGAGAACAGAAATCGTGCTCTGGCAGCGCGGCGGCAGCAGGAGGCCCCATTAGCTAAAGTGGTGCTTCAGGTTAAGAACAGTTTCAGGTTAAGTACGGACTTCCGGAACAAATTAAGTACTTAACCTGAGGTACCACTGTAGATTCTGGGCACGTTGCCCTTTGCATAGTCATGATAATGAAGAATGATAGAAATTTAACCTTGTGTCTTCATACTTGGTTGCAGAGCCTGAAGTGAAAATATATGGCTGTGCTTTGCCCCCTGGATCTGAGGAGTCAGAGGTATTGCTTGTGCAACACTTTACTATTGGTGGGGGCCACTGTTTTTTGTTTCATCTGCAGTTGTGCAAAGCACGCAAAGGATCATTTCTGATGACATTAACATTCTTCTTAAACTGTTACTCCAATTTTCTAGATCACTATTACTGTATGTAGATTTTTACTAGATAGCATAGCTAACCAAAAAGAAGTCTCAGCCCCATGAAGCTTGCAAATGTAACAACTTGCAATGGAACAGAGCAGGGCATCCTGGAGCCACATGAGTCGATTGGCCTAATTTCAAAAGCCTTTTACAAGTGGTCAGTTTAGATGAGAGTTATCCATCCCTGCAGCCTTCTGGATGAAGAGAAATGGGGTTGGGGAGAGAGCAGAGGCTCATCTTTGTTCTGGCCTGGCTCTCCACTGGATTCAGCTCTGCAGTCAGCCTGTGGCTTCTGGACACAAAACTGTTGTCCCCTGCAGCAGAGGAAGGATTGAGGCAAGGTTTTCTTGAGGTGAATGCAAGCAAGGTCTTTTTGCTGACCTCAGTAACAATGCTTTGTTACAAATGTGTGTTAATTTCCTAAAGGAAGAAGAGGATGAATATCGCCCAGAAAACGTGACGTTTGCACCCAAAGATGTAGTGCCTGTAGACCTGACTCCTAAAGATAACGTCCATGGACTTGGGTACAAAGGCTTGGATCCCACCAAAGCCTTATTTGGCTCTTCAGAAGAACACATTGACCTTTTCAACCCCAGTGCTGAAAACTCAAATCTTAGAGATCTGCGCTACAGTAAAGGCCGGAAGCTTGGCATTTCAGGCCAGGTAAAAAGCTGCTGCTGGTTAAAAGTTTTTTCACCCTTGTTGGCTGTGAAGATAGATGGGCTTATAAGTGAACGGATGATGCCTGTTAAAATGTTTGAAGCTAAAAGAGGATTTCCATGGGTGGTTTCAGTGCCCAGCCTAACTTATTATTCACCACTGATCAGGAGAAGGGGGCAGGGGAGTCAACTTCCATTGCTTACCCAGTTCAGCTTATCTTGCTGCAGAATTTGAGTTAAATTCTGGGTAGATGGTGTGTGGGTTTGCGCATGTATACAGTGTACCCAGCCTTGTGTGTCATGATATCAATCTCACCACTTGCCTTGTGCAGTTAATTTGCAGGGCCAGTGTTGTGGGTCATCACTGGGCAGCTGCCAAGTTTGTGTGTTGACACACTGCTATACATAAAGTATGCTCACTTAGCTGCACTAGTAGCCGCCCCCACTTGCATCTGGGCCTGGATGGCAGCAACAGTGGCACTAGGTCTGGCATCTCTTTCTCCACCCCCTTCTGCCTGCCTGCTGCCCTTGGAAATGAACCCCTCATCTACCCTCCCCTGCCTGAGAAGTTGAGGGAAGCTGCCGTAGACCTGCTAGTATGTGAGCCAAGAGCGGTGGGAGGTAGGAGCAGCTGCTGTGAAGGGAGAGGATAGAACCGGCAGCTGCCACTCATTTGCTAGGTGAACAATTGAGCAGCAATGGGTGGGAGGAGCAGAAGCTTGTGCCACTTGCTCATCGCCCCCACCCAATCCCTCCTAACAGTGCTGGTGGTTCCCTCCCCCACCCACCTGAGTGAGCAGCAATGGCACCTAGGAGCAAAAGGTACAATCACTCGCTTGCCTGTCTTCTCCTGCTTGAAACTGATGGTTGTTGCTAGCAGCAGCCATCGCTGTCTGCCCTCTGTCCTGAGGAAGGAAGATCCCTTCTTTGATGTTTGTTGCACCTACATGGAGTGGGATTTGGGTACTCGCTCACTGGCACATTGCCAGGCCCCTTCTCCCAAAAAACCTGGAGCCAATCATGCTTGTTGATGAAAAAGCTCAAAGTACATTTAAAGCAGAACATTTAAAACAGCAGAAGTTTTGCTGTTTGCAGAATTCTAGTAAATGCCTGTGTGCTACGTGGAAGTTCGTTCACATCTTTATTTCCATTTCTGTGAGTTCTTAAGTGGTTTCTCAGAAACAAGACACATGACTGGTATAAAAGGCACATGGTTCATGTAAAAATATCAGGAAATAAGTAGCACCTTGGTACATCCTTCAGGCAGACATATCCATAGTTGCATTCCTGTTAGGCAGAGTTTTTGCAATGACATGTGCTAGGAGGATAAAAAAGTGTACTGAGGTAATGTGTGTAATAAATTCTTTTAGGAGCCCTACTTAATCCTTATAGATCACTAGCTTTTGCAGCTTGTCATTGAAAAAGGCCCTGTCCTGAACCATTTTTGATTCCATGTGTGTGCGGTGGAGCATGGAGCCAGGCCTCTGTTGGTTACCTCAATAACTAGAGTGGTTCATATGAGAGAATGTGAACCTTTTAGATTCCCTAGATTAAAACAGTATAGTGCTTTGAATATATTTGACAACACTTTGAATTGTCCTTGGAAAGGAATTGGCTAAATAGCATCCTAACTTGACAAGCAAGATAACCTACGGCCTGGTAAAACCAAATAAGGGAGTGCATTGACTTCCTTGTGAATTCTGTGTATATGACCTTGTGCCCATGTTGGTGCCAGGGTGGCAATAGAGGCCCTGACACAGTTATAAGTTCAGCACCCTAAAATTAACTGTAGATCCCCGTGTGCATTTTTTTAAGACAAACACTTAGTGGGCTGTTGAAATATTCAGCTGTAACCATTCTATGTTATATTGTTTTCCTTAGGCTTTTGGTGTAGGAGCTTTAGAAGATGAAGACGATGACATTTATGCTAATCGAGTACATCTTAAAGAAAGAATGTTTAGATATTATCTGCTTACAGGAGACCCACATAGCAAGGAAGCATAAAAGAGTTTTGATTAATAAAAGATTAGGAAATGAATTTGTATCGTCAGATCAAAGTAAAAAAAGGGGGGTGGTTATTTATACCAAAAACAAATTGAAGCACAGCAGATTTTCAAAGATGAAGAAGGGAGGGTAGTAGCGGTTCAAATTAATTGGCAAGGAGAAAACCTAATAATAGTGGGGATATACGCACCTAATGATAACAAATCGGAGTTTTATTGGATGTTAGAGGGAAAGCTATTTGAATACGTCGATCAGAAAATAATACTATTGGGAGATATGAATGGTGTGGTGTCGTTAGAGATGGACAGGTTAAGGGATGGAAGGGGCAAAGAAGGAAAGCTACCCAGAACCTTCTTCTCATTGGTTCAGAACTGTAATTTGGTGGATATTTGGAGATTTAAATACCCTCTGGAAAAACAATATACTTTCTACTCAGAACCCAATGACTCATCCTCGAGATTAGATCAGATATGGACCTCGGCAGAACTAGTACCAAGATCTATACGGGTGGGGATCCAGGCCAAAACGATTTCGGATCATAACCCAGTAAAAATGGAACTGAAAGGGCTGGAAGAAAGATCATACAGATGGAAAATGAAAGATTACTTGTTAGATGATTTAGAGATAGTAGAGAAAGCTCAGAAAAGGTTAAAGGAATACTTCGAGGATAACTTAGGTAATGATACAAAACCAAAGGTGGTGTGGGATGCAGGTAAGGCGGTGATGAGGGGTTTCTTCATTCAACAGAGTGCAATTAAGAATAAAAAGAGAGAAAAAGGGAAAAATGAAATTCTACAGCAAATAATGGACAACGAACAAAAATTAACTAAAAACCCCAAAAATAAGAGAATAAAAGAGAATATTAAAGTTTTACAATCTCAGTTTGCACTGTTGATAAATAGGAAATAGAATGGAAAGTCAAAAATTAAGACAGAGAAGCTTGAATATGCTAATAAATCAGGAAAGTTATTAGCTTGGCAGCTTAAAAAAGGAAGGAACAGAACACAATAAATAAAATCAAGGTGGAGGGAAGAGATAAATAATCCTAAGGAAATAAGGAAGGCCTTTTTGGATTTCTACAGAGGACTTTTTAAAAACAGTGAAAGGAATAATCTGAGAAAAATAGAAAGATTTCTAAAATGTAAGAATATAAAAAGATTTCCACAGTGGAGAAAGGAAAATTGAGTGCCCTAATTGAGGTAGAAGAAATCAAAGAAGCAATAAAGGAATTAAAAAAAGGGAAAGCCCCAGGTCCAGATGGGTTCACTGGTAGCTATTATAAAGAAATGGAGTCAGTCTTGCTGACTCCATTGCAAGAAGTAATGAATAATATCCTTAAAGAAAGAGAAATACCAGAGACATGGAAGGAGGCACTAATCACACTAATCCCCAAACAGGATTCAGATTTACAACAGATTAAAAACTATAGACCGATCTCCCTATTAAACATAGATTACAAGATTTTTGCGGGAATTCTGGCAAGGAGACTAAAAATATATTGGTAGAAAGTATACACAAAGATCAAGCGGGCTTTTTGCCGGGTAGGCAAATGAAGGACAACATAAGAAACATAGTAAATATTATAGAATATTTATCTGACAGGTGTGATAAACAAGGTTTGTTGTTGTTCGTGGATGCAGAGAAAGCATTCGATAACATAATCTGGGATTTCCTGCTGAAACAATTGGAATATATGGAGGTTGGCACTGAATTCTATAACGGGGTAAAGGCAATCTACACGGAACAAAAGGCAAAACTGATAATAAACAATGTGGAGACAGCAGAAATAAGAATAGCAAAAGGAACAAGACAGGGATGTCCACTGTCCCCATTGTTATTTATAATGGTGTTAGAAGTCCTCCTAAATTCAATAAGAGAAAATAAGGGGATAAAAGGAGTAACAGTTGGGCAGAATGAATACAAAATTAAGGCATTCGCAGACGATCTGGTTGTAATAATGGAGGATCCAATAGATTCAATAAAAGAGGTACTCGAAGAATTTGACCAATTCGGAAAAGTGGCTGGCTTCAAATTAAATAAAAGGAAAACAAAAATGATAGTAAAGAATATGAATACAGATAAAACTGAAGAATTACAAAGAGAAACGGAAATAGAGGTGGCCAGAAAGGTGAAATATTTAGGAATATGGGTAACGCCAAAAACATAGACTTATTCAAAAATAATTACGAGACAGTATGGAAAGGAGTTAAGAAAGATATTGAAACATGGGGCAAGCTAAAACTGTCATTTTGGGGCAGAATAGCCACAATCAAGATGTGTGTGCTTCCAAAAGTGTTGTTTTTGTTTCAGAACATTCCTGTAATTAAGGGTATAAAGATATTTAAAGACTGGCAGAGGGTGATCTCAAAATTCGTCTGGCAGGGCAAGAAACCAAGAATAAAATTTAAACTGTTGACAGATGTGAAGGAAAGGGGGGGCTTTGCCCTGCCAGATTTGAAATTGTACTATGAGGCGTCATGCCTATGCTGGGTCAAAACATGGATAAAACTGGAAGATAAGGAAGTGCTAGACCTAGAGGGATTTAACAACAGATTTGGGTGGCACGCCTATCTATGGCATGGGAGGAGAAAAGTACACAGGGGCTTCGAAAATCATATTTTCAGAGGTCCATTGATTGAGGTATGGGAGAGGAACAGAGATATGTTAGAACCTAAAACACCCCATTGGCTATCGCCACTAGAAGTCATGAGCGTTAAAAAGATTAATATGAGGGACAATTGGGCTACCTATGAACAACTGTTAATGAAAGAAGAAGGAAAGTGGAAAATGAAGCCGTACGAACAGGTCAAAGAGAAAGTCTATGATTGGCTGCACTATTTCCAGATAAACGGAATGTTCAGGAAAGATATTAAAGACAAAGGATATGCTGATAAAGATTCTAGATTCCAGATTGAGATATTGAATAACAACTATAAAATTTTGTCTAAAATGTATAATCAGTTATTGGAATGGAATTTAATAGACGAGGAAGTAAAGTCGGTAATGATATATTGGGCTAGAGATATCGGTCATAATATATATTTTGAAGAATGGGAGAAACTTTGGAAAAAACATCTCAAGTTTACAGCTTGCGTGACACTAAAGGAGAATTTAATGAAAATGTTTTACCGATGGTATATGACTCCTGCAAAATTAGCCAAAATGTATGGAACTTGTAATAAATGCTGGAAGTGCAAGGAAAGGGGGGGGACCTTCTACCATATGTGGTGGGAATGCCAAAAGGTTAAAGGGTTCTGGGAGAGTGTATATAACGAAATGAAGAAAATTTTAAGATATACTTTTGTTAAAAACCCGAGGCTTTTCTGTTGGGATTGGTAGGAAGGGAGATAAAAAGAAAGATCACAAGCTGTTCCAGTATGCAACAACGGCAGCAAGAGTCTTATTAGCTCAAAATTGGAAATCAGAGGGCCTACCGACAATTGAGGAATGGAGAGCAAAACTATTAGATTATGCGGAAATGGATAAGATGACAGGGAAAATTAGATATTTAAAAGACCAGAGGTTCATTAAGGATTGGGAAAGTTTTACGAAATATCTGGAAAATTTAAGTGATGGACAGATAACACTAGTGGGCTTTAAAGGAGCTCTGTAAAAAGAAAAGAGTATTGTCTAAAGAGAAATGGAAGAACTAGAATGATTAATGGCATTTCAAACTAAGAAATGCGAATTTTTATAAAAGATTATTACGGATGATTTGTGGAAAGGTTGAAGGAAGCCATACTTAAAAACCTGTGAAAATGAGAATCGAACTTTTATATTTTGTTTTTGTATTTTGCATTATGCAAATTAATAAAAATTATGCATACAGACATTTATGCTACTGAATCACTTTCTAAATATGATACCATTCTAAAAGATGAGGAACCCGGAGATGGGTTGTATGGATGGACAGCACCTAAGCAGTATAGAAGCAAGCAGGGTATGAATCTGGAATTTCTGGAGCCCCAAAATCCTGTTCATCTGAAATTTCCTAGAGGGAGGGTCTTATAGAGTAGGTTGTCATATATTGCCCAGCTCTGCTCCCATTTGTTTTTGCTTTGAAACCACTTATGGATTCTAATTTTGTTCATAGGAACAGAGAGAGAACATAAGTACATTGGGAAAATTTTGGATGGGTTCTCACCAGCGTCTAAGTCTGTAACTTCTCAAAAGGTACGTAAACTAATTTATTTTTCCCCTGAACAAGACATTTCATAAGACACCTCCCTTTCCCTACATACCTGCAGATTTTTGCTCAAATTGGTATGGGGGAGGAGATCAGGAGATATGTTAATGGTTTATGGTAGGAAACTCAACTGCCAGCTACCTCCCTATTTATGCTGGTGATGGCTTAGCTGTATAAACAGAAGTGCTTCTGGTGGTATCAGTTAATTTATCTGTTAAATTGCCAACAAGATTATTTTTCATTTTCAAAATCCACAGCACAAAAAACCCCAAAAAAACATTTTTGTCAAACAGTTTAACAGGATCAATTCATTCTTGCTTGCTTAACCCAAACAGGCATCTTACTAATTCTGTTTAAAAAGTTAGGAGGATCTCTCCAATGCAGCTTATCAGATTTTCACAGACTCAGTACTTCTTTATTCTTTCTGTACCCTAAAAGTAAGGCAGGGAAGATGTAATTGGTTGGAACTCCACTGCCCTGATTTGATCCTAGCAACTGAGAATGTATAGCCAGGGGAAATGACACAGAAGGTTTATTCTTCCAGTGATTAAGTAGCATAGTTCTAGACGCAATTTAACTTGCCATATACAGTGGTGCCTCGGGTTACAAACACCTCTGGTTACAAACACTTTGGGTTACAGACTCTGCTAACCCGGAAGTAGTACCTCGGGTTAAAAACTTTACCTCAGGATGAGAACAGAAATCGCACGATGGCAGCAGCGGGAGGCCCCATTAGCTAAAGTGGTATCTCAGGTTCAGAACGGTTTCAGGTTAAGAATGGATCTCTGGAACGAATTAAGTTCATAACCAGAGGTACCACTGTAAAGGAAGGTGGCGTTTTTGCAGAGGTTGATAAGATTATGAAAACAAGAGAAGCTGTGGATGTATTAGGGCACCTTGGTGCCATGTGATGGTGTTTGATGGTCTTTGACCTAATTCTGTGTACTGGTTTGTACACCTGATTTCGTCTTAAATTTGGACAGTGTCCTGTGATTGATAGAGACATTGTATATATTTAAAGCTTAAGTAATCAAAATGAGACCATGTCTACAAAATATTCAATGTTCTCTGTTGCTTTTCCTTTACAAGATTTATCCTCCTCCTGACCTGCCAAGGGATTACAGACCAGTCCATTACTTTCGACCTGTGCTAAAAGTTAGCAGTGAAAACTCTCATTTAGTGCAGACATTAGCAGAATCCACTGGGAAACTTGAGAGTGATGCAGCACTGCAAAGCAGACACCAGAAGACTGCTGCTCAGCGGAGGGAGTTGCTGGGCGAGAAGAGTCTGGAAGGTACCCAGGATGCTGTATATTTCCTTGCATTTCACATGTTTCTATTGTAGGTTCCTGTTGCTTTGACCATTTTGAGGGGGGGTTTATTGGCAAATTTGTATTAAAGGCATTCATTTCTGAAGTTTACAGCAGTCCTCTCCTTACTGATCAGACCCCTCCTTACTGAACATTGATTAACCTGGTGGGTTAATGGGTATCTCCTTGTAATCATACATAACAAGCACAGATATTCTGGGCTGTATTTACTCTGGTCTCTCTCTCTCTCTCTCTCTGTGTGTGTGTGTGTGTGTACACACACGCTTCATCTTTTCAGACTTTGCATACATTTTTACTCAGTAGGTTCACATGCTCTTCAGTGTTGGAAGCTCATTGAGAAAGTCAATGCACCCACTTGTTTGATTTTTCTTGCCCATAGGCTAAATTTGAAGGTCGTCTTGCTTGTCAAGTTAGGATGCTATTTTAGGCACTTCCTTTCCAAGGACAATTCAAAGTATTGGCAAATATATTTAAAGCACTGTACTGTTTAGATTCTTAAAACAAAAGTTTTCCTTGTTGCCCTGTTTTACACCATAATGTTTCTGTCTTAGGTCCAGCAACTTCCGTTCTGGAATATCTGTCAGAGAAAGACAAAGAAAGAATCCGAGAAGTGAAACAGGCAGCAGAGCAGCAAGTGAAAGCTCCAGCGCTCCAGCCTCAGGGGCCCTTGCCTGACAAATCCCAGGTGCCTGTGTTACCTGTTACTCCACAGAGGTGGCAATTGGTGCTAGGAACCCAGTTGGCCACCACTGGATCTAGTGATTTCAAACCATTTGCAAAAAATCCAGAGAAACAAAAGAGATACGAAAATTACATAGAAGGTCTTAAAGATGGAAAGAAAGGTAATTGGCAAAATCACATGCAGCTCTTCTTCCCTGTCATGAAATAGGTTTTACATCTGAATCCAAATGTTGTGCTTGTGATAAGCAGAGTGGTAACAAAATGAAAAGGAAGGGCAGGGTGTGAAACTGGTACTAATAAACAGAAATTTACTATGATGTTGACTATTGGTATGTCTAATACATTTTGACACCATCCTCTTCAGGAGCAAGGAAATCTTATGTGATGTCATTGCACAGTTGTATGACAGTGATTCACTTAGAATTTGTATTTTAATGCAACCATACAATTTTCTGTTTCCTAGAACCAGAATGACACTTTGGCTGTCCATGGCTTTTTAGTGCTTCTTTTGAGGCCATTGTCTTGTAGTTTTCCTTTTTGTTTATGCTTTTTTGTGTACCATTTATTGGTGTGAACAACTTGATTGAGATAAGAAATGCACTCCCCTTTGTATTTGTGTGTTTTACAAGGTTCATTTGTTTTTGTGTTTTTAGTTTAGCTTTATGGGCTCCTGTTCACTCCTCCTATCTTTCTATAGATGTGCTAGAAAGCTGCCTAGATCACAGTATGACCGAGTGGGAGCGTGGAAGAGAGCAAGATGAGTTTTCTCGTGCTGCCCTGCTCTACAAGCCCTCCAGCTCTGTTTTGGCCTCAAGGTTTACCACTGCAAAGCATGAAGACGACACAGAAAAAGTCGAAGTTCCGCGTGATGAAGAGGTCTGTTCTGCTTCAGTCCTTCAGTAACCAGTGAATTGTGATGACCTGTATTCACCTCCACAAAGCTCCTCTGTTTAAGATCATTCCCAAAGTTTTATTTTTCATAAATTTCAATTAAAAAAAATTGTGTTTGGAAGTGACTAAATTCAGAGTCAGTGTACATTTACTGTAGCTAGTACATTATTTCCCCTCCAGCACTCTAGATACTAATCCCTTTGTGATTATTTTAGACAGCTGTCAGTGACAAAGAGGCTGCTGCAAAGATGAAGATGTTTGGCAAACTGACAAGAGAGGCGTTTGAGTGGCACCCGGACAAATTATTGTGCAAAAGGTTTAATGTTCCTGATCCCTATTCAGAGTAAGTTGCTTGAGTTTCTAAATAGCGTTGAATAGATATGAAAAAAAGCTAATTTTAGAAAATGTAGATTCCGTATGAAAACCTTCTTCTTTAGGCCTTCTTAGTCACATTGTTAATTTTAGTCTTGATTCTTGTCAATAAATTATTTTCCACAAATGTCTAAAATTATGCTTCACTTGTAAACGGCTTGCTTGTTTCTCCTTTTGTGTGATCTTATTTCTATGTGATAGCAAAAAAGAAACTTGATGTGAAAACCCCATTTTACAATTTTTCATCAGGTCATGTATTGTTGGACTGCCCAAAGTGAAACGTGACAAGTATTCTGTGTTCAACTTCTTGACTGTATCAGACGCAACATCAAGCGTGTTGAGCCAACCCACAAAAGCAGGAATGCAAGAAAATAATGCTTCAAACAGTAAGTGGTCCATTTTGTTATCCCTTGCGAGTAAAAGATTCAGGCCACTAAAATACTTGAGGCATTTCAAAATAGTAAGCTATCTTTTAAGGAACAACAGAGGGGAATCAAACAGGACAGAGGCAGAATGCCAAGCACCTGGTGCATGAATAGCAAAAGAAAAACAATAACCTCCAACTGCTATTTAAATATCAAATATGCTTTAAAATATAAACAGTAATGACAAAATCAATATAACTAGAAAACTAAAGGAATCTGGGAATTTTGTTTGTATCTTTTAAGAGCCAAAGAAACCATCTAGATGGGATGTATCTGACAAAGAGAAGAAGAAAAATGATGCCATTAGTGAGTTCATAAGCGTGGCTAGATCAAAGGTTGTACAGGAGGCACAGTCGCCAGCACTGGTTGAAGCAAAGGACAAAAACAGAAGTACTGGAGCTGTTTCTAACAAGGTACAGTAGTGCCAGAGTTTTGATGCTTTCATTGTATCTTCTTCACATGGATCTTCCTTGTGAAGAAGTGGGGATGCAGCCAAGTGGTCAAGTGATTGTACACACAGCATTTAGGGTACTTTCTTGTCACTGATTTTCCCTTTGTCCCGGTGCCCGGTATAGGCAGAAATGTGCTACAACTAGTTGTAGACCATTGTAATACAGGAGTGGATTCTTCTTTAAAATGAAAGGTCAAGAGCATGAGACTAAAGGAAGCACAGACTCAGCAAGCGCAAGCAACAGCCACCCTCATCCAAAGGCCAAGCAGTTAAGAGAGCTAAAGCTGGAATTTGAATGAATTGACGAATTGGTGGCCCCTCTCAGGGGAAGAAATCTGCTCTAAACAAGACATTGAACTGTATCTCCAGATGAGCAAATCATCTGGAAGACCAGGGCTTAAGCGCTTCTCATGAGTATCTAACATAAATCTTACAATAAGCATTTTATTTCTGCCATTTTAGCCAGATTAACATTGTGTGGAGCAGAGCAGTGTCTGAAATGTTGTGGTCATGGCTCTGCAGTCTGTTGATCTTTAGGAAACCTGTGTTTGCTACTCACATTCATAATGGGACATTTAAAGCAAAATATGTTAAGTAAACCTCTTTCATTTTCGTTCTCTTGTGCAGACACTAAGTGAAAGTACTGGTCAGAATGAAGAAACAGAAGAAGAAAGCAGGCCATCAATGGATTTATTTAAGGCCATCTTTGCCAGCTCCTCAGATGAAAAATCATCTGAAGAAGAGAGCGATGGAGAAGAGCAAACAACACCAATGACAGAACCAGATTCTGAAAGTCTGAAGCCTTGTGATTTGCCAAGTGCTCCTTCACTTCATGAACAAGGTAAAAATCAGTGGCTAGTCCAGGACGGCTTCAAACTGCGCTTTGGTGCTATGGTAGTGAGCCATGTACTCCCTTTTCTAATGCATAGTGCTTCAAGTAGTTCCAGTTGATGCAAACTATAGTTTGCCGCTATGTCCATATGGGGGCTTGTGCTTTCCTTCGTAACCAGGATTGAAAACCATGGTTTGAACTTAATTGTATCATACTGATTTGGAGGGCAAGTGCAGGCTGTAGTTTGCTGTCACATCCTAGCAAGTTTTGGCTTCTGCAAAAAAGGAAGCAACTGATGGAGCGCGAGAAGAGGGACGCACAGGGATGGTTTTGTGTTGTGTATTATGTTTGAATCAGCCCGAAATGTCTGAAGAACTCTTGTGTGGTCTTGAGACCTTGGTGAAATCCTGACACTTTCTGATATACCCTGTAAGTAGAACTGGAGATAGGATAAAGTTTACTGGACCAACAGTACATTAATTGTCGATAGAAACCCTTAAAGTCCCTTTAACTAAGAGAAAAGGCTCTGAGGTGGTACAAGCTCATAGAAATATATTATAAGAACCTTTTCTACCTTATCATTGTCAGAGATGGGATTCTGAATGGACCAACAAATCAAGGGCTATATGTTCGGCTCAGCATGGTGATTCTTTTTGTTGTATTATACTTGAGACATTATTATCAAAGCACCACTTCATCTTTTTTTTTAATTGTGCTTTTCCAATTAAAGAAAGTGAAGTAATCACACCCAAGCTTCCTGTTACCTTAACTCCACCCCCAATGGACATAGTTGATCCAGGAGAGGAATTTGGACCAAGATTGCCACCAGTTTCTGCTTCTGGTAAATACATTTCATCATAACGTGTGAATTCTGCAGAACACTTTGTATGAATTGCAGTTATGTAGTTTGGCTAAGTGTATATTTTTAAAAGTTTGCATACAGGAATATTGAAGACTTTCTTTATGGAGTTAAATGTGAAGGCAAACTAGTTGTGTAGGCAACTTTGAGCTTGTATTAACATCATGTCTACCAAAAGGATTTTTTGGTAGAGTCACGAAATGTCGTCACAGTATTAAGGGATTTCCCTTAAAAGCTTTAGTAGGGTGTCAAGTTCTTTAAAAGGACTTCAAAAACTAAACGTTGACAGTCATTGAGTATTTTTGATGTTTCTTGATCAGGCACTTCCTCTGTATGTGATTTGATTTTAGACACTCCTTTGAAGCATGAAGAAATCCAGCTTACAAGTTCTCCTGAAGCCGCTAAGAAAGCAAAACCTAAAAAGAGCAGAGAAAAACACAAGACCAAGAGAGAGCACAAACACAAAAAGGAGAAGGTGATTTTTAAATTTGACTTTTTGGGTGTAGAAACAGATTTATGCAAAACCATAGAAAATGCATACAATATAATAATTGTCCTATAGAGATGCTGTGCAGCTCTCTCCACTGAACAGAATTGCATTGGCCAATCCCTCTTCCTCCTCCTGCAAATGTTTTATCGTTGGGGCTTCAGCTTTTATGCATAAACCTTCCCTGCGTGGATCTAGTCTGAGCAGCTCCAGCAGGTGCAGAATGCTGCAGCGAGACTCCTTACGGGGTCCTCGCTGCGAGATCACATTCACCCGGTGCTATACCAGCTGCACTGGCTCCTGGTGGAGTACAGGATCAGGTTTAAGGTGCTGGTTTTAACCTTTAAAGCCCTATACGGCCTAGGACCCTCGTACCTACGGGACTGCCTCTCCTGGTATGTCCCACAGAGGAACTTACGATCTTCAAACAAAACATCTTGGCGGTCCCAGGCCACAGAGAGGCTAGGCTGACCTCAACCAGAGCCAGGGCTTTTTCAGCTGTGGCTCCGATTTGGTGGAACGCTCTGCCACAAGAGACTAGGGCCCTGCGGGACTTGACATCTTTCCGCAGGGCCTGCAAGACAGAGCTGTTCCACCAAGCCTTTGGCCGGGGCACAGCCTGACTCCCTCCTTTGGCAATCTTCACAGAACTCTAGCCCAATGGTTGCCATCAATTTGATTTGAATTAATTTTATAATGAAATGATTTTAGAATGTTGTATTATTTTATTGTTGTTACCCACCCTGAGCCCGGCTTCGGCTGGGGAGTGCAGGATATAAATAAAAAATTTTATTATTATTATTATTATTATTATTATTTGCAGATGATAGAAATAGCACTTAAGTTTGTTGGATTCTGCACATGTCAGTTCCTGTACAAGCATGAAGTTCTGACCCTATGTAAATTCTGTGCTTGGTGCTGACATGCCTGCATTGAGTAAATACCATAAGGACTGGAGGCTTGGAATAACTGGGGGTGTTAAATGTAGTTATTTATTAGTAACTTCAGAGTGAGGGGGACCGTTCAGCTACATTTTGGCTAACACCTTCCTAAGAGTAAAACCCACTGAAGTTGATAGGGCTCATTTTCTGACAAATATCATCAAGCTAACCTTATTGAGCTTCTTCCAGTTTTTATCTTGGAATAGCCATTGTGTCATCTCATACATGCTCATACTATAAAAGTTCATTTTTTTGAGTTTCGGATTTCTCTTTGTAAGGTGCATCATATCAGTCCTGGAACTTGTTTTGCAGAAAAAGAAACACAAGAAAAGCAGGCACAAGGGCAAACACAAGAATAAGAAATCGGAGAAAAACAGTGACTCGGAGAAAAATAGTGGCTCGGACACAGCCGATAGCAGCAACAGTGAGGAAGAGACCACAGAAATCCCACCACAGGAACTTCTCAGAAGGTAAAGAGATGAAGGGGCTGATTTTCCAGTGGGGGGGGGGAGATCCTCAGGTGGGTTGTCCCTCCCACTTGTTCCACCAGTTCCTTCCTTCCTGGCCCCCCTGTGCAGGTCAAATGACAGAGAATGCTACCCCATATTGTACTGAACAAGCTTTGGTCTTTTTTCATCAAAGGAGATTAGAGAGAAGACATCACTAGTCAGCTAGAAATGGCACACTTGCCTCAGAGGGTGGCAAGCCCTTGTTTTCAGCAGACCCTTCAGATGACAAGATCTGGGGAGCAGAGGCCACCCACGGTGTTGCATGTATCTTCCCAGTGGTTAACATTCCTCCCATCAGGGAAGAGATTGTGATCCAGGAGGTGATAGGAGTGTCTCGGACCAGCTCCAGAACTTGGCCATTGGTGCCACATGTGGCCCTGAGACCTCAGAGGGACCTGGCTTCTCCTAGGGCGGCGGGGTTGAAGGGAACACAGGGTTCCTCTCTGGCATCTCCTCCTCCCATTGTTATTGAAAGGCTGGCCTTGTTCCAGGAGTTCTTCTCTTGGGTTCAGCAGATTCTGGTGCAGGGCTGTATTCCCCCGACTGCCTCTGCGTCAGCAATTGAACCTTATCTGGGCCCCATCTGTACCTCAACTGAGTGGGAAGCCTCCCGTGCACCCCCTGTAGTGGTGCTTCAGGGGTCTTTATCACCACAAATATGTGTAACAATCCTGATACCTTTAAAAAATCCCTTAGGAAGAAAACATTTTGTAGTAGGAAGGAAATAATCAACTTTTTTCTCCCCACGTAGCCACCAAATCGCCCTTTGCCTAGTTTCAAATGCTTGTTTCCAAGGGATAAGGCTCCAGATTTTTCAACAGTTTACTGTTTTGGGGGGTTTTTTTGGTAAACTTTCTTGGGCAGCTTAACTGAGTCTTACCAAGCCTCCTTGTTTATTTATTACGCTTCCTTTAGAAAAAGTGCTTTAATATCTCAAAGGTTAATAAATCTGTCCCAGTGGATTGTATTTTAAGTTGCTTCCAAAGAAATTGTGCAATATAGCCTACATTGTCCTTTGCATAGCTTACCTATGGCTCTATTCATTTCAGAATTTACTAAAAGAAAGTTCTAGAATTTTTGGAGTGTTTTTTTCAAGTTTGTTACATGTAAGATAGCTTCATATGCACTATCAACTTGCAGAATATACACACCTCAGAAAATTTTTCCTAAAACAGCTCAGCAAGCAGAGGGAAAGGAACCCTACTGGAAACTCACAATGGCAAATTATAATGGCCATAACAGAACACTTGACTTTAATATGAGTACCTGCATCCCAGTATTTTATGGTCTGGACACTAAAAGCTGTCAAGGCAGCAATTACCAGAGGAAAGGGAAAATTGAGACTTTGAGACTGTTAATCAGGCTGTTTAAAAACTCTTAATGACTTCAGCATTAGCACTTGTCTTGGGCATTTAGCATCTATAATTTTAGTTAGCAACAGTATCACTGACCTGGTTCTCTTTTCCCTGGAGTACCTTATTTTAAGATTTAGCACATCACTGACAGTCGTATCAAACAGTGTTTTGCCCATGATGAGCCAGGCTAAGATATTGTCTAAATTGGGATAGATCTATTTGAGATACTTTATCTAAAGGGAGTGTAAGAAATAAACAAGTACTTGCTGTTTGCTTCCCAAGTTGTTCAACAAAGTTTACAGCACTATCCTAGGCATGTCTACTCAGGAGCAATTCCCACCAAGTTCCATAGGTCTTAGTCCCGGGAATTCTAGCATTCTACATCTAATTTCATCGTAATCACTGGGGCATAGTTCAGTTAAAACATGTTTATTTTTTTCTGGCAGATATATTTGCCCATTTTCTTCCATAGATCACTACAAAAATTGGATACGAAATTGAAAGTCCGCTCGTCTAAATTTAATTTCCCAATAGCTCTGATCTTGTTCCATTTCACATTCAACAAAAATGGAATGTGTGTGATTAAGACAAACCTTTATCAGGTCTGGAAAAATCAATACCACAGTTGTCTCCTTCCATCATTCAGAGGTTTTATTGGCAGTTACAGTGTTTGCCCTATTATAAGGAAAATCTCCCTGGATCAGATTGTCTGACTCATTTTTCAGTCTGTGCATCTCTTTGCTTACCTCATTCACTAATATTGGACCACAATAAGGGATTCATGCTTTCAGAGAACAGCTAGTTTAAGTGGTGACTTTTTGTCAAATTTATTTATTGGGGTGGGGAGATTTGTTTATATTGGGGAACAGTAGCAGATATGTTGTTCATTGTTTAGCTCAGAATATACCTGGACTTCTTCGGATTGCTGGTCAAATCAATATCTTGAAGACTCTGGATTATCTAATGTTAGTAGCTAATATAAAAATGGATTATAATGGTTCAGTTCTAGATGTTTATTTCCATTATTTACTTATTCAGTCCTTCCCATTTGCTTTCTTCTAGGCTGAAACATCTTCCACTTGTGAAGCGATAGTTTGGATTTTTAAACATCTTTTGGTCTCAAAATGGATCTCCTCTATGATGGCAGATCAACAATGCAAAGCATATTTGAATGTTCTGTAAATACTGTATTTATGTTGGCTTTGATAGCATAAAAACATACAAGTTGAATTTATGATTTCAGAGTTAAAAATAAAAGGAAATGTGGTTTATGCTAGAGAAGTTTGTTCAACTTTATTGTAATATGAAAAGGAATCATGAAAATCATGCATTTTAAAGAGGATGAGCATGAAGAAATTTTAATAAAGTAAATTTACTGATCTTATGCCTAATGTCTTACAATCATTTTTCAAGCCTGAAGTATAAATATGAGAATATTGTAAAGCAGTAATATTCACCAACAGCTGCCTTTTTTTGAAATTTTTGACCACTGAAGTAGTGTAGCAGTGTTCTGTTATTGTTATGAGGAAAATCAGTCTTTCCTTTAAAAGTTACTATTTTGGGGGCCCACTCTAAAGAAAAACTCATGATGATGGGGCTTGTGACTAGTTTTCTTTAGACCAGGGCCTTTTTGTCTTATTCAGGCTTTTCATGCTTGCTTATGCATCCAAACCCCCTGCAGGCACGATGGTTTAAAAGGTTGAAAAAATTGTTTGCAATTAAGAGACAAGTGCAGTTGATTGGAAGAGGGAGAGAGCAGGCAAAGGTGAACTTGATTTCTTGTGCTAGCCCATCTTTCCCAGGAAACATTTCTTTGAGGACTGGAGCTTGCTACATAATCCAGCAACCCTTATTTGCAGAAGAAATGCTCCACTAGTTATCATCATTCCCGTTTTTCTGATGCTTAGGTTGTGTGGGTGCCATCGCTCATGTACAGGAGAAAAGTATCAGAAGACTCAAGAGATCCCCAAGATTTGTGTAGGTACAGAAAACCTGGAGGAGGAGGAGGCGGAAACCACGAAAAGTGGGGGGGGGGGAGGATGGCCCAAGGAGGACTGAGCATGCTCAAGAGCTGCAGAAAGCATCCTCAGTGTGGGAGGGGAGAAATGGAATGACCTGTACCATGGGAGCATCTGCATTCAAGTGTCAGATGTACCATAAGTCGTGCATATTGATACAGTGGTACCTCGCAAGACGAATGCCTCGCAAGACGGAAAACTCGCAAAACGAAAGGGTTTTTGGTTTTTTGAGTTGCTTCGCAAGACAATTTTCCCTATGGGCTTGCTTCGCAAGACGGAAACGTCTTGCAAGTTTGTTTCCTTTTTCTTAAAACCGTTAATACAGTTGCGACTTGACTTCGAGGAGCAACTCATAGCACGCGGTGTGGTAGCCTTTTTTGAAGACTTTGGTGATTTTTGAAGCTTTTCCAAAACTTTTCCGACACCGTGCTTCGCAAGACGAAAAAAACCGCAAGACGAAAAAACTCGCGGAACGAATTAATTTCGTCTTGCGAGGCACCACTGTAGTTGCTTTTGTACTGTAATAGAAATTCTATGGGATTTAGAGGGGTTTTATGGAAGGATGGGAAAGTTCAGTACTCTATAACCACCACAGCACATTAGAGAGTGGAGGGAGAAAGCTGAGCTTCTAATGTATGACCCCCACACAACATATACCCCACACATCCAGAAAAGTGTTTTCTGTTATATGGCACTGAATTGCATCGAGCCCAATACTTTTCCTTCAGCACAAGACCTTGTCAAATGCCTGTCCCTACAATATTGCTCTGTACTATGGGGCATTCCAGGTTTGCCAAATATCCCCTATATTGATGACAAAGCAAGCATTGGACAGCCTTAAGAGGAAAAATGTGCTAGACCTGGGGCTCTTGTGGATACTACCATTCAAAATATGAATATGGTTGTGGTTTGTTGTTGTTTTAAAAACCCTTTTAGTATGAGTACATTTCCAGTATGGAGAATATGTCACAGTTCTTATTTCTCCAGTCTTCTCACCACTGACCACATTGCAGTCTCTTACTCCTGTTTTGAATCCTACCTTATCATAGGGTCCTCTCAAAATGGGAAACAAGGCTATATCAGAATGTGTAACTTTTTTTCCGGTATGATGTTCCTGTCACCCAGGAGCAGCTTCATCTGGACTTTGGTGACCTGGACGCAGGATAGATACAAGTATATCAGATAGACCATCTGTGGTCAGATCCACACACTAGACCTCTAGCAAGATTGGGAGGCTATCATCTTAAATATGGGGTTTGGAAAGGGCCTAGTTCATGGAAATAAAGGGTTTTAGCTGTACAAAAATCTATGGGAAGGTAAGACAGTAGGATAAAATATGGATGGGAAAAACCATTGAAATCTATTTCAGTCCATATTAGGGAAACGGCGTTAAAACTTTGGCATAAGTGAGACAGAGCCCCAGTTCAAATTTCTTGTCTTTTGTCTAATGTGGCCCCTGAATGTGGTACTTATTTTCACTTTATAATGATTTTATTGTTTTATCTTTTTTTTGTAAACTCCTTTAATTTTTTATTTTATTGCATTCAAGCAGTGTATAAATTTCATGAAATAAATAAAGTGATGGTGGAAATGCCTCAAGACCCAGGACTGCAATAATAGGAGCAATTTAGATGAGACTGCAGCTGGCCCTTCTCTCCATCTTCAAAGGAAATAACCAAGATGTTCTGTTTCAATATATTTTGCTTTTCTTTATTGGTAGCTGCCTGAGTTGACCATTGTGGAAAAATTGAAAACTTTACAAAACATGGACATCCTTGTGTAGTACAAAAAGTGTGGAACATGGCTCTTTCTGAAAAGCTTACGTTCCATCTTCAGGCACTGTGGGATCTTGCTAAACCTGACGCCTTTCCCACTATTTGCTGAGATTTTGTAACATATTTTGGCAAACATTACTTGCAACAGCCAGCAAACTCTCTTGAGATACGGAACTCTTGATTTGATCCCTTGTTAAATTGCAATGATCAGCATGATGTGATCTGTTTTCCTTACTGTTGGGTTTTGTTATTATACCTACATTATCGACGTGGACTTTTTCTGTTCTTTCCCTCCTTTTATATATATCAAAATTAAATTTAAAAAACGTTTATACAAAAATGCATGCCTGTACATCAATGAGATCTAAATAAAAACACTAGCATTTAAAAAGAGAGAAGTGTAGGCTTAGATGTGATTCAAGACTTAGTTTACAGAGGAGACTGTTGGCATAGCCAGGATCTGGGAGGGGAGGGACAGAACCTCAGTATGCTAGTATTGATGGGGGGGGGCAGCTACACCCATGGCTGGGTGTGTGATTATGTGATTAGTTGTGTGACCCAAAGCAAACCCTCAGCTCCTTGCTCTGGGCCATAAAATCTGAAGTTCCTTTTTTGTTGTGTTTTGTGTATCAAACTTAAGTGCATATACCGGTAAGCTACTGGGCTATTAACTTCATCTGTCCCATGATCCACCTACCTCCAAGTCAGCGCCACTGAACTCAGCAGGAATAGAAATGCCTAAGATTGCGTTGCAAATATCCACTGCTGAGGGGCAAACACTTTGTTTTGGGGTTGGTGTGTTGTTGTCTGTCACCTTATAGCCGTTTCCTTCTAGCCTTCCCAGAAAATGTTCTTGATTTTGCTATGTGTGTGTACGCACGTGCGTTGTACTTTACTGTACTCAAAATACTTGTGTGTTTTTTTAATTAGATTATGATTATTATTATTTTAAAAGAACTCGCGCTCTGAGGCGGCAAGGAGAGTGACCCCGGGCTTGTGCAGAGTACAAATTCCCGATTTGTTTTCAGAGGCGCAAACTCTGCTCCCATAAGCGGCGCCGAGCCTTTTCCCGGGAAGGAAGCCGAGAAGCGCGCGGTGATCTCGGAATCCGGGCGCACGGCTTCGCCTCAGGCCTAGAGGGGAGGCACGGGGGCAAGGCGGCTCTTTCCCCGACGGCAGAGAGGAGGAAGGGGCTGGCGGGAGAAGCCGCGAGCCAGGCCGGTTGCTAAGCGTTTGGGAGGCCGCCGGCGGCGGAGGAGCAGGAGGGAAAGCGACCCCCTTGGAGATGGCGCCTCCGCCGATGGTCTGCCCGGACGACCCCCTGGCCACCGAGACCCGCTCGCCGCAGGCCTGGGAGGGGGACCATGAGAAGTTGGCCAAGGTGGGGTGGCGGAGGCGAAGCGGGTGGGGCGAGTTGTACGGACCGCGTGATAATGGGGCGGCGCAAGTTACCTGTCTATGGATTTATTTCTTTGATTAACATCGACTTCTCGTTCCTGCAAGAAGCGGTGCATCATTGGGTGGTATGGTATTAGTCCTGTTGTAAGGGTAGACCCCTCTTAAATTAGTCCTGCTGATTAATTTCAATGGATCTAATCATGAGCGTAGGCAGGGAGGGGCAGCTGCCCCCCAATCAATAAAAATACATAGCAAACTGAGGTTTTGCACTCCCAACAAAAGGCCTGCCCCCCCCCCATCCTGGCTACGCCCATAGATCTAATTCTGAGTAGGACTGCGGACCCTCCAGGTGTCCCTATTTTCCAGGGACATCCCTGGTTTAGAGAAGCGGTCCTGGTTTCTGATTTGATCCCAGAATGTCCTGCTTTTCCATAAGACGTCCCTATTTTCATTGGAGAAATGTTGGAGGGTATGGCGTTATCTGAAACCCGCCCCCCCCCTGCCGTCTGAAGGCAATCCTGTATAGAGAAGGGATTTTTTAATGTTTAATTATGTTTTTATATATGTTGGAAGCTGGGGCAACCCAGTAAGATGTGTGGCAGTATAAATAGTAAAATTATCGTTATGGAATGAGACATCCCTATTTTCATCTAAGAAATGTTGGTAGTCACCTGATAAGGAAATCTCTTAAAAGTCACTCAGTGCAATTCTAACCATGTCTGCTCAGGAGTAAGCCCTGTTGCATTCAGTAGGGTTTACTCCCTGGGAAATGAGATTAGGATTGCAGTCCCGGTTAAGATAAAGTATCAGGGGTGTCATGTAGCACCTTTCTTCAGACCCAGATAAAAATATTGTTAGGAAGCCAGTGGCAACCGCTTCACACAACCATCAGCAGCCACCAGGAACCAATTCACATGTGGAGAGATTTAAAATAGACTCCAGTGAGCCATTTGCTCAGGATTCATGTAAATTGGCTTCAGTGGACGTGCAAGAGAGTAACTGACAGAACAGAAGGTATTTCTAATTACACTTTGTACAGCCCTGTTCTTGACTGGTGTATCTACAAAAAAACATTGACAGAAGATAACATGAGATACTCTGTTCTTTCACAGATTCATTTTAAAATTTTAAAAGGACATTCAGCAGCTGTGACCTCCTGTCATTTCTGTTTTGATGAAACAAAAGTTCTTTCAGGCTCTTATGACAGCACAGTGAAACTCTGGGTAAGCTTGTTACAGACCTGAAGCAAGAAATCTAATTGATCATATTGCTCTGAAGTCTAAACCGTAATTTATCATATTAGCACAAAGGTTAAGTGAATCATTGTTGAAAGTACCAAACATACACTCTCTCTAAGGTCGCACTCCTTTGCACACTCAGCTTGGAGTAAGTCCCATTATACTCAGTGGAATTTATTTCTGAAATGACATATATAGGATTGAACTGTAAAGTATTTGACACAATTTTACTTGCCAAATTAAAGTGGTAACTTTCCCACTACTTGCACAATGAACGCTTGGCCTGCAGAGCTCATTTTTGTAGGGTGTGGTGATGGTTCGGTATATATTATGTTTAAAAAAAGAGTAGAAAGGTTAGAAGCTATAAATAATATAAATGGAAATGTGGGGAAAACATTCCACTTTTGCATTGTGGGTACCTCTGAACCTGAGACACTGGGCAGAGAATAAGAATACAATTTATGCCCTGTGTGGTTGCATTTGCCTTCAAATAGCCCAAAATAGTTGAAGAGATAAATGTATCATGCAGCCAGTGTATCATGTGGCTTCATCAGGTAAACAGAGGTAATTGATTTATCGGATGCAAGTTCTGCAGGCAGCTTATAAGCAGAACTATTTAGAATAATTAAGTGAAAAAATATGTGCTATGAATTAGCCTTCATTGTCTTTTTCAGTCTGAACACACTACTGAATAACCAAGTTTATCTTTATTTCTTGAAGGATATTGCCGGTGCTGTCTGTATTCAGACCTTTGAAGGTGAGCACACTGGGCCCATTTCTGAATGCTGCCTGAGTCCTGATAATAAAAGGTGATAACACTGTTGCATTTTATATATTAATTAGTAAGCCAAGGAACTAATTATATTCAGCAAGTGGGTTTATAGGAACAGGGAAAAGAATGATGACAAAACAGAACGGTCAATGCAGTCCTGCCTTAGAAAGCCAGTAGGAAAAATTATTACCATGGCTGTGTTGTTACATATATCTTATAAAATACTTGAATCTTTTTTATTTAAAAAAGTAAATAGAATAATTAGATTTTAACTCAGTGTTGATATAGTATTACTACCACATGTAATGAAGTCCGCAAAAGCTTATGCCATATTATAGATGCCAGTCTTTAAGGTGCCACAAAACTGTTGTATTTGCTGCGAGAGATGTAACAATTATTCCTTGGGAGAGAGTATTGCCACTGAGCCTGGCTGCTGCAATGTGGAGGAGCCAAGAGAGGAGCATATATCTGCAGTGCTACTCCATGAGTTCATATTGGGACAAATGGAAGATGATGGGGTGGCTGGGGTCTCACCAGACACCATCATCATGCCACTTGCAGAGATCAGATGCATTCAGTGAGTGCAGCTGATATGAGAAGAAAATTCTATGTGAAGATGTACAGTTTTGCAGAGCCATCTTCAAGGGACGGAGATAAGCTAATCCTCCTTTTGCTCCCACATTTATTTGCCACATTGCTGAATTTAAGACGTCAGTGCAACTGTTGTCAGAACTGAGTGGAGAGCCAGCTAAGAAGCATGAAGAGTTTCTATAAACCACTCTTTTGTTTTTTTAACTCTATTCATTAAAAGACAACAGCAATGCAAATCAGTACAATATACCCAATTAAATAAATGCTTTCGCATTATGGCTAATTAATTTAGAAGAGACATTAGCTATCCAAACTGGTTATAGATAAGAGGAAAGCAAACAAGCATGATAACAAAATCATCTTCATGCCACGTTAAACCATACCTAATGTTTAACTGCAATTTCACGCCAATGCCCAGCGTGCTCAAAAATCCCTGCTTTGCTCCTCCTTTGCTCCTGACTGTGCTGAAATAAATCATGAACTTCGCATTGTCCTGTCATCTGAACCTGGGCTGCTTGTTTTCCCCAACAACCCATGAGTGCTAAGCCAAGAACAAACCTGGGCTACTGCTCATCGAAGAAAAAATAACTCACAAGCTGAGCCTGAGTTCAGATGACACATCAAGTCAAGACTTTGCGGTTTTTTGCTCATAGCATTGTGTGGCCAGGAGTAGCTGGGACTTTTAAGCTACATGAACCAGCTCACTGCTCATTCGTCTTACACCAGAGCGAAATGTCTCTTATGGTTTAAAAGGATGCACAGACCAGACCACTGCATTAGTTGTCAAAATACTGAAAGGCCATTAGGATAACAGTGCTTACGTTCTGGGTTAGTCAAGAAAAATTGTTATTTTGGTCTAGTGGAGGGTACTGAAAAATAAACCGTGGGAGACAAATATAGATACTTATCCACCTTGGAATAAATACAATTGAATATCTTTGTTGTATAATGGGCCTTAGTGCTTTTTTTTTTACCGCCGTGTCAATGACAGAGCAGTTACCAAGCAACATCAACTGCCGGAAAATGCACAGGAAAGCTAGCCCCAGAAAACCTCATATTCAGAATAGCACGCAAATTCTAAATTGAGTCCAATGACAGCTCAATCCTGTGGTCTCAGTACATCAGGCATCCATCACTCCATCGTTGGGATTCTGTGCACAGCCATCAGCAGCAGAGGCAACATTTCAACAGTCGCCATAGGAACAAAAGCCATAATAGCAACAACAACAACAACAGTGCAGCGACTGCATCTCTGGCAATCCTGCCCCGTTTCCCAACGTCAACCCTATATTAGCCATGCAGGGGCGACAGCTGAATGACCCCATGATATAAGGCAGGATGTGGTGAAGCTTGAATGTCTTCCCGCCTAGTCTATGCACGGAAAACCAGGCAACCAGCACGAGACGCAGTTGCTTCTCCGCCGTGTTGCAGTTGGAAGCAGGGCAGCTGCCACAGACTCCAAGGCTGTCTGACATGGGTACAAATTGTCTGGCAGCGCAAACACAAGCCGTCTGCAGCAGCTAGCCTTTTGCCAAGCAGGCCAACAGGGAAGAAAGGAGGACTGTTCCAGTCACAACTCCCAGCCAGCTTCAGAGCACAATAGGTGGGAAACAAGCATGGGAAGTGCAAGGTCTACCTAGGAGAAAGCTCAAGACCTGCTGTGGCCCAAATGCTTCCTCAAAACACTCATCATCAGACCATGCCAGCCACTCCCATTCTGCTGGGTGTCTGTGTGAACAGAGTGTTTTATTTTCTTTGCAAGAGGAGATGGTTGCATGGTCAAGGAAGAGCAGAAATGCCTATACAGTGGTACCTTGATTTTCAAATGCCTTGGTTCTCAAACTCCAAAAACCCGGAAATAAATGTTCCAGTTTTTGAACGTTTTTCGGAAGCTGAACATCCATTGCAGCTGTCGGCTATTGTTTCTGGGGCCTTTGCACCAATCAGAAGCTGTGCCTTGGTTTCCAGACGTTTCAGAAGTCAAATGGACTTCTGGAATGGATTAAGTTTGGTGCTTTTGTTTTAATAATAATAATAATAATAATAATAATTTATTATTTGTACCCCGCCCATCTGGCTGGGTTTCCCCAGCCACTCTGGGCGGCTTCCATAGAAACCAAAAATACAGTAAAATATCACAGATTAAAAACTTCCCTGAACAGGGCTGCCTTAAGATGTCTTCTAAATGTCAGGTAGTTATTTATCGCTTTGACATCTGATGGGAGGGCGTTCCACAGGGCGGGCGCCACTACCGAGAAGGCCCTCTGCCTGGTTCCCTGTAGCTTTGCTTCTCGCAATGAGGGAACCGCCAGAAGGCCCTCGGCGCTGGACCTCAGCGTCCGGGCAGAACGATGGGGGTGGAGACGCTCCTTCAGGTATACTGGGCCGAGGCCGTTTAGGGCTTTAAAGGTCAACACCAGCACTTTGAATTGTGCTCGGAAACGTACTGGGAGCCAATGTAGGTCTTTCAAGACCAGTGTTATGTGGTCTCGGCGGCCGCCCCAGTCACCAGTCTAGCTGCCGCATTCTGGATTAGTTGTAGTTTCCGAGTCACCTTCAAAGGTAGCCCCACGTAGAGCGCATTGCAGTAGTCCAAGCGGGAGATAACTAGAGCATGCATCACTCTGGCGAGACAGTCCGCGGGCAGGTAGGGTCTCAGCCTGCGTACCAGGTGGAGTTGGTAGACAGCTGCCCTGGATACAGAATTGACCTGCGCCTCCATGGACAGCTGTGAGTCCAAAATGACTCCCAGGCTGCGCACCTGGTCCTTCAGGGGCACAGTTACCCTATTCAGGACCAGGGAGTCCTCCACACCAGCCCGCCCCCGTCCCCCAAAAACAATACTTCTGTCTTGTCAGGATTCAACTTCAATCCATTAGCCGCCATCCATCCTCCAACCGCCTCCAGGCACTCACACAGGACCTTCACCGCCTTCACTGGTTCTGATTTGAAAGAGAGGTAGAGCTGGGTATCATCTGCATATTGATGGACACCCAGTCCAAACCCCTGATGATCTCTCCCAGCGGCTTCATATAGATGTTAAAAAGCATGGGGGAGAGGACAGAACCCTGAGGCACCCCACAAGTGAGGGCCCAGGGGTCTGAACACTCATCCCCCCCCACCACTTTCTGAACACAGCCCAGGAGGAAGGAGCGAAACCACTGTATAACAGTGCCCCCAGCTCCCAGCCCCTCTAGACGGTCCAGAAGGATGTTATGGTCGATTGTATCAAAGGCCGCTGAGAGATCCAGCAGAACCAGGAAACAACTCTCACCTTTGTCCCTAGCTCGCCGGAGATCATCAACCAGCGCGACCAAGGCAGTTTCAGTCCCATGGTGAGGCCTGAATCCCGATTGGAAGGGATCCAAATGGTCCGCATCCTCCAGGCGTGCCTGGAGTTGTTCAGCAACCACGCGCTCAATCACCTTGCCCAAGAATGGAAGATTTGAGACTGGGCGATAGTTGGCCATACTGGCCGGGTCTAAAGATGGTTTTTTTTAAGAAGCGGCTTAATGACCGCCTCTTTCAGCGGATCTGGGAATGTTCCCTCAGAGAGGGAAGCATTCACCACCCCGCAGAGCCCATCGCCCAGCCCTTCCCGGCTTGCTTTTATTAGCCAGGATGGGCAAGGATCAAGGAAACAGGTGGTTGGTTTCACGCATCCAAGCAGCCTGTCCACATCCTCGGGAGTAACGGATTGAAATTGATTCCATGCAACTTGACCAGACAGAGCTCTAGCACTCTCCCGCCCCGGCCCTGCTCCCACAGTGGTGTCTAGCTCCTTCCGAATATGAGTGATTTTATCTGCAAAAAACTTTGCAAAATCGTTGCAGGAGATCTTGGGGTCTTTACAAGGCCCCGGTGGTAAAGGTGGTTCCGTTAAATTGCAAACCACCTGAAAGAGTCTCCTGCTACTATTTCTGCAGATGCAATAGAGGCGGTGAAGAAAGTCTTCTTCGCCGCCGCTATCGCCACTTGGTAGGCTCGACGTTGAGCTCTAACCTGTGTCCGGTCAGATTTTTGCTATTTATTTTTTGTTTTTGAGGCTTTTTCTGTTAATCTGTTTTTGTGACTGTGTGGAACCCAGTTCAGCTACTGATTGATTGATTGCAGAAATGGATAAAAGCCCCCCATCCAAACAATGAGTATCATTGGTGCAGAGAAGAAGAAAAATTAAATTTTCATTTTTATCATATACAATACTGTCTTATTTATTTTATAGTACAGTACATTGATTATTGCTTTCATTTTATGGATCAATGGTATCGTTAGATAGTAAAATCCATGTTAAACTGCTGTTTTAGGGGTTGTTTTTAAAAGTCTGGAACGGATTAATTTGTTTTGCATTACTTTCTATGGGAAAGTGTGCCTTGGTTTTGGAACGCTTTGGTTTTGGAACGGACTTCTGGAACGGATTAAGTTTGAGAACCAAGGTACCACTGTAATAGAGTAAACTCATACAGAGCAGCACCAGAAGCTTCCGGGAGGATTAGTGTGAAAGAGCACCAAGGTTGGATTTGAGTTTCAGTTCAGGAGGTTATAAAAATGATGCCCACAAGACAAAGTTCATCTGCCAGGTTGCTCTACCAGCAGCTATTTTAGGTGAGGGCACAGCAGGACTTCTCCAGACAGCAACTGCACTGCAGAAGGCGGACTGGCTTGATCAGCCTGCCAGGATCCCAGCCTTCCTGCTCTCTTAGCACTGTGCATAGCGCCCAGGGGCACAGCCAAACAGAACTAACTTGGAAGCGTGGGCCAGTGGAACAGCACAGACTTGTGACTTATGGGAGTCTATGACTCTGAAAGTGATGTGGCTCCATTCAGCAGGCCTTAATACACAAGGTACAATTTCTCCAGAGGCACCTTGCAACCATGCGGCGATGGGCTGTGGAGGCTTGCAGAATTAGTTGGGCTCCTGATGCTGTGGGATTGAGAAAAGTGGTTGTCCGAGGCTGTCCATTAACTGCAGTGGGAGAGATTTAATGTATGCCGCTTCTGCATAATGTTACACAGGGGGAAGGAACAAGGCCCCAGAGAACATAGGATTCCTCCTAAGTTACATTACTCCTGGCTGTGCTCCTTAATTGCTATAGGGGCAGACATTTTTGTTGCCACTTTAAAAGTGGGCTGGCACAGGGATTTTGAGAAACAATTCCATCCTACCCAGTGGCCACAACTAAGTCATATGATTTTCCCCCTTAAATATCTTATGAGCCTCCAAACCCTCCCAGTCTGGATCCCCTCAACCCAACTTCGCAGTTGGCAGAGAAAACTACACTCTTTCATCTTCTCACATAAAAAACCAAGAATAAGCCCCAAATACCTGCACCTCCCCACCTCAGAAGGAGGATGGGGAATCCTCAACATAGAAGCATATTACAATGCCAACCAAATACGCCACATAATCCCATATATACTAGAAGATGAGACAAAACAATGGGTACACCTAGAGAGGGACACAATTGAAAACACCTGCACCACAACATACCCACTCCTCCCAAACAAACTAAAGAAAATTCCCACAACACTTAACAGGTACACACAGACCATGCTCAAAGCATGGAAAACACAAATAGGCAAACTATCTCCAACCCCATCCCCACTAATCCCCCTGGCGTACCACCCATTATTCCACCGTGCAGCACAAAACCTCAAGATAAAAACCTGGCGAACCAAAGGCTTATATCGCCTAATAGACTTTTATAAAAATAACAAACCCTTGTCAACACAAGAAATGCAAGACAAACTAGAAGACACCCAAATGCCCTGGTTAACACAACACCAACTACATGCCCTCTTAAACAACCCAACAGTAAAATCAACAGCAACTAGGCCCCTGACAACCTTCGAAAACCTCCTCCTAACAACAAAGGGAAACGGTAAAGGGACGGTATCCGCAATATACAAAATACTACTCCAAAATCCCGCAGATCCCCTAGACGCAATCAAAAAACAATGGGAGAATGACATAGGCTATGAGATTAACCCCACTCAATGGACCAGAATGTGGTCTAAACCCCCCTTTAAATCCATATCAACGAAAAGAAAAGAACTCACACTGAAACTCACCTACAGGTGGTACCTAACACCAAGGAAACTAGCGCTAATACACCCAGGAACCTCACCAAAATGCTGGAGAGGGTGCACCTCCACAGGCACATACCTCCACATGTGGTGGGAGTGTCCCAAAATCCAACTATTCTGGACAACAGCCATACAAGAAATATGTAAAATAACTAAGCAAGTAATAGACATCACCCCAGAATTGGCCCTACTAAACATCTTCCAAGACAACAATGCCCATTTACACCACAAAGAACTCATAACCCACCTGCTCTCAGCAGCCAGAAACACCATAACCAGACACTGGAGAGACCTGTCAGGAGTAAGCATGGACCAATGGTACCAAATAGTATGGGAAACAGCCCTACTAGAAAAATTAACTAATAAACTGAAACTGACATGGGGACAAACAGAAGAAGACGCCTTCACCCCGGTATGGCTCCCATTATCACATACACAGCCCAACAGGACAATGACAATAATCCACCAACAGCATACAAATCAATATGGCTAACCTGATCCAAAACACCCACCCACCTCACTCACACACGAAAACAAAGATCACCATAGCCAATCACAAGCAAACAATCACACCCTAGGCCAACCCCAACCTCTCTCACCACCAAAGGAACACAAGTGAACAACACAAGCAACGCTGACACCAAACTCTACATACATTAAACATAATAGAAACACTGCCACCCAACCCCAGCCCCCATCCATCTTCCCTCTCTCCACCCCCCTTTCTTTTTTCTTTTTTTTTCCTTCTCCCCCTAATGCCTCAACAAATGAAACGGATTTGTAAAAATGTTACATGAAAAAAAAAAACGAGGCACTACACTTCTGTAAAACAAGAAAATCCTTAATAAAATATTTAAAACAAACAAACAAACAAACAAATCTTATGAGCCAAGTGAGCGGTTTGTATTTTCCTGCTTCCCAGGGTTTTCTGCTTCCTCCATAAGCACATCACATAAAAGAGAGAGAGAGCACCAGTTGATTTGCAAATGTGGAACATCCCAGTTTCCAGTTTGAGTGTAACTCTAATGAACAAAATGGAGCTGTAGTATTTGAAGACATATCTATAGTGTCATTTCTCTTATACTGAGGGCTTATCCATGCTTCCTCCTTTCCTGCTACTTTCCCACAGGAAAAACAGCTCTTTAGCAGTCAATCGGAGCAAACACAATTTGGGTTTTCTCCAGATTGACATTTGCTCCTATTTTACACTAAAGAGCAGGTTTTCCCTGCGAAAGGAGCTGGGCAAGGGGGAAACCGCTTGGACCCACGCCTAGAAATCCCAGGTTAAGCAGAAAACCATTCCAACTCGTGCTTTTGAGGCAGGGAACAAGCAGAAGCACTAAATACTATATATGATGGAGGATGAATCTTTCCAGAATATGGGAGTGGAGCATAAAGCACATTCATAAGCTATTTGTTATTGCTATCTTAATAATAATAATAATAATAATAATAATAATTAGCATGAATCAAACATTTTTGCTGTCTTTCAACATGTAAATGTGTTTATTGTTTTAGGTTGATAACAGCATCATATGATAAAAGTCTAAGGGCCTGGGATACGGAAACAGGGAAAGTGCTTGTATGTATTGATTTTTTAATTAAAAACTCCCTATTTAATCACTAGAAACTAAACTTTCCTTTTACTCAAATGTTTATCCTTGCAAACACATGCAGTCATTTGCAATGGGGGAATAGTTTGGTGAAGCTTCTTGCAGTGAAAATTGGTGGTAGTGGGGTTATAGTTTTTTTATTACTATTATGTTATGCATTTTGTGTTTTTATTTTGTCAACCAGCCTGTGATCTTCAGATAAAGGTTGGTATATAAATTTAATAAATAACAATAATACAGTAATCTCAGCACTTGTCTGCTGCAAATCAACTCCTCCCAAAACGACTTTTCTCGAACAAACGTTGATTTTTCTGTGGGGATTTCTGCCTGGGCTTCAAACGGATTCCAAGGATAAGCTAACAAAAATCAGAAATATAATTTTAAAAATTAAGCATACAGTCAGAAACTGCGTGAAAACAGCAGCCAGTGACAGAACACCTTAGAGTGAAAGTCCTGGGAAAACAGAAAGGTCTTTGGCACCAACCAGCGTGACATATCTGAATGGGTGTCAAGCAAGCGTTCATGTGGAGGGCCTTCCATAAGAATGGGTTAAATTCATTTGTGTGTAATGTTTGGTTCCACCCTAATGGTCTAATTCAATTGGTACAGATTTTGATCATGTGATTAAAAAACCAAAACAATTAAAAAAAATTATAGCAAAAGATAAACGTGTGCTGCATTTCTTGTATTCATATATGATTTCTGTCTCTGACCAGGATTCTGGCTCTGACCAGGATTAAGCTTTCAGTACTTACTTACTGTTCCTACTAAACAGGACTGGGCGTGAACCATAGCCTTACCTCAGAATGTTCTGAGGCATAAATACAAGGTGTGACCGGAAAGTTCGGTGAATGGTCACAGAAATCGGACAGCGAGAAATATTCGAACATACACACCTTACAGGGCTTCAAAGTAGGCCCCCTCTGATACAATGCAGTGTTGACAAGGTTTGTAGAACTGTTGGAAACTTCTGGAGAAGTCCTCTTTTCATACTGCTTTCAGTTCCCTTGTCACAGCAGTTTGGACATCTTCGATGGTTTGCCGACCTTCGTGGAAACGCTTAAACCACTCATACACTGTCTTTCAGGTTACACCTTCATCTCTGTACACAATTTTGAGCATTTTGTGGGTTTCCGATGCTGGTTGTATGTTCGAGTATTTCTCGCTGTCCGTTTCTGTGACCGTTCACTGAACTTTCCGGTCACATCTTGTATAAATGCTTAGAAGTGAGTTAAATATTCTTTTTTTAAAACCCGTGAGCGTGATCCAGTCTGCCCTCTGCACGCTGCCAGATACATGGTGGGAGTGTCGCCTTGGTCTCAGTCACAAGTAACTTGAGCTGCATCTGGGCTCATGTGCGTATAGGTTTGGTCCTTGGCTGATCATTAACCCTAAAAGCATAACCTCAAGGGCTTCTCTTCTCTTCTCCAGTGGACTCTAGAGCAGGATGGCCTTGTGACTTCATGCCATATTTCTCACGATGGCAAATACGTCGCCTCCAGTTCAGACTTGGAAAATGCTTTATTCATTTGTGGTGTAGAAGATGCGAAAAAGGTGGCATATGTCAGAGGTAACATTTTTAAAACTTGGTCACGATCCTTTTCTTTATACCTGTTGAATGACTCCCAGACGTACACATGCCTCTCATTTCAGTGGGACGTGTACAGGATACGATTCTGTTTGGCTGTGCCCCTGCCCGTTTGCATATTGATACATGTTTACCTGAATCTAGAGTATATATGGATTTCTTACATATCACCCTAGAAGGAGCATGTCTTTGTACATACTGTTTAATACATTGTTAAATATTTTAGTTCTGCTCTATTGCTTTGTTGTAGAGCACAATACAGCACACAGTACAGCTGAAAGCTTCAGTGACCCTATTTACGTGGTTTATCATGACAACTAATGTACGTATGGTTATAAATGGAAAGCACTGTTTGCCAAGTACCCAATGAAATTGTGTGTGTATATATTGTTGCATGCACCCCAATCTCTGTGTAGCAAGATATTCCACAGGTGTCTGTGCTTACCTAGGGTCTGGTTTCCTTTGAATGACAGCCAATGGATATACTGTGGTATCTTTTGAATATATGGTTTTATTGAAACATATATGATCTAAACATAGGATGGAGAGGCTCGCAGCATGAACACCCCAACAGATCTTAATGTTCTAGGGAAGCCTCAAGTCATAGTTTTTGAGTCCAGCACAGAGCAAGACATGGCTCTGCAGTCTCCAGCTTCCAGTGTCTGCCAAAATTCACACATGCACAGCCCCCCTCCCCAGCCTATTGTTCCCCATCCTAGGATGACATCAAGCCAGGTGAGTTGGGAAACGGCCCGTCCATTTGTCTCTATGGCAACCTCTTCGGACATGTAAATAGCAGTACTTAAGGCTATGACCTTAACAAAGGAATTAATCTGACCAGTTTACCAGGTTTCCTCTTGTAGATTCTAACCTCGCACAGGATCACAGGTTTGGAAGGGACCAATGGGCATCATCCAGATTGACCCACCCCCCCAAACCTATAAAAATACACACACCACATATATCTCCTGAGGATACATTCCTATGGCACAAAATTGAGCCAATTGAATTAACAGTGAATTCTAAGGCTACTTTTTGATGTGTAAAATTGCTAAAAGTTGAATAAATCGGAACTCAAGTGGTGGGTGGGTAAACTGACTCCAAAAAAATAATAATCAAGACAGTCTTACTGCCACTACTTCAGCATTATTAAACTGACATTTTGCCCCATACTTAGATGCTTAGTTATTGTGTGTGCAAGTGTTTCAGTTCCTGCTGTGTTTTGGAACTATAGAGACATACATTAAAAAAACCAAAACCATGACAATAAGCTGAAACTCAGATGTGAGTAACCATCAGACTAGCTGGTAGCTCTAACCTTGTCCAAAGTGCTTGCAGCCTGTTACTTGGAGTGTTTCTTTTTTTCAGAGTATCACAGAAGCACAGTGAGAAGGTGTCGTTTTGATCCTCAGAACCAACGAATAGCTACAGTGTCATCTGACATGTCTTTAAAATTCTGGGATATTATAGCACAGTCTACCACAGTCACAATTGAGCGGTAAAAGAGACAGTGAAGCAGCTACTGATGTGGCTCTCGTGAAGTCTGCTTCCTATTAGTGTAAAATCTGTAGCAGTTAAATGGGTAATGTGGCCACTTCCACTAAACTAGATGTTAATTTTGGAATCTACTTTTCACAGTCATTTTATGGGAGGCCCATCCACATAATAGTCACCCTCCTGTGTTTTCCCACTTGTGAGTGCTGAGAGTTCAGCTTTTCAAAAGATTTTATCTACTTTTCGAGCCGTATTGTTTTGATTTTGGCAGTGACGTATCAGGCAGCTGAATCTACCAAAGCTCAGTATATCCACACTATCTGTTTTTTAACACTTTTCCAGATATAATTTTAAAAAATATTAACAAAATGGTCCTTTAATGAAAGAGTGCTTGTTTCATTAATTTCATAGCACTTCTTCTTTTTTCTTTTTTGAAGCCAAACCGTTTTTCTGAGAAAGAAAAAAAACAGGAGTCCATTTTTTAAAGTATGTCTGTTTGCACTCAGAACATCCTTGGCCCCAACTCATCTTTTCTCCTTATCTACCATGTCCAGACTAGCGTTACTTTTACTTGCACTTCACAGGTGATTCTCCAAAGCTAGCCTTTGGAGGGCATTGTGTTCCTGGGACAAAAAGCATTTGCAGTTATGAGGATAGCCAGAAAGAGCAGCAACTGACCAGTAACTGGGTTTTTTCTGCAGTACCAGGGCTGAGGTCAAACAGTGTGCCCTACAGAAGAGTCAACACTGTAAATTTGATGGTATCCTGCTGCAGTGATCTGCACATCTTTTTCAGGGCACACACCAATGCAATTGCAGATTGCCGTTTCTCCTTGGATGGCCATTATTTGTGCACAGCAGGTTGGGATGAAGTCATAAAGTTATGGGATATCAGGACAGGGGAGTTCCGTTCCCATGGACCCATTATTTTGGATCAGGGCCACATAGGAATAGTTGGCTGCTGTGATATTAGTAAGGATGGTGAGTAATGTGAAATGGCATATAATGGCACCTTCTATGCAAATGTATAAATGTGAAAGAAAAGTGTGTTTATTTCAGATGAGTCACAGGGGTCATGCTCAAACCACTAATTAAGTTCTCAACTTTCAGAATGAAATGATTTTCCGTTTTGATTAAAAGGTTGCTCGTTTAATTGAGGTAGACTGAACTTGATGACTTACGGTAGATTGTTGTTCAGTCAGCCTTCTAGAACACTCCTTAATTGATAAGCTCATTAAGATCTATTGTTAGGTGAAAATGTCTGAGCAGAGAAATAAAATGTCAAGCTGTATGATGCGGTGTCAGCCCCTGCTTGTTCTGTTCAAACCTCTGCCACTGTTTAAAATAGCCACTTTCCCCCTATAAGTATGCTTCCATCCTCACTTTACTCAAACTCCTGCCATTGTTTTAAACCCCCACTTTCCCCCTTCTCGCTCTCATGCCATTACCGCAGTTGTTTTGCAACACACCTTCACTTTTGCTCCCCTCCCCTACCATGACTTCCTGCAAATCCAGGCCTGTGATGTGGCCTAGAAATCTCCCAATGGGAGCTGCGTGATGACATTTTTACATTTTTATTATATAGAAAGATATGGCTTAGTATTCTTAATGCAGTATTTCAGTTGTATTAAAAGTCAAATGTTCATTCATTTTTTCCTGCATGAATGAATCTTAGTTTATTTAATAACAAAGCACAAGGCAGTCACCTGACATAATTTTATATTTCAGCATCGCTTGTGGTGTCTGGAGGTTATGACAAAACAATCGTTATCTGGGACTCGCGAGAGGCATATAAAAAGCTATGTTTAAAGGTACTGTGTAAGCATTTGCCTGGGCAAAGGAGGACTTAATTTTGCTTCTGTAGAAGTTAGCTGTGAAACTCCAACTGACTATGCAAGATCAGTTCCTAAATGAAAGATAATTTTTTTTGAAAATGCTCTTTCTATAAGAATAATTAAATTGGTGTTTCTTTTTTTCTCCATCTCTTCATGTCATGTTTGATATCCAGTAACAATGTTTAAAGCACTGACAATTTCTCTGCTTTTATAGCTGATCCATTGGGCAGTGCCCACATATCTCCTGATAGTGCAATTCAGAAACCATATTCTGCACATTCCCACCTTTGGTACTAAGCCATTGAGTTGTGGTTGCTAGGAAACTAAACCATAATTCCTAGGGTGGTTCATGATCAAGCATCACAGTTTTTTGAACAGCAATTGTACACCCAATATTTTCACTTGTGTTGTTGTTTAGTCGTGTCCGACTCTTCGTGACCCCATGGACCAGAGCATGCCAGGCACTCCTGTCTTCCACTGCCTCCCACAGTTTGGTCAAACTCATGCTGGTAGCTTCGAGAACACTATCCAACCATCTCGTCCTCTGTCGTCCCCTTCTCCTTGTGCCCTCCATCTTTCCCAACATCAGGGTCTTTTCCAGGGAGTCTTCTCTTTTCATGAAGTGGCCAAAGTATTGGAGTCTCAGCTTCACGATCTGCCCTTCCAGTGAGCACTCAGGGCTGATTTCCTTCAGAATGGATAGGTTTGATCTTTTCGCAGTCCATGGGACTCTCAAGAGTCTCCTCCAGCACCATAATTCAGAAGCATCAATTCTTCGGCGATCAGCCTTCTTTATGGTCCAGCTCTCACTTCCATACATCACTACTGGGAAAACCATAGCTTTAACTTTTCACTTGTAAGTAACCATAATATTGTGAGGCCTGTATATTCAATAATGATTGAGGTTGGTTAAAGGTCCCCAGCCTCTTTTGGGGCTGTGGGCCCAGTTCAAAATTTGATAAACTCTTGCAGACAGGGCAGGGCTGGCTCACCCATGAGGCAAAGTGAGGCAACTGCCTTGGGTTGCCAGATCCGCAAGGACAGTAGATCCCCTGTGATCCCCCTTTGATTCTGACTTCAACCCTTGGGTAAAGATGCTTTGACACTTCCCCCTGTGCTTGATGTCGATATTCACTCCTTCCTTGTTCCTGGTGTAGATCTTCATTCCTCGATTCTTCCCTGGTGGTGGGGGAGGGAGGAGTGCCAGTTTGCGATTCGCCTCAGGTGCCCAAATGTCTTGGACCGGCCCAGAGGCAGGGCACCTCCACAACAGAAATGGCTGCCCTGCAGCCTGGCTAGCCACAAAAGGCAAATAACTTGCCCAGGGAACTGAGTTGCAAGGCAGAGGTTGGGTCTGAGCCCCAAGGGCCAAAACGTATTTGCCTCCAGAAGGCAATTCAACTTCGTGGAAGAAAAAGTGATGGTGCTCAGAGAACTCCCCTCCCCTCCCCTCCCTGAAAGCACGCACATATGAAATACACAAATCCCACACAGAAAACAAAATGTAACACAGGTCTCTCTCTCACACACACACACACTAAAACTCACAGGCAAAGCATCTCCAGTTGCTTTACTCCCCACTTCAAAGCTTCCTAGGCAGTGGGACAGTCCCATATTTTTTCTTTTTTAAAAAGGCAGCCTCCACCTTCTCCCTTCCCTTTCCTGTCAATGTTTCTCAGCACCACATGGGAGTGGAAGCTTTGCTTTCTGGCCAATATAGAAACAAAACAAATGTGCAGGGCTGAACCCTGGCACCCGTGGGTGCCATGGGAGGGAATGGTGGCAATGTTTGTGTGCATCAGAACAGAACTTCCACCCTGGCAGGAGGCCCCTTTCTTGTAGGGCTGCTCCCCTTCTCATAACGGACAGAATGACAAATGCATCGGCCGGAAAAGGGAAACAGAACCGTAGTTCTTCCATAACAGTAATTAAAACTATTCACTATGAAGTTCTGTGGAAGATATTATATTTAAAATAATATATTAAAATTGTATGTAAGCGCTTAAGAAAAAATACAAAGTATTGATTAGATTATGCCAGAAACAGATGGGGTCCCCCCCCCCGAGAGTCACAAAAGACTCACACCCCAAATATCTTGAATGTAGAATACATCTTATAATGCACCTCTAAGCAGTTTTCATCTGTGACGTTCACAACAGAAAAAGGCCTTCAGTAGTACAGTATTGAAATAAAATAACAGTGAAACTAATAGTGCAACCATAAGCATGCTTACTCAGAGGCATGTTGCACTTAGTTCAGTAGGACTTGGCTCTCTACAAATGTCTTAAGGGTGAACAAAATCCCATTTTTGTGTAATCGGAAAACTGTTTCTTTGCAGGGTCATGCAGGTTGGGTGACTGACATTGCCTTGAGTAGCAACAAGAAGTGGCTTGTATCTGCCTCAAAGGTATCATCAGTAAGCTTAGTTAAATAATTGGAAACATAGTTCAGTGGCTGTCTTCCTCCCACTCCTGACTGCTTCCGTAGATACCTCATTGTGATACTTCAATCCCATAAGGTTTTTTGTGGGCCCCTCAAAACCCTGACAAATTTGTCCTAAAAAAAGAGAAAACCTTGAAGACCATTCTCATGAACCTCCTGCTATGAGTCTGTGGTGCCAAGAAATATGTGTAACTGTACACCCACCCACACCTCGATCCCCTCCATTTTAAATATTTTAAAATTGGCCACAACCACTTTTGCATTTCAGTCACACCCACAATGACATGCAAAGGTGTGGCCCTTGGCCTGAAAATGGTTACCCATCCCTGCTGTAAATTGATAGAAATCCTTCCATTGTTTCAGGACTGTACTTTGAGAGTTTGGGACGTTGCAGATGCCCATGAAGTCCCTGTGGTGGTCCAGGCCATTAGAACAAGAGGCTCCAAGTTAGCAAAGGTCAGTCTATTATTCCTCTCCTGGATGTAACTACCCTACAAGAATGTTTCCCTCTATTTGTATGTCCATATGCTGCCTCCTTTTCCTTTTAGCAAACCCCAACCTCAGAATCCTATGTGCTCTAAAGTCCATTCTGCGAGCCACAGGTGCATTTCACAGCCTTTGGATCAAAGAATGTTGAAGGGCAGAGCATCATTTAAGTCAGGGATGAACTCTGGAACTGGTTTTGAATGTCACACTTGAATATCGGAAACCATCATAAAGGAGAACATCTGAATAGCAGGAAGCTGCATATCCCATAGTGCATAGCAGCCTTCCCTGCTTCCAGATCTTTTGGACTATAACTCCCAGCAGCCAGCTGGTGCTTTCCCCACATCCTTTCCCTACAGGAACAAGAGCTACCAGCATGGCATTCCTACGGCAGCAAAAAAATATTTGGGGGGAAGGTAGGCAAGCTTGCATATGTATGTGTCTGGGTACATCGTCATTCCTGCACAGACTGACTGCAGTGCATCTCAAATGCAGGATGCAACACGGTTGCCGAAACAATGTATTGATTCCAGATGGAATTGCAGTCTTAACTTACTTCTGAGCACACATGGTTAGGATTGAGTTGTAAGGCTACAATCCTGTTCTTTCCTGGAAGTAAGCAGCATTAAACACAATGGGGCTTGCTTCTGACTGAACGCATACAGGATTGCACTGCACTGCAACCAAGAAATTAAGTCATTTTTATCTTGCCCCGCTCATTTTGATGGGACTTAAGTGAACCCAATATGGTCTGTCACCTAGTAAAAGGCTACTAAAAAATTAGGAGCACGTGCTGAATGTCTCTTATAGAGTGATTTCTGCTAAGCATTCATTAGCATTTGCAAAAATGGGTCTGCATGTCAGTTTGTTTTTAGAATGGAAATTCCTCTTGTCTGAACCACTTATATATTATTTTTTCCTATATAAAAAAATCTAGTGTGAAGAATGTAAGAAGTCTTTCCTGCTCTTCCACAATGATGAAGACAAAGTAGAAATCAATTGTGTTTTCTGTCGGCTGGCAAGTTACAAAGAAAGTGTTCTGCCAGATCCCCCTCCATTACCTCCCTTGCCTCCTGATTTTTAAAGGAATCAGCAACAGGCCATTGCTGGAAATTTTTAAAGCGATAAAAGTTATTTGCCTGCATATACAGAACTCGGAACTGTTTTTTTAGTCTTTAATTACATACTGAAATTCCTATGGAATAGAGTCATTTGAAGGATCCACTATGTCCTACTGGTTGACAAGCGTAAAATAAAAAAATAAGTACTGCCAAGTGGATTTACACAACTTCTAGTTCCACTGTGGCCCTCTCTTAAATGTAATTGAAAAAGTAACCCAGTGATGCGAAAGGAAAGTCGTATGAATCTCAATCTAGTGCGGAACAATTAAACAACATGGGTGCCATTAAGCAACATGAGTCCAGCTGAGAGGTGAAACTTGCGGTCTTTTAAATTCTGAAATCCACACTAGAGCAATACCTTTATTAGGGCAATCAAAATGTCACAAAATAGTGTGCAAGCCATGAAGCTTCAATCTGATCAAAGCCTCGAAAAGGAAAGTGTGAGAAGGTTGCTGACATTCAAGGGAAGCTCTGTTAGGAGCTCTGTTAGGTTTGATTTCTATCATTTTGCAGAGCGTCATTTGAATGCCTCCCACATTCAGTCTTGGAGATTTTCACCAGTTGCAGATCCCATGAATTTCAACATCAACCAAGTTTTTTCCTCCCCTCCACCTTTGGTTATCTTTTAGCCTGATTTAATATTGTTTATTATTTTATTTAACAGGATTTATATGCTGTTTAATCATACATAACCTCTAAGCAGTTTACATAGAATATGAAATGTTCGTTAAAAATATTGATAAAATCAAACATTAAAAGCAAGTTAACCTGAAATTTATCAAAATGCATAAAAGTACATCTTAAAACTATTTCTGGAAGATTTACCTAAACAAAAAGCCTTTAGCAGGTGCCAGAAATAATACAGCAAAGGTGCCTGTTAATATCAATAGGCAGGAAGCTCCAGAGACTAGTTGCTGCCACACTGAATAATCAGTTCTTTGGAACTGAAGAGTTCTGGAGAACTTGAAAGTGTGACCACAATTTTCTGACATTTTGGTTGGCCCAATAAAAGCATTGCCCCGATACAGGTTTTGGGATTTTTCTTATGGACCAAGATGGCTACTTCTACGTTTTGAATCTTTGAAGTGTGTTCACATTTGGTTGCATTTGCAAATGTAGATACGCGTATGTGTATAAATGTAGACTGCCAGTTTTAAGGAACATGGGAACAAACCGCTATTCTGAATAATGCTTTTTGTAGGAAAGGGTAGGGAGCACTGGAGATGAGTTTATGGAACTTTGATGGCCCAAAAAAGTTTGAGAACCACTGATAGATGCTGCTACAATCAGGGCCATGAGGCAAGGTGAAGTGACTGCCTCAGGCGTCAGGATCCGCAGTGGCACTGGCAGCAGATCCCAACGTAGACTTTTATTCCCCTTTTGTTCCTGAGGGAATTGGGTGCGTTTGGCCTGGAGACCAACAGGAGATCTGAGAGCCCTTTTCACGTAACTTCTGGAGAACTTGAAAGTGTGACGGAGTGAAGAGTGGAGCAAGCTTGTGTTCTCCTGTTCTGGAGCGTAGGACCGGAAACAATGGATTCAAGTTACAAGAAAAGAGATTCCAACTAAAACATTAGGAAGAGTTGTTTGACAGTGGAACAGATTCCCTTGGGAGGTGTTGGACACTCCTTCCTTAGAGGTTTTTAAGCCGAGGTTGGACGGCCATCTGCCATAGTTGAGATTCCTGCATTGCAGGGGGCTGGACTAGATGACTCTTGGGACCCCTTCCAACGTTTTGATTTTATGTAGATCGCCACTTACTCCTTCCATGGTGGAGAAGGGGAGGGGTCGCCACTTTGGGGTTTGCCTCAAGTGCCAAATGTCTCTGGCAAACCCTGGCTACAACCCACCATCTCTGCTCAGAAGCACAGGCCAATGGGGTGTTGAGGCCCCCAGTCCTTCCAGAGACAACCCTCTCCCTGTGGCCTTTCCTTGTTGTGATGGCCTCCTTAGTCTGTGCAAGGCTGTTTTTTTTTGGGGGGGGGTGTTAAGGGAGGAGGCCTTGAGCTTCCCCTCCCCGCCCTCCCAGCTAAGTTTGATCCCCTGCAAGTTTTCTGCACACACCTCAGTCGGTAGAGCACAAGCCACTTTTGCAGAGGGTTAGACTGGATGACCCTACTCTACAATGCTGTGATCTATTCTAGCCATAGGAGCCAACTCCCAGGGGCCGAGGGGCTTCCCCCCCAATAAAATATTTGAGGGCCCCCCCAAAAAGTTAGTGGGCATCTCCAAATATGGTGTGTGTGTGCTGCATTATTATGCGATCGATTGTGTAGGGCGGGAATTGCCTGCCCCCCCCCCCAAATATTGTTTTTCAAGTTGGCTCCGCTGATTCTAGCAGAATCGACCCTCGGAGAAGTGCGATGCCGCTGGAGGGTCCTATTGAAGCCTACCCACGTCTACTCAGAGTAAGCTCCGCTGGAGTTCAGCGGGTCCCACTCCCTGGGAAATTGCATCTTTGCAAGGGGCTCTCCCTCTGCGCATCTTTGCAAAGTGCTTCTCTCAGTCAAAGCTGAGCTGAAGGACAAGCCCTACAAGCCCTCAACACCCCGCCCCCCCAAAATACATAAATCCCGATGCCGGTCCCTGATCCTTAGGAAGTGCGGTGGGTGGGAATGCAGAAGAACGCCTCCCGTCCACGTGCGGATCCAGCCGCGGCGGCATCTCCCGCAGGCCGCTTCCTCCTCCTCCTCCTCCTTCCTGCTCCCTCCCGGAGGTACATGAAGGCTGCTCCGCTGCTCACCCTACCGGCCGGCGCCGTGGCTTAGTTGGTTAAAGCGCCTGTCTAGTAAACAGGAGATCCTGGGTTCGAATCCCAGCGGTGCCTGCAGAGGAGTCGCCTCTGTTTTGCCTGCGCCTGCAGGAGGCGGCCTTATTTTTATGCCCACCCGCCCTGCTCGGCTGGAGAAAGAGCGAGAGAGGCGCGCTCGGATCCTCCGCCTCCTTCGCTCCAGGTGCTGCTTAAAGGTTTTGCTGCTGCGCGCCTCTTTGCAAGGGGCTGGTGGCCCGGCGCCCGCTTTGCAGGGTGCCCGATGCCCTTCCTAGGCGCCCTTAAGAGCAGCCCCCATGCCCCACCCCCCGGCGGCAGCCCCATCGCGGATCCACGCGCGCACGGGGGGGGGGGGCGAACGCACAGCCGAGCCCTTTGCGATTACGGTCACGAGTAAATGTACACCTTTTTGCAAAAATGGGTTATCATAACAAGAGAGAGAAATAATCTTACGTGTGTGGCAGTAGTTTGACATCTTGCAGAAAATACGTTTTAATTTTCTTTACACAGAAGTGTGTTTGTTGCCTGCACCTTTTAGACTTGAACTGCCGATTTCTGTGTGGATGTGTTTCTCCTTCCTTTAAACAGGGCCACTTTTTAACTATGCCAGGCATAGGGGGAAACACCTTCCTGCTCCTGTGGATGACCCTCTTTATTCTTTAATATTTCCTATTCCTTTATGCTTCCTTCCTTGGTGCTTAACATGTTAAAGAGGATGTTCAGCAGATGCCCACTGGTGACGCATTATTCTGAAGACAGACACACACAGAGAAACTTGACAAGGTATGGTATGTTTTTCAGAATCCTGCTTATTCCGACCACGCAGGCTTTGAAGGGAAGAGTGTTTGTCACATCATTCTACATTCATTCATTCATTCATCTATTTATAGTCATGCGTTTGTGTAGTTGTTCAGATTAATCTGGAACCACTGCTGTCCCTGCTTATTTCCTTGCCGTCATCAATACAGGCGAAAACTCGCAGAGGGACATGCATCAATATGTGCCAGGAAGTGCTTTATCAAGTCGATTAATCCAATCCAAAGGGTCGATCCAGTTTAGGTTACAATCCTAAACCCCCTCACTAGGGAGGAACTCTGTGAAATTTACTTTGGATAGTGGTCAGAAAGTGTCACTGAGACTTTCACAAGCAAATCTCAGTGATGGTGCAGGTTTGTCCCTTAGTGAGGTTTGCAGACTTTATCCTGGCCTCTTCCCCCATCCTCCCATTCAGAGCCTCTGGAGCTGCCCATTTCCTCCTTATTATGCAAAAAATGGATACTTGCACTGACTGGACCTTATGTCGCCATAACACTGTCCTACCTCCCCTGTACTATCATTGCTTAGGGTCATGGGCGTAGCCAGGCCTTTTGTTAGGCGGGGACAGAACCTCAGTTTGCTATGTATTTTTATTTATTTTTATTGTTGGGGGGAAAGCTGTCCCTCCCTTCCCCCCCTTGGCTATGCCCATGCTTAGGGTTGCCCTGTGGTTGATGGCTTAGTAACAATCTTACCCTGGTCCAACCAGCATAACTCAAGGGCAATATTGCAGCCTTACAGCACTGTCTTGATTATGTCTACTCAGAAGTGAGTCCTGAATTCATTGGGGATCATCCCAGGCTACTGTACTTAGGACTGCAGCTTTAAGTGAGTACAGTCGTACCTTGGATCTCAAACGCCTTGGCTCCCGAACAAATCGACTCCCGAACGATCGAAACCCGGAAGTGAGTGTTCCGGCTTTTGAATAATTTTTGGAAGCTGAACATCTGGTGTGACTTCCACAGCCTCCGATTAGCTGCAGGACGCTTCTGCAGCCAATCGGAAACTGTGCCTTGGTTTTTGAACAGACTCCCGGAACACATTCTGTTCAAGAACCAAGGTACAACTGTAAATGATTTCTTAGATGCTAACACAACCACTGGTAAAAATGTTGTCTGGGTTACTGTGATTACAGTAAGCCCACAACTTACATACATGCCTTTAACTTGTGCACATTCAGCTTTACATGTGTGGCAAACAAACAAACAAACAAACAAATAAGGGTGGAAAGGGGGCAGGCTTATGGGGGAAACGACTTTGGCAATCCCACCTGCCATCCAACCCAATGACTATATTGGTTTTGGCTTTATGTGTGATCCCCGGAACATAACACATGCTAAGTTGCAGGCTTACTGTACCATATGAACCAAGCGCCAA